CGGAACGGTCCCTTCTGTTCACAGAACATTTTAGTGTCTGATATTTCTGCGGTCCATATTCTGCGTGGTCGACCTCTGGATGTGTTACGGTTGTATCTGTATAACATTGCTCTCGGTGGTGCCCTGTCTGCTGCCAATCTTGTTACATGGCCAAACCATTTAATGGGTTGTCTACCTATAAAGTTCAGTATTGGTTCTGTGCCGATTCTCCTCCTGATATCATCGTTCCTTAGACGATCTTTCCTCGTTACACTTAACAAGCTCTGTTATATTGATTTAATTTCTTTCTAGACCTTATTTAACTAACTTTCTTATCAGTACCTTTTCCCCCTAGAAGACAGGTATCAGCACTCACCACAAAGTGTCTATTACAGTAAAGTTAAAAAAGGACCCTTTTCCACGCCTTTGTGCGTATATGGCATATAGGGCTAGACCTTTTTTTTACAGACCAATCGGCACAAGCTGGGTGATGTGGTCAGCATCACCCCGGCCGCCTTTACTTCCCTGGACTGCACACGGTACCCACTAAAGGTTGGGTCGACCTGGAAGCCAAGGTCATTTTTGAGAAAAAGTCCTGCTCCGCCAGGGAGCGAACCCACTACCTTTCGATCCGCGACGAGCGTCTGGCCGCTCCCCCCACGGTGACTGCCGTCTATAACAGTATGTCAAGTAAAAGTAAAGATCCCTTATCCCTTTAGGCGTGTTGGGCATATGGGAAGAGCACCATATTTTTACAGACCAATCGGCACTAGGTGGGTAATGTGGTCAGCATTATGCCGGCCGTCTTTATTTTCCCAGGACCGCCATTCTGGTACTTATTATAGGCTGGGTCGACCTGCGACGCCCCACACCATGACACAAATCCATGCAGCCAGCAGTGGGTTTCGATCGCGGTACGTTGGAATAACAAATCGCACTAGCAACGATTAGCCACGCACGCCGCTAATTTACCCCACCAGGACATCACACAGGCGATAAACACCCCATGACACAAAGTGCCACCATGTGGGTGAGGATCATCGTGAAGAGGTCCCAAAAACCGCTTTCAGCCATTAGACCATATTTATGGCCGGGCTATATTGCGGCCCCTGGCAAGAGCCAGAGTAGGGCTTGAAATAAAGAAAAATTGCATTCCACAAAGGGATCACACGATATAATAATTAAAAAATAATACATTAAAAAAGTACCGGCAGAAAAGAGCCCGGCTTCTTATCTATCTATGATGTTATTGTAGTTCATCAATGAAACCACAATCTCTGCGACGCTGACATAATTATTCACCAGTCAGCTGATCGTCATTAATAACTGCTGTAAATCAGGTTTAGCTCCTTGTTGCTTTAAACAACTTTCTTTCTTGTCTTGTCAAAAGATTTATTGTCTATAATATTCCTTATCCTGTGTTGGCAACGCTCCGTTTTTCATGAAGACAGTGTCTATGGTGCTTTGGAAAGACATAGGAATCAACGTGCGCATGTTTCTGGATTGTTCTGGGACTCATCTTTGTTCACAAGTTTATCAAAAGCGACAGAGAGAGATATTTCATTTGATATTCGCTGGCACAGGAGCTGAGTACGTATGGGGAAACCCGATTGCAGTGAAGTTGAAACCTTGACTAAGACTTAGATGGGAATCGCAACCCATGGCGATGGCGAGTGTGACTAGCAAGACCCACCGGCACTAAGAAAAGTATTCCACAACTTGAGCATAAGATTTCGAGACTACTGTTGCTGGCATGTGTATTTACTATGCTTTTTCTGTATTTACTATGCTTCTTCTGTATTTACTATGCTTCTTCTGTATTTACTATGCTTCTTCTGTATTTACTATGCTTCTTCTGTATTTACTATGCTTCTTCTGTATTTACTATGCTTCTTCTGTATTTACTATGCTTCTTCTCAGACGCTCAGCTCTCAACCTTTTTGCGATCTTTTTTCCTTTATTCTTATTTTCTTTATGATTTTCCTCCTCCACGCAACACGGTCAGTGTCATTTTGTTCCCACAAAATTTCATCAATGCCTGTAGCCTTCATATCCAGCTTGTGTACATTTGTATATTGTAGTACAGGTACAGGTCGGCCTCGACGCATTCTTCCCATCAGTAATTCACAATAGAGGATACCGTTAGGGACTCTATCATCCGCCATTCTCCACGTGTGACCCAGCCACCTGAGCCTTCGAAGACTGAGCAAAAGTTGTGATACCTGCTCTTTCCTCATTTTTGTTGTTGATGTGTGTGTGGTTTTTTCCCTATGATTTCGTCTCGCCACTTAATACATGTGAGTTTTGTATGTCTGTGTGTCTGTCTGTGTGTGTGTGTGTGTGTTTCCCTAGCAACAAGATGCCATTAAAAGATATGAAAGTATATTACAGGTAAAGTCTGCAAGCCTGTGTTTTACATTAGCGTCAGTTCATAGAAATGGACGAAGATTATCTTCAAAAATAAAATTGAGTTTACTGAACATAGTTATATTGCCAGTACAGTTCCCACAGTGTGCCTCCGAGACAGGACAAGAATCACCTGAGAACATTCTGCAGACCTGCCCATTCTACCTACAACTTCGTAAAGAAGCCTCGCCTCAAGAGCAAAGTGTGCAGAGCAAGCTATGAGGAATCATGAAGAACCTTCAGCTGACATGCGAGTTCATAGAGGCGACCCATCTGATGGTCTGATCTGAGCATGCGAAACCGAACGCAAAGAAGAACATATTGCCAGCGAAATCATTCCTCGTTTTTTATGTTGTCTAAAGTGTTCTTCTATCTTTCTACTTCTTTCTATGAGTGCCGATCAACACACTTTCTGTTACTTGATTAATTCAGCGAATATCATGCATTTTGCACAAACAGTTTGCGAGCTATCTTCTTCTTCTGCGATCATATGAAGATATAAATTAGTTGTGACATTTACATCTTAGTTGCGGCCTGGCTCTCTAGTGTAGTTGGCTAAACCGGATTTCGCAGTGACCGGTTGACGAACTCCTTGTGGTCCGGGTTCACTCGCGGGGGTAGGCAGAAAAGCCACATTTCTCCCAGATTTACGGTATTTACAATGGAATCAAGGCCGAAAGGTTGTGATATCCATAATGCCGAGCCTAAGGGTTAACAACTCATGGCTTCTGGATACTAAAACAAACAAACTAACATCATAGGTGCGGTACTTTCCCCTTTCGGCCGATACATCCGACTTCTGCAGGCATGTTTTGCTCGGGTTATCCTTCTCGGATTTGCGAGAAAATGCAATATGGGGCATTATTCTGAAAATACCCATGAAAAGACATGTCCTGGAAGGTATAATTGGATATAACCAGACTGTGACTCAGCACATCCTATAAGATTAATTCTGCGATGAGATCTAGTGGGTCATGATTTCTTCCCGGATGTTAGGTATTGCATCGTCCACAGATATACATACATGTACATTTATAGGTTGGTTGCGTATCTTTTTCAGGACGCTGCAGAACCAACCCCAGCATTTCTTAGCTGTTGTAGTTTTTTTTTTTCTAGACAAATTTTACGCTCACTAGTTTGCCATTGCCTCTTAACAGCTTCCGGTAGGACTGACGAAACCAAACAAGACAAATAGTCCGCAGCTGGGATCGAACCCGGCACCCTGGCATTAAGAAGCGCGTTCGCAATACTGTATGTGTGTGTGTGTGTACACACACACACACACACACACATACACACACACACACGCATTCTCTGTAGAACATTTAAATTGGGAAGAAGATCTTGGTGTAGACCTCTACTTTAAAAGCGGGACATGAATGATACAGGTTTTGAGATTGACTCATAAGAAATCCGTCCCATAGATCAAGTTGCACGGAGAGGAATTAACAGAAACATGTAAATGGTTGCAGATGGGTGGAGAACTGATCGTTTGAACAGAAATAAAGCGAGCACCTTTTGCTAGTCTTACTTTCTATCCCCAAGGACTATGGTCTCCATACTGTAAAATGCAGCTGCGAGTGTGAGTTCCCGGCCCCGACTGGGTTGGGGGGTAGGAAGGGGGTAGATAGCAGATACAGAACTGACACGCAAGACCTAAAACGAACTTGAGTTTGCTGAAATCGGATGTGTTCGACCTGAAAGTTGCAGATATCGCAGTTTAGCTGTAAAACCACAACACAAAGTATCAACCGCCCATTTTTCAAAAGGCCTAACGAACTAGAAGAAGCAGCATAATGTAATATTATCGTATGTGAAGACTCCAAGATGTCGGTAAACGCCAAGAGTTTTTTAATTTTTAATTTTATTTTATCCTGGGCGGTAGGAAACGGTATGAAGAACCAGCAGTTTTATTTGTATGCATCATTTGTAATTTTTTATCAGTACTGTAACAGTAGTGAGTCCTGGCATCTTTTTATATACTTTGAGACAAGAATCGGAACATGTTTTATAGAGGAACAAAAGCCCTAGACACTATTGTCCTCGTGTGGATTCCAGGGCCCTATTATAGGGGAAAACAAGAATAAACCCACTGCCTACCCAAAAGTATTTCAAAAGAGTCGACGAATTGGGAGCTTCTTTCGAAAACTGAGTGCATCTAATTGAGAGGCAAGGAACCAGCAGTCTGCATACAAATGAGTCATATCTGTTAAACGGACGCACGCGTAACACTCAGGTTCTGGGGCAGGACTGCAGTCCAAAAGTGAATGAACAACCAGAACTTTCCGCCGGAGTTTACAGCTGGTGAACGCTAAGAAGAAGAAGCAGAAGAAGAAGAAGAAGAAGAAGAGGAAGAAGAAGAAGAAGAAGAAGAAGAAGAAGAAGAAGAAGAAGAAGAAGAAGAAGAAGAAGAAGAAGAAGAAGAAGAAGAAGAAGAAGAAGAAGAAGAAGAAGAAGAAGAAGAAGAAGAAGAAGAAGAAGAAACAGAAGAATACTGTTGTTTAATAAAAATGATTTAGTACAAACATTGTACATTACTAACATTTTTTTTTAATTGAATATTTTCTAGAAACAGTTTTCCTAAGACGTGATTGGTTGCTATCGGACAGACGACTATGACCACAGTGTATCGAGTGTTGAAAGGTCTATGGGCCACACGGCGGCTTACGGTCACCATATTGGTGATTGTTTTGCTTCTTCCAGTGATATACGAAATATCCGGAGCAGTAAGTTGTTGCTCTTACAGTAATTTATGTTTACCAGCGCCTGTGAGTGTGCGCGAGTAAGTATGTATGTGCGAGTTCGTGTGTGTGAAAGAATAAGAATTTATCTGTGTGAAGGTAACGATAACATTTCGACACATGCTGTTGTTTAAGTGTGTAAAAGTAACGAAGATAATGATGATGATGATGTTAAAAATAATAATAAATGACCTAATGGCAAAAAAACTTTAACGATTTTTTAGCGGTGGGGAGAGGGTGGGGGGCACTCACGGGACTTAAGCAACTGGGTTACGGTAACCCTCCTACGGTTCAACTGTTAAGTTTGGGTCTTGCGTCAGTATATATACATATAGGCAGAAAAGCCACAGATTTCCCAGATTTCCGGTATCTATCAATGAATCAAGACCGAAGAGTTGCGATATCCATAGTACCGAGTCAAAGGGTTTACAACTCAGGTCGACTGCGCAGAAGATGGACCGCAGAGATATCAGAGACACTGAAGAGTACTTTATACGAAGCCAACAGAATAGGGAGACCCGTTAAAGAGATCTCTTCCTGTCCTGACGCCGCGAGGCATTCCAGGAGTAGAGAAAAGAGAAGATGATGTCGAATGTTCAACATCTTCTCTTTCAGCCTATTCATGTCTCTCTTCTCCTGTAACTTTTCTGTCGTCACCACCTACTTTAGTTTTCTTCCTTATATTACATGTTCAAAGAGTATACACGTGTTTTCTGATATGATTAACTATCTGCGTTTGTGAACTAATTTTTTTCAAAATAGTTTCGTTACATTTTTGTTTGTGTACTGTTTAACCTTTCTATATGGAACATATATTCGCCAATGCCGGTCTAAAGCCTGGATGAGAAAGGAAGAGTGGTTTGATGTGTGGTCAGCACTCTCTACTATGTTTAAAAAAAAAATAATAATATGCTATACAAAATCGTCTTGGGAAATGCCATTCTGGTCTCAAAACTCGGCAAATGGAAAACCCCAATTGCATCTCCATGCGGTAGAGGATGGTAAACACACTGCGGTGTGGCCAACGCAGCTATGGGGACCGAATATCCAGCAGGATAAGTGCACACCTCTGGGTTACCTCCTACTGTTAGCAGGAGCATCACAGAACAGGGCAATCACTTGACCTGACAATATAAACGTTGCTGAAGGCTGAAGACATAGTCTCAAGCCACGTGGATGTGAAAAGCAAGGGGAAACTACTCCATTATTATCCCAAGAAACCCATTCTGAAAGCCAAAAACAACTGAATATGAAAGTACGCGAGGCGGGAGAGCTGGCGAGAGGCCGAGTTTTTTTTCAGACAGACCGTAATAAGAGTGACGTTCTGCAAAGGACCTGCTACATGATGATGATACAAAATCATGGAGTAAAATCACAGATGGACTGATGGGTTGATAACCCCCAAAAAGTAACATGAACAATGAGGAGAACGGCCAAAGGTGCTGGATTGATGGGACTATAACACCCACAACGTGACATGAACAATGAGGAGAGAGGCCAAAGGTGCTGGACTGATGAAACGATAACACTTAAAAGGCAACATGAACAATGAGGAGAGAGGCTAAAGGTGCTGGACTGTTGAGGTGATAACACCCAAAAGGTAACATGAACAATGACAAGCGAGGCCAAAAGTGCTGGACTGATGGAACAATAACACCCAAAAAGTAACATGAACAATAGAGAGAGAGGCCAAAGGTACTGGACTTGACTTCATCCATGATATTGAAACTTCTTCTTTTTAGTGTTTACTGGCTGCAAACTCCGATGTAAGCGTTGGTCCACCTCTTGAGTTGCAGTCTTGTTCTAGAGTTTTGCATGCCCGTCCGTTCGATAGATCTGATTTATTTGTTTGCAGACTGTTGGTTTCTCCCCTCTGAGACAGATGCACTTCGACTTCAAAGAAATCATACCATAATTAGTCCCCTTTTACGACATGCTTGTTGGGAAATAGTTGATCTTTCCTAAAATACAGCTCTGTAACTCGTATAGAATGATATTAGATCAACTGCACAGAACAGAACGGGGTGGAAGAATATACTGTTTGCCCTGTCCCTATGTGGCATATAGCGGCAGGGTGATGATAAGGATGATGATGATGATGATGGAACAAGACTGGGTGCAATGAAGTCGATCCTCTTAACTTTAATTTTTTTCGGGGGGGGGGGGGGAGGAGTTGTAAACCTTATACTAGTGTTCTTGTCTTTTTTTTTTTTTTTTAATACCACTTTGACAAAATTCTTGCAGGAGATGCAAGAGTCCGCCAAGCGATGTCTTTATGTTATGTTGGTCATGGCTTTGCTTTGGCTAACGGAGGCTTTACCCATCCCAGTGACGGCCTTGGTGCCGCTAGTGATGTTCCCAATGACTGGCGTGATGTCAGCATCGCTAACCAGTGCTGCCTACATTAGTGTAAGTCTGTGCTGTTTGTCGTGTTTCCTTTTCGTTTTTATCATTGAGAATTTTTTTTTTTTTTTTTTAAGAAACAACAATCGGGTGTTGGCACTCACCAGAAATTATCTATTATATTGCAGAACTGCCCACACACACACCACACACACACCACACACACACCACACACACAAATGCCTGCAAAAGGTGCCAATTCTGTATACTGCAGAAAATATTAATGATAATGTGATGTTGACGACATTCCCCATCAAGTGGCGACCTTTACAAAATATGGGGGTGTAGCATCATATACCCAGTGCAGGAATGACGTACACTGGTTCATCACATTTTCATTAATCTAGATTGACCTCATTACTTAAATATAAATATAATCTAGTACTTATAAGCTAAAAATAGCTATAAAGAAGTGAAAAAAGAAGCAGCAGCAGCAACAGAAGGAGGAGGAGAAGAAGAAGAAGAAGAAGAAGAAGAAGAAGAAGAAGAAGGAAGATCTTCATCTTCTTGCTGCTGCTGCTGCTTCTTCGCATTCCTGTAAACTCCAGGGGAAAGTTCTGGTTGTTTATCCACCTCTGGACTCCGTGTTACACATATCAGACTTATTTGCATGCAAACTGTTGGTTTCTGGTCTTTCAGGAAGATGCACCCTAACTTAGAAAAACACACACACAATAATCGACTCATAAGACATGCTTGTAGTGGAGGCAGTGGGTCTATTCTAGTTTTCCCCACAAACGATTATAACTAAATACGACGATGATAAATTATGTGGTGATGTAAAAATACTAAAAATCCTAGGGTGGAAACTGTAATGATGATGATGATGATGATGATGATGATGGTGATGATGATGGTGATGATGATGATTATTATTATCATTATTATTATTTCAGTGCCATTAAAAAAAATGATGACACCGATGATGATGATGATTATTCTATCTGGCAGGATACGACCATGTTGTTTCTCGGTGGACTTATTGTGGCTGTTGCTGTAGAAGAGTGCCATCTCCACAAGAGGATCGCCATGCTAGTTATTATGCTCATCGGCTCAGATCCCAAATGGTGAGTCCTTGTCTCGGTCACTGTCGTTTCTTTCCACTGGCATCGCTTCAGAGGTCCCGCGTAGTTAGCGTCCTTTTGATATTTTCTTCATCTTATTTATGCCGCTTTGTTGAAAACGAGTAGGCAGATAGATTGACAGGCTCTGCGCCACTTGGCCGTCAACAGATGTATGGAAAATTGAAATTATGAGAGCTCTTTGGGAGCGAGTGAACAGTGCAGAGACACATATAGATCAATAGGACTAGAGGATAAAAACGCTGCAAGGAGATACAAGGGGATGTGGTCGACGCTAAACACGCAATGGAAAGGCGGGACGGATATACACTCACACCGTTAAGTTGCCATCGGAACTCTTCACTTGCTGATGAAGATGGGGACTGGGCGTTTATGGAAGTGTCTCGTGTGCTGTGATGTCTTAATTCAACGTTTAATATTGCACTGGACACTAGGTTTTACTGGACCAGATGTAGACTTGATGAAACTCTAAGATATATAAATCCTCGAGGTTCTTACCGTTCTGAATTACATCAGCTAACTTCACCATCGCCATCATTATCATCACCATCATCATCATCTCATCATCTTTTGTCCGCCGTTAAACGTCACTTATGGCGCGCATTTGATTACTCCGCTCCACTCTATTGCATGCAACTTTCTCGATTTCTGACATTTCTGAGTTTTCTGAGTTTAGCCCCAGCAAGTTAAGCCTCTTGTAATACTATTCTTCTTTATTTATTGGGCGTCCAATTTGTCTCAGATTACTCAGATCACTTGTTTCCCATTTTAGTGCCTGTTTTGTAATTCTTAGGTTTTTTCGTCTCAGAGTGAGCCGAGTATATACCCACCTTCTTTGTCTTTACATAGCACTGCAGCGTTTTCATTTTGACTTTTCTAGTATTGAATTGGGCTCAGTTCATCCGTCTTGAAATAGGTTACTTCTCTAAGATACATTTTGCAACTCGAGGTGAATAGATTACTGCTCTAAGATACATTTTGCAACTCGAGGTGAATAGGTTACTGCTATAAGATACATTTTGCAACTCGAGGTGAATAGGTTACTGCTATAAGATACATTTTGCAACTCGAGGTGAATAGGTTACTGCTATAAGATACATTTTGCAACTCGAGGTGACATCATTATAACTATCCCTTCCATATGTTTCCCATCTTCTCTACGTGAAAAAAAAAATGAATATTAAACGACTGGCACTAGATAACCTCAGGAAATTTTAAAATGGATACACTTTTTAAATATATCTTCTTCTTCAGCATTCCAAGCCCTTGAGGTTCATTGCTGCAGATATAACCCGCCTCCATTCATCTCTCTGGTTGGCCTATTTCCAGTTGGTTACATCAAGTGTATGCAGGTCTGTCTCCACATTATCTCTCCATGTTCTTCTTGGTCTGCCTCGTGGTCTACGACCATTCAACTCCCCCGTGGAGTTCTTTTTATTACATAAACAGTATTTAAGCTACCAAGTTGTATCAAAACTGACGTTTTCTTTCTTTTTTTTTTTTTTTTTTTTTTTTTTAATATTGTATAATTGTAATTAGGTAACAAGACAAGTGGTACAGTACCGGTGTGAATTTCCATAACCCTGACCACTTAAGACGTTTTACAACTCAGCAAACTCATCTTCAGTGCAAAAGTTTTGGTCTTTTTCTGAAGTTACGTAAAACGCAAGAAACCTGTGTGTTATTTATGAAAGATCAGTTGGTTACATTTGAACTTTGCGCTATATAACTCTTAAACAACAATAGAGCAAGCATCATCGTAAATTAATAGACCTCGATATGCAAAAATGCATGCTGGTTACTTGTTATTCGAAACAGAGCTAATATTATGTTGAGAATAAGGTAAATATTAAAATACCAGAATTATTTGGAAATTTTACCCGTGTTTTAGTTACAGTTTGGGATGAGTAGTAACAGTTTATTTATAATGAACAGAGGCGGAATTTTCATCATGTTGCAACAGGTACTATTAGCATGACGACTTTTCGTTTGCTACAGAAAAGGGGACGGATCACATGTGAGAATGTGCATGTGCAGTGGCGTCATTTCTTGATTCATTCATTCATTCATTCATTCATTCATTCATTCATTCATTCATTCATTCATTCATTCATTCATTCATTCATTCATTCATTCAGACACACTATAGTGAGGTTTTACTGCATATATATGCATGAATGTTTGGGCTGTGTTTGCGTGTTTAAAAGAGAGAGCTCAGGTATGTATGAACGAGTGTTTGTATGCATGTGTGTGTGCATGTTTGTATGAGGTTTACGTATTGAACTCACCTTCCCCCAGGATGATGGCAGGACTGATGCTGCCCACCTGGTTCCTCTCCATGTGGATCTCTAACACAGCCACAGCCTCCATGATGATACCCATTGCCGAGGCGGTTCTCCTGCAGATTAAAACTGTCAACGATGAAAGTCAGTGTTATTTATCTTTCTTTTTTATACTGTTCTTTCTTGTATATAGACTGACATATTAGACAGACACACAGGCATACAAACTGGTGAATGGATAGCCAAACAAGTAGACAGAAGAGCAACAGACAGACAGGCAGACAGACACACATACCCACACAGACACACAGGCAGGCAGACTTGTGGATGGATAGCCAAACAGGTAGACAGAAGAGCGACAGGCAGACAGACAGACAGACAGACAGACAGACAGACAGACAGACAGACAGACAGACAGACAGACAGACAGACAGACAGACAGACAGACAGACAGACAGACAGACAGACAGACAGACAGACAGACAGACAGACAGACAGACAGACAGACAGACAGACAGACAGACAGATAGATAGATAGATAGATAGATAGATAGATAGATAGATAGATAGATAGATAGATAGATAGATAGATAGATAGATAGATAGATAGATAGATAGATAGATAGATAGATAGATAGATAGATAGATAGATAGATAGATAGATAGCACGATCAGGTCAGTGTTCTTGTGTTCCTTTTACATGACTAAAAAGCATTGATTATATCTTTATGTCTTCATATCTTGCCTGTTACCTTTTGCTGCAAACAATAGTTGCAACATTTTTTTTACAAGACACATGTCTTTAGACTGTTCTTAACGTGTTTTATGTTCGAAGATTAAATGTAATATAACAGGACTGGTTTAACCTAATATCTTAGAACTCTTTCTGCAAGGAGCGGCTGTGACGTAGCAGACAGAGGCTCGTCGTTGGGTCCGAAGGTCTTGTGTTCAGATCCGTATTAAGACGGATATTTTTTAGAATCGTTTCAGCACCCAGTTCTGCATAAAGTAAATGGAACCTGTTCCACGCCGTTGATCATTCTGGATAGGAATAAACTCACAGGGAGCAAGTACAGCGGGGATCTACCAGTCTTCAGTAGAAATTATCCTCGTCGACACACGTTTCGGCCCACTATTCCTAGACGTATTCGGAGGTGGGCCCACCTGAGTTCATGACGCTCAGGGCTGGTTCCCCGCTGCACGGAATTACCGGATGGTGTTATACTTTCGGCCAGAGACAAGACGACTTGGTGGTTTCGAAGGAGGTACTGTGAGATAAGAAGCCGCCGCGACAGCGTAATTAAAACAGTCCGCATGCCTGGACGACCGAGCGACAAGCTTACTTTGGTTTACCGGACACATGTTATACTTTTATTAGCAGTTGGCAGAGGGACACTGGCAGACAATTCGTACACGATGGACTTTTCAAAGGGATGAGAAACTCTTTTCCACTAGATACCCGGACCAGCTCACCGAGGCCCGTCCCCTACGTTGTTGCGCTGCGTCCAAAGCCAGCTAGAGGCCCTTTCGGCCGCCTCTCCCAGTTTTTTGAGTGTTCGTTTCCGTTCATTACCGCGCAATCCTAGTTCTTTCACCACATTGTAGAGCGAAGTGGAAACGAGGCCTCTCGCTCCCACTTCGACGGCAAAAACCCGTACTGTGTAAGCCTCGTTTCTCCTCAAACCGGCTGCTAAATCACTGTACTTTTCGAGCTTGTACAAATGATTCTCCTCCATACGTGACTCAAACGGGACCGTAAACTCAATCAGGATGAGTTGCCGTTTTTGCGCAGAATGGAGAACGATGTCCGGTCGCAGGCCGGTTTTACGGATCAACTCGGGATACCGTTCATGGCCTGGCAGATCAACCGCCAGTAACCAGTCCCTCGCAGAGTCTAGCACAGATGGAGCGAATGCGTTTTTGTTGACCTTACCAATTGGAACCTGCCCAGCCTTGAGGAAACGAATGGGGGCGATACTAGAACTGGCTCTGGCGTTAGCCCTCATTCTAGCCTGGTCGACAACGGCTGCTAACTCTTTTAGCACCTTGTTGTAGCGCCAGGTATATCGGCCTTGACCTAGAGCTTTCCTGCACGCGGACAGGACGTGCTCGAGAGTTTGCTTTGATTTGCACAACGGGCAAGTCGGATCGTTGGTCGCAGACCATTTAACCATGTTAACACCGGACGGTAATACATCGTACGCCGAACGAACGATAAAGCTCAGTCGCAGCGGGGTCATCCGCCAGATCTCACCCCATGTGAGTATTCTCGGCAATGCGCTCTCCAGGCTGACCCAATGGCCCTGCTGCGACTGCTGGGCTGCTTTCTGGACCCGAACCTCGTTTTCGTTGTCCCTCACCGTTTGTATCACCATGTCTCGGCGTTCTTTGGCTGAGGCCTTTGACCACCAATTGACCTTCCCGTGCCCTAGGCCTCGACGGTCGGTTTGTGTGTAACCCATTATCTCTCTCAATTTTAGTGCGTTCTGGGCAGATTCTATCGCATCGAGGACTCTCCATTTGGTACCAGTCTTTAGAGCGGGCTGGACAGCGATGACATTTGGGTCTGAAGACTCGCGCAAGAGCATGGCGAGTCTTACCTTGCCGACTTTAAACTCTTCGGTTATCGACTTGAACGGAAGTACCAGCTTAGCCTGTTTACAATACAGAGCCACGTCGGTCAGACAAGGCGGTGCACCAATCCACTTTCTCAAGGCTGTGTTGATTTTCTTTTCCATGGTTTCCACTGCAGTCATCGTCACCTCGTAGACTAGTAGTGGCCATAGGAGCTTCGGAATCAACATGAATTGGAGACACCATACCTTGAATTTTCCGATCAGCCTGCATCGCTCGATCGCGAGCAGGCCTGTAGCCAGTGACTCGTGTATTCGCCGGACTTCCGCTCTGTCAGATAACTTCGAATCGTAAACGCGACCGAGACTCTTCACCGGTTCCTCCAGAACCGTGGGGATCTTGTTCCTTGCCACCGTAAAACTGGTTGCCACCACTCGACCCTTATTGATTGACAGACTCCTCGACTTCTGCGGTTTGAACTGCATACCGCTCCATTGGACCACCGCGTCCAATCTTTCCAGGATCGTGCGGGCAGACTCCTCGCTGCCCGTTATAATAGTCGTGTCATCCATAAAGGCACGTAATGGTGGCATCCAGTGGTCCCCAATTTGAAGGCCCTGTCCGTAGCCGGCCGCCCCGTCTAACATGATCTGCATTGCCATGACAAACAGTATGGGTGAGATCGTACAGCCCATAGCTATCCCAATCTGCAACTCAGTCCACCTCGTGGTAAACGTCGAGGTAGAGAAGCGCAAAGCGAACTTGGAGAAATATTGCTCGACCATTTGACTGATCTGTGCCGGTACGTGGAACATGCGAAGGGCTCGCCACAGTAGCCTATGGGGGACTGCCCCATAGGCGTTGGCTAAGTCCAACCATATAACGTGCAATTGAGTTCTCTCATGCTTAGCTCTCTGGATAGCCTCCCAAATCATGGTCGCGTGTTCAAGGCACCCAGAAACGCCTGGGATGCCACCCTTCTGAACACTCGTATCTATGTACTTGTTAGTCATCAGATACTGTGTGAGCCGGCGAGCCATGACTGAGAAGAATATCTTACCCTCGACATTCAACAGCGAGATGGGCCTGAATTGGGAAAGACTCTTCGAGTCTTGCTCTTTGGAAATGTAGACCCCATTTGCCTTTGACCACTCTGGACATATGTGGTTGCGGATCCACGCTTGTCTCAACAAGACGTGAAGCATTTTTAGGATTTTCGGGCAACGCTTGTAAAGAACGTACGGGACACCGTTCGGACCTGGGGCAGATTTGCCGCTGGCCTTTTTTTTAACAACGTCCTCAACCTCAGACCAAAGGGGAGGTACCATTTTAAATGGTACCTTCGGCACCGAAGGCTGTTTGAGACCGCTAAGGATCTCTGGATTGTCATCGAGAGGCTCTCTCCTCTTTTTATCCGATTACATCTTGCATAGATGTAGCTCTAGTTCTTCCTGACTGACAACCAGAGTCCCAGACTTCGGTTGCTCGAATAGACCTCGGGCAAACTGATACGGGTCCCTAAAGAATTTCTCTCGCTCCCTTTTGGTTCTTCGTCTGTTGTTACAGAAACGCTCGGCACGACAGAGGGCACTGTGTTTGTTCTTTAAATGCAACCAAATTTCATACAGCCCCTCCCGTTCGCTGCCTGTAGCGGCTTTGAACCGTTTTCTGAGGGCATTCTTGTCTGCCCGACACTTCAGAATGTCCCTCTGCCTCCTGCTAGTATTCTGCTTGGCACCCGGCTGTGCCTTTACTACTGTCCCGAACTCGCGGGAGCAGTGTTCATATATTACATCACCAAATTTAGTAAGCTTGTCGCCTAGCGGCTTCTTGTTTAGAGTTTGTTTAAGTATCTCACATAATGTAACCTCCAACTTACACCACACCACCTTCTCGCTCGCAGGTGGAAACCTGATTCTGGAACGCACTTCTTCAGAAATCATCAAACGTGCTCCTCCGCAGTCGACGTCATGGGCCTCTCCGGGCGAGTGGGGTTCACCCTGCCCGTCGTTCCCTAACGACTCAGAAACTACCACAGGAGTAGTAGTTTTGCGACGGCGTTTACTGCGTGGAGCACCCTCACATTTCATTCTTCCGGCATGCGTTCTCAGACCATGCAACCCCGTGAAGCTTTTCCCACATGTACAGAGCCAGCCCGGACGTTGGGCGGATATATTGGACTAGACCTACATTTTCATAGACATCGGCAATTGGTGGGTGATGTGGTCGGCATCACGCCGGTCACCTTTACTTCCCAAGACTGTATCTTGTACCCATTTTTAAAGCTGGGTCGACATTGGAAGTCAGTGTCATTTTTGTCGAAAGTGAGTACCAGTTAATGTCATAGAAAGTATGGCCACACCACATATCGAACTCCTATTACATTATCAAAAATGCAAAGGCAGGAATAGGGTCATATTTTTTAAGTTTTCCTTTTTCCGAAAGACAAAATTATACATTCGCAAATTTTCCAGAATGTGAGGACAACAGTTACAACAGTGAGCCTGAAAGTGGCATCTCTGTGGATATGCACGCGTCTTCTCCTGACAGTCAGAAGAAGGACAAAGGTGTTTTAAACCCTGTCTTCTTAGAAGACAATTCTGCTACAGAAACTACCCCGACAACAGAATATGATCTACGAATGTAAGTATTATTAATCTACTTATGCATGGTTGTTTGTTTTTTTAAATAAAGTAAAGGACCCTTTTCCACGCCTTTAGGCGTACAGGGCATATAGGGCTAGACCTATACCATTTTTTTTTTTTGTTTTGTATTTTATTCTTTACTTTTCTTTTTTTTTTTTTATCTTCATGTTTCGTTCACTATAAAATATCATGTCCCTAGTTTTCGCGTTTCCTTTCTGTGTGACTTTCTTGTTAGTTTCTCTGATGTTCCTAATTCTTATTGTATTATGATAAAGATTTCGTTTAAACGTTCGGTTGTATTTGTTCCAATCCTTTCCTTTCCCTTCTTTGCAGTTTCATTGATGTTAGTTTTTCATTTTTTTTTTTCAGAGAATGTGACGAAGGTTCTGAAAAAACAACAAAGAGTCAGAAGAAAGAGGACAGCAGTGAAAGCTCAAGTTATATTCGGCTCTGTCGTGGACTTACTCTGTGTATAGCGTACGCTGCAAATATTGGCGGGATTGCTACGCTGACTGGAACACCGCCAAATTTAATACTCAAAGGCATGGCAGACGAGTAAGTCAGTGAATGTTTGTTTAGCAATCTGAATAAAGATCAGTTTCATTTTCGTGTCAGGGCAAACGGGTGTAATCTAGTAGTCACGTAATCCTAGTTTCAGCTTCATAGCAAACGGGTCATCTTATAGTTGCTCCGCTCCTGTGCCAACGAAAAACACTCAAAATGTTTTGTAAAATTATAAGAAGCTACGAGGACAGCTAAAATATGAAGGGCGGACGAGAAATGGACCATGGTGTAGTTACTGAATTCTAAAAGAAGTACGACGCGTGCGACAATCAAGAGAATCAACACTGTAAATCTGCAACTGTGACCAGACTACAAGAACAGCAAGTAGAAAGAGGTGAGGCCAGCCGAGAACTTCATGTAGAAAGCTAAAGAAGAATAAACCAACACAGAACTGGTATTGTCAGCCACTACACGCTGCGGGATTTGCTGATAGGGAGATCCGAATACATATAGACTGATTTCGGACTTCTGTTCAATATGGCAGACAGGATTACTGTTTTTAGTCGTTGCAAAGTTTTGTTTGTGACAATATTAAGCTGTTGCATTTTTCTCCATATAAAGGCTAAAAGGATATAATTCCGTCGTCCAGCTACTGAGTTTACTGAATGGCGAGACACTGTAAGCTGCAGATTTTATTTGGAATTCTTTCGTGGCTTGTGTTATGAAATGCAATTTCAGAAGGTAACGATTAGTCTGTTACCAGAAATTACTGGTAGTGCCGTATGCAATTTGCTGCCTGTGCAGCTGCTGATATGTTGTAACTTGCTGCTTCCATCGACGATGAACTGCCTTCTAGTGTCGGCCTATTTATGTTGGCGATTCTGATAGCTGCCTTATGCATTAAACGCATATTTATGCTATTGGCTTTACTGACACTGCAGTCTGTGTAATTTTGTTTTCCTTAACAAGGGGCATTCTTGTGGTTTTCTTTGGCACAGGAACGGAGCAACTATCGGGTGACCCCTTTGCTATAAAGTGGGAGCTGAATGAAGTGGATTGCCCGATTACCTGACTGGTTCCTTGTGAAATGAGGATGGTCTGTCGATTACCTTGTTCTTTTTCTTCTTCTTCACATTCCGAACCCTCGAGGTTCATTGCTGCAGACATTACCCGCCTCCACTCGTCTCTCTGGTTGGCCTTATTTTTCTAGTTGGTGACACCAAGTGTTTGCAGGTCTGTCTGAATATTATCTCTCCATCGTATTTTTGGTCTGCCTCGTGGTTTAGGACTATTCAGCTCCCTTGTGTATACTGTCTGACATGCTGTCAATATGCCCCAGCCATGTCAGTCTATCAGCTCTCACGATGCCAGTGGTCAATGGTGATTTAAACAGATTATCAATTTCATTGTTGCTTCTCACTCTCCATTCCCTACTAATTACATTTTCGATTCTTCCAAATGCTCGTCGTTGGAGTGGTTTCGAAGTGTCGACTAACTTAGTAAAACTAATTATGCCATCTTGACAATGGGAGTTGGCTGCTTCGTATTTACTGCTAACTTTTGGAAATATTACCAGATGATTCCCCTGTCTCTTTTACAGAGTGACTCACATACTACTGTCCATGAGAACTGAATAAGTCTTCCCCTGTGGGTTCCCAGGCCTCATGGGGGCAAAGCGCGGAGGGAGAAATAAGTTGAGTGCAGCTGACTGAGAGATGAGCGCGCACAAATGAAGTTTTGGAGCAACAGTAAAGTCCAGAAGTGGACGAACAACCAGCTGGTAAACACGAAGAAGAAGAACAGTTTGCTGATGAGTTTTATTTTCTGACAACTCTGTTAGGTACTGTTAGCATGTCGACACCTTGTTGGCTACTGAAGAAGGGAACGTAGCACATATGGGAATGTCCCGAATGCAGGGATGTCCGTTCTTGATTGATTGATTGATTGATTGATTGATTCATTCATTTCATTCATTTCTCTCACAACTCATTGGTCACTGGTTTCAATGCCTATTAAGGTATGTTTTCAAAATGGCTCTTCTGCTGCTGCTTCTTCTTCTTCTTCTTCTTCTTCTTCTTCTTCTTCTTCTTCTTCTTCTTCCTCTTCCTCCAACTCCTCTTCTCCGAAAGTTCTGGTTGTTCGTTTACTTCTAGGCTTCAGTGTAGTTTAAAAGCCTAAATTTTGTATTCAAATCCGCTTTCTGATCTGACAAGACCTGGCCGGTCATGCAGATGTCCTGCGACTTAGGACGAACAAGTCAATAATTAGTCCCCTTTTACATTTTTATTAGGCATGCAATGGACTTATCCTCCACCGCTCTCCCTTTGAAATAGGTCCCCGGAACCCATACTGGGGAAAACTCATAAAAGCAGTCTCGTCAACCCAGCTTCAAAGACCCTGGTGACAGGCGTGATATCAATCACATTGATCAGAACCAACCCTAGTATTCTTTTGACTGTCATGGTTTTTCAAAGCAAATTTAGTTAAATAGTTTGCCATTGCTTACTAAAAGATTGGCTGTCGATACCACTATTGACACCACGCAAAGCGGTCTGCCACCAACTCACCTGCTGTTAGAATCAAACCCGGCATTGCGAAGCTCGTTCGAAACCCTAAGCCATTGTCACCGTTAAGCACAAATGTGTCTTAAATTCCTTTTTTTTCCCACAACTATTCAAGGATCTACAAGAATGCTCAAATCGAAAATGGGACCGACGCTGTTGGCTCGCCCATCTCCTTCTCCAACTGGATGATCCTGGCGGTTCCGTTGTCGGCCATGACGCTTGTCCTAGGCTGGGTGATGCTAGTGCTGTTTTTTATCACTGGAAGGTAGGCTTCTCGTGTAGCATCTACAGTTCATGTTCGTCTACTCTCTTCTTTCTTTTGTCGTCTCACTGATACCAGGCCCAGTGTCGTGGCTTTCCGTGTTTGTCTTGCGCTTCTCGGGTGGTGAATTTGTTCGTGTATTTTTACAGGTTTCAGCTACATAATTTATCAATGTCTTTCTTGGTCTTCCTCTCGCCCTTCTCCCAGATTTTCTGCAGGTAAAAAGTATCATTTGCAGTTTGGTCTGGCCGCATTCTCACTAGCTGACCGAACCATTGACTTATTTGTCTGTCAATATATTTCAGAGTCGGTTTTATTTCAACTGTCTTTCGAATGCTGTTGTTCGTAATCCTGTCTCCACATTTTTATCTCTTAATAGATCACCATGATCTGGAAAATAATGGTGCAATTGGAAATGGGCAGCCTCCCTTTCTTTACAATTTGCTGAGGCTAAGTGGCCTATAAAACCATGTGAAATAATTTTCTTGCTTTTAAAAAAAATATATTTTGTAAACACATTTCATATTTCCCCAGATATATTATTATATTTATTTTTTCCTCAGCACATAATAATAGTTGTTACCAGGGCTTTTTCTTCTGGTGGTACGCAGTACCAGCACCTGTTTGGAGTCATAATTTTTTTCGGCGCTAATGTACTAGACACTTTCTGATGAGTATCAGCATTCTTTTAAAAAATCATTATTATTATTAATGTTGTTGTTGTCGTCGTTATTGTTGCTATATTCCCCCCCCCCCCCCCCCATGTTCTCTTTGTGTCGAAGCCCATAGTGTCGTCTGCCTAACATCTTCTTTCTTGCCCTGTTTTCTATTTAACTTTTCTGTTGTCTTGATAAGCTCGTTCTCCTTTATCACTTCGTTAAAATGAAGTAAACTGTCTTATTCCGTTAAATTAGCAATTATTGATTCAGCCCAATTTTTCTAGGAAAGCTAAATTAAAAACAGCAAAAATTGTTTTCTTTTGTGACTTCATGTCAGTCCTCCAGGCGACTAAGAAGGATACACGAGACAACATGAAGTGAGAACTAACCCGCCAGCTAAACAGACTTACAGAAAACAATCAAATCGTTCTCCAGTGGGTCCTGGCTCACTGCGGCATACCGGGAAAATGAGTTAGCAGACAGACTTGCAAAAAATGGAACAAAGGAGAAACAACACGCCCATTCATTGTCATTACCAGAAATCAGAACACTAATCAAGGGAAAATACAAAGGATTGTGGAGAGAACAAACTAACAGTAAACATCGACAAGCCCCATCAGCACGCAACAGAAAGCGACATACAACAATGTTTCTTCTACGAACAGGACACTGCAGGCTCAACTACCACATGCATTAAAAAAAAAGACTGTACAGTCCCCACAGTGTGCCTGTCAGACAGGATCACAAACACCTGTGCACATTCTGCAGACCTGCCCACTCTACCTGCAACTTCGAAAAGACTCCTGGAGCAAAGTGTGCAGAGCAAGCTATGGGGAACCATGAATGACCTGTTACTGGCATGCGAGTTCATAAGACAACCCAATCCGAGCATATGAAACCGAAAGCAAAGAAGAAGAAGAGGAAATTAGTTGATGTAGAATGTTGAACATTTTACACCTCTCAACTGATGCAGATTATTTTTTTAACATCTCCCAGGCGATGTTGAATGTTTAGTATTTAACAAATCACAACTGATGCAGAATGTTTATTTTACATTTCATTATTGATGTGAAAAAGTGTAAAATATTTCATACTTCACAACAGATATTGAACAAAATATAAAAAAAGGGGGGGGGTGAGGAAGAGTAGAATGAGATGGAGGAGAAGAAGCATAAGAAAAGGGAGAAAGAAGAGTAGATTGCAGAGAAGAAGAGGAGGAAGGGAAAGAGGAGAACAATTAAAAGATCGGTGTTATCATGGGAAATTTGTTTTAAACAGAGGATGCTGCACACACAACAAGAAACAAGGCTTGGCTATGAAGAAAGTTATCAAGGAAGAATGGGTGAAACTCGGTAAAATCACGTAAGTCGATTATGACAGTTATTATAACCTCATTGGTGATAATCAACACTTTTACAGAATAATGATTGTTAGGAACGACTTTTTAATAATCAACTTAAGTTTCTGTGATATATTTTAAATAGGTTATATCAAGACAATGTGTAAAAAGCTCACAAAAATCATGTCTTTCTGTCTCTCTCTCTCTCTCTCTCTCTCTCTCTCTCTCTCTCTCTCTCTCTCTCTCTCTCTCTCTCTCTCTCTTTCTTTCTCTCTCGTTGTGTGTGTGTCTCTCTCTCTGTACCTATATGTCTCTCTCCCTGGCTCTCTGCATGCGTGTGTGTGTGTGTTTGTGTGTCGTAGAGCATGAAGAAAACTTGAGAGGGCACAGATGCTCAGCCGCTTTACAAATGTAAATTTGGGTAAGGGGTGCTCAAGATTCTTAAACTAAGCCTTGTTTAAATGCGTATTAATAATAACAATAATATTAATGCGCTGAAATCCCAAACATTACCCTCCTTGTATTGTCTGCTCAATGTTCTCTTATTACGGTGTATATTTGTTCAAGGACAGATCCATGGTGTAAGGTTAAATGGTCTATTTTAAGGACATATGGTGTTAAATAAAACCAGGAACGAGCCAGCAGGCAGGCACTCCGGTAAGGTATATTTAATCCTTTAGATCAGTGGGTTTCAACTTTTTTTTTTATGTCCCCCCCCCCCCCCCTCCCCCCCCCCTTTTTTTTTTTTTAAATATAGCCTAAGACTCTGCCCTCCCTCAAGTTAGGAGGGTTTGTAGGACCCTCATTTTAGTGTTGATTGTTAGTTTAGTGTTCGTCATGTTGTTTTGCCGTAATAAGTGGATTGAGAAACAAGGAGGTCCCAGAGAAACGTTAAAACACATTTTAAAAAGAGAGAGAAAGGTTTTGCACAGAGGTAAACGGCATCGTGGAATATGTTGGGAGCTCTATGCGACATATAATGGCACAACAAGATGACGCCTATGATGATGATGATGATGAAGATGACAACGACGGTGACGATATTTCCTTAAGCATTATTAAAGTTAAGTGCAGTGAAATCTCGTTCACAGCAACTCCAGTTCACCGAAAAAATCGACAGTTCGTGTTTAAAATATTCGTGCTAAATGTTGCTTAACATATGTATGCGGATTATAATATTACATCCCTGCTGAAAAGAAAATTTAGTTCATTTTAACCGAGGGTTTGACTTAAGCAAGGTTGTGTCAACGAGGCTCTACAGTAAACATTTGTTCCTAATCCTTGCTTGTTTGATTCTACAGCATGGCGGAGATTGAAGTCCTTATTTTATTCATTGTCCTCGCTGTTTTGTGGATCAGCCGAGATCCCAAGGAAAGTCCAGGGTGGACAGGATGGTTCATCAAAGAGTAAGAAATAAAATATAAACTTTTTTTTAAATACTTAACTTTGAATGTATGCAGAAATGTAAAAAAAAAAAAAAAAAATAATAATAATAATAATACTGGAGATTATACAGAAAACGGAACAAAAAAATTACACATATGGATAGCTTGATAGATGGATGGGCAGGTGAATAGACAGACGGACTGACTGGCAGACAGACAGACAGACAGACAGACAGACAGACAGACAGACAGACAGACAGACAGACAGACAGACAGACAGACAGACAGACAGACAGACAGACAGACAGACAGACAGACAGACAGACAGACAGACAGACAGACAGACAGACAGACAGACAGACAGACAGACAAATAAATAAACAGACAGACAGACAGACAGAAAGATAGATAGATAGATAGATAGATAGATAGATAGATAGATAGATAGATAGATAGATAGATAGATAGATAGATAGATAGATAGATATAGATAGATAGATAGATAGATAGATAGATAGATAGATAGATAGATAGATAGATAGATAGATAGATAGATAGATAGATAGATAGATAGATAGATAGATAGATAGATAGATAGATAGATAGATAGATAGATAGATAGATAGATAGATAGATAGATAGATAGATAGATAGATAGATAGATAGATAGATAGATAGATAGATAGATAGATAGATAGATAGATAGATAGATAGATAGATAGATAGATAGATAGATAGATAGATAGATAGATAGATAGATAGATAGATAGATAGATAGATAGATAGATAGATAGATAGATAGATAGATAGATAGATAGATAGATAGATAGATAGATAGATAGATAGATAGATAGATAGATAGATAGATAGATAGATAGATAGATAGATAGATAGATAGATAGATAGATAGATAGATAGATAGATAGATAGATAGATAGATAGATAGATAGATAGATAGATAGATAGATAGATAGATAGATAGATAGATAGATAGATAGATAGATAGATAGATAGATAGATAGATAGATAGATAGATAGATAGATAGATAGATAGATAGATAGATAGATAGATAGATAGATAGATAGATTAGACAGACAGACAGACAGACATATCAGACAGACAGACAGATCAGACAGACAGACAAAACAACACATGGACTGCTCCTGTGTAGTAGGTAGGTAATTATGTAGATAGATGTTTCAAATGCAGGATAACTAAACAATCTTCAAATTTTCTGTTTTCCATCGACAGCTCTGTATCTGACTCAACGGCAGCGATGTTAATAGCCTTGCTACTGTTCACTCTACCTGCAAAAATACCGAATTTACTCTGCTGGTACAAGGAAGGTAACGTGTCCTATGATTTCAATTCTACGAGGCGGCTTTAAATGAAAACATTACAAGTGCGATAACAATTAAAACACACATGTCATTGTCTTGAAACCTGTCAATCTTGTTTACTAACGACGTCAAAAGCGTTAAGCCCGTGATGTCACAGTGCAGACTAAAACAGTGATGTCATAATGACAGTTAAAAGATGGCCGACCCATTTTCGATGTGGCGTGGTTAATCTAGTTTCTGTTACATTTTAAAGGTTTTTTTAAGTCCCTGCTTACATGCATTGCGAATGCGTATGATTATTTTTGTTTGTAAAGAAAATAAAAATGTAAATTAGTGAAGAGCTGTATGGTTTTATAGAAGGAAAAGGTACAAACAATGCAATATACACATTGAGAACATTAGTAGAGAGATCAGTGAAGAAACAGAAAGACATATATTTGTGCTTCATAGATTATACCAAAGCTTTTGATGAAGTGAACCATGATGAAATTAAAAAATTGTGGGGGGATATTAACATTGAAGGAAACATCTCAGAAATGATAATAAAAAATATCTACTGGAAGCAAGAAGCAGCAATTAAATTTGGAAATAAAGTATGCAGTTATGAATAGATAAAGCAATGAGTGAGACAATGATGTGTTTTGTCACCGGATCTCTTCTCTCTCTGTAGGGAAAAAATAAGGATGAAGAAGGTCAAGGACAGGCCAGGAATGCTAGCTGGAGGTTACAATATAAACAGTCTTCGTTATGCAGATGATACAGTACAAATAGCTGAAAACGCCGAAAGTCCTACAATAACTATTAGACATTCTATAACAAAAGAAGGGAAAGTGCTTAGCCAAGTCAATAAATTTAAGTATTTTGGGAACATTCATAACATCAGATGGACGATGTGTGACAGAAATTATGAGCAGAATTGGTCAGGCAAAGGCAGCTTTTCAGAAGATGAAAAGTATTTTATTTAATAAATTAAACTTTAGAAAACAAGTACTGAAATGTTATGACAAGCATGTTCTGTTGTATGGTAGTGAATCTTGGAAAGTGAGCAAACAGAAGAAGAAGAAGAAGAAGAAGAAGAAGAAGAAGAAGAAGAAGAAGAAGAAGAAGAAGAAGAAGAAGAAGAAGAAGAAGAAGAAGAAGAAGAAGAAGAAGAAGAAGAAGAAGAAGAAGAAGAAGAAGAAGAAGAAGGAGAGCCTCAGGATTTACTGCCGTATGGCTAACTAAATTCATTTTGCCTATACATTATTTTAGAACGCACAAATGAGCCCGTTTGGACGCCATTATTGACTTGGGAACAAGTAAACAAGAAGCTACCTTGGGGTGTCATCATCCTTCTGGGAGGGGGATTTGCCCTAGCAAAAGGTGTGCAGGTAAGGTATTAATTTAAACCTTTCCTTCTCTCTTCTCTCTCCTCTCTCTCTCTCTCTCTCTCCTCTCTCTCTCTCTCTCTCTATCTTTCTCTATCTCTCTCTCTCTCTCTCTCTCTCTCTTTCTTTCTTTCACTCTCTTAAAATAAATTGTTCAGTTTTAGAACCAGGGTCGTTTTAAGTTGGTTATTTGGCTAAAACTCCGAAGAAGGGTTTTACTTTCTTGATTATATCACATTTTAAGGCGGTAAGAGCTGAAAGAAGAGTGGCTGGCTACATGATTAGAGTACGGGGGTCTCAGGCTGGAGACCCGGGTTCGATTCTTTGTATGTGACTGAGATGTTTCCTATCGGGGCAAAATTAAAGATTCTAGCCTTCTCAGCAGAGTTCCTGGAAACTGCACTAACCATATGGTCTTCAATATTGAGGCACTATATGAAACGATAGCATGGAGGGATATCATCAAGAAAGCTGTTCCGGGCAACCAGAGTTCGTGATCTGTGGGAACGCATGAGCGCCTATGCCAGCTGGCAGGGCATATGATGATGATTATCCTGAAGTTCAGGGATTTATTGTTGACCCTATCAGAACCATTTTTTGTCAGCATAACAGAGATTCGAACAAGGGTCTCCCGAATGTGCACCAGCTGTTCTGGCCACTCGGTAAGAAACATCTCGAAGAAAACAGATGAGTTGAGTTGAATAAGAACAATTATCACATCACTCAGGGCATTCTCGTAAGGACCACGTTCCAACCCTCAGCAGCTCTCGTAGAGTTTCAACTCGGATGATAGCAGTAGCAATATGATTGTATGCATGGTCTGCATTTCCACTGAGAGCTGAGTATTAACCAGATACCTTAGCCACACCTCGCTGCACCGTTCTCGCTAGATTACCTAAGTGTGCTTCTCTACCAATAATTTGCTCCACAAAGGCCTTGACAACATCTGACTTGTCGTGCATCAAACTACCATCAAGAACAAGCTGATCTAACACAGATGTTCTCAGTCTGCATAATATCGCGACTCTTAATTAAATAAAGTTGCTCATGTTGTGGTGACTCCCAGCCATACAGTTATTTTCGTTGTTACTTCTAACTTCAGTTAATATGTGTTTTCCGATGGTCATACGCGACACATGAGAGCAGTTTGCATATCTCAGGTTTTTTTTTTTTTTTAGTATCCAGAAACCATGAGCAACCCTTTGGCTCGGTTCTATGGATATCGCAACCATTTGGTCTTGATTCAATGATATATACTGTAAATCTGGGAGAAATGTGGCTTTTCTCCCTAACCCCGGGCGTGAACCCGGATCACAAGCAGTTCGCCACCCGGTCGCCGCGCAGTCAGGTTCAACTAACCGATCTACCTAGCCGTGCTATAACTCAGTTTGAAATCTAATAATATGATGAACAGGCATTTGTAGATTAAGAAGAGATTTGACCAAAACGTATCTCTACACTAGACTGTCACTGTTGACGAAACTGTACAGCAATGTAGGATAAAGACACAGAGGGAGATAAATTCTTTCGAAGGAAAGTAGTTTCAAAGTAAACAAGTAAAAGTAAAGATTTCTTTTCACGCCTTGGGCGCAACGGCCATATGAGAAGAGCATCCCATATTTTTACAGACTAATCGACACTAGGTGGGTAATGTCGTCAGAATTATACGCCAGCCGTCTTTACTTCCCCAGGACAGCCATCCTGGTACCCATTTGGGCTGGGTCGACCTGCGACGCCCCATATCATGATAAAAATCCCCGCAGCTAGCAGTTTGTTTTGATCGCGGTACGTTGGAATTGCAAGTCGAACTCGCAACGCCTAAGCTATGGAAGCCGCTGTTTTATTGTGTTGCAGTTCATTTATGTAATTACTACTCTTGAATGAAAGTTTATATATGGTTATATGTATTGATCGTTTTGTAAAATTAAATATAATATGTGTGAATTATTTACTTTTAACGGATTTTAATTTTCGTCCAAAGCCCGAAGTGAAATAGAATTGCTATACATATTTTTTAAGGGATCGCTCCGCGGCATTTGTTTCAATTTATGACAAAAATATCCATTTTCAATATGCTCGTTTTTGTAAAGCTTGGCATTCCTAGAATAGATTACACACAAGATTTATGTAATCTGTAAAGAATTTAGCATTGAAAAGTTAAAAGTAAAGACACCACCTCGTGTATTTTTTATGTGACTTTACAAGTTTGAAGGTCAGTTTTTCACAATTCTTTTTTTCTGTTTGTTGTGTGTATAAAATCTCCACATCTCATCGAATATAAAGACTAGAAACACAACATTTAGTTTTGATGCTTTGATGCTCATTAAACAATATTATAAGTACAGGTCTATTTAAAAGTGAATTTTAGAAATTTTTTTTTTTTCAACTGTCCTATGATGCTACATTTTTTTTAAAAACTATAACAAACATTCATTTTAAAATACCTAGAAAAATATTTAAAGACACCTTTAAAGTAAATAAACTACACATGGGCCATGAAATAGGATAAAAGTTTGCCAATCCATCATTTATTTCTCAGTACCTAGGTTATATTTTGAAATTTTAGGATTCTAAGTACAGTATGAATCATATAAGTCGTCTTTTTGTGTCATGCAATTGTTTTGTTATTTTGAAGCCCTAACTCGGCTTTTGCCAGGGGCCCTAAATATAGCCAGTCTTTAAATATGGCCTGACGGCTGAACTAAGTTTTTGGGACCTCTCCACCGGTGCTCCTCATCCGCATGGTGGCACTTTGTGTCACCGGGTGTTTATCGCTCTGTGTGTTTGTCCTGGTGGGGTGAAATTTACTTAATTACTATTCAAAGTGCATGTTTTTTTCACAAGATGGCGGCTGTTACTATGGAAATTATAATTTTTTGGAAACCTAAAGTGTGCAAATGTATTAACATATATCCCTTTAAATGAACATTATAAAATAATTTGTCTAATATTGTAAATTTAAAAAAAAATGTGTGTGTGTGTAATTTAAGATATTTCTGATATCCGTCTATTAGGTTAAACGCCGCAGCCCTAGTCCGGACGGTGGCGGTTAATTGAAGTTTTACTGTATTTTAAAGTCACCAGTTTTCAAAGTTGACAGTTAATTAAGTAAATGATCAGCGGTATTAATTTCAGCATAAAGCACTAGGCAACTGTACTTCTAATTTCAGAAATCTCATTTGGATCAATGGCTAGCACTTAAACTACAGGGACTTGGCAGTCTCGATCCCTGGGTACTCAACCTTGTGTTGTGCCTGATTGTTGCCACAATCACGGAAGTTACTAGTAATTCAGCAACTGCAACATTGCTGATGCCAATTCTTGCAAACTTGGTGAGTTGTGATTGAGGATGTTGACTGATGTATATTGTAGAATTAAAACGCAGATGCAGTCGAAGAACAGACGTGATCGCCTATATTATTTGAAAAAGCACTTGCTGATAGTTATTGTGGTAGACAATCTACACTAACCTTTATTGGTCGCTTGTGTGCACACAAGCACGCCTCTTTGTGCGCTCTCGCGTGTGTGTGAGCTTGATCGTCATCATCAAGTGCCTTGCTAGCTGGTGTAAGCTTTTATGCATCTCCACAGATCAGTCTTTGGTCTTCTGGATCAATTCCACTGATGATATTCCTCCATGCCGCTGTCTTAAGCCACTCACCATCATTTCTCTTGGTCTGCCTCTGCCTCTTCTACCAGTCATCTTTCCAGGCCTCACGATATTTTCCAGTGCTCATTTTCACATCAAATAAAAAATAACTTTGTCTCCATCTCATTGTTGTACATAATGTTATACTTTCATTAGCTATTTAAGGCAATCATTGTTAGTTATTATGGCAGTCCAAGGTATTCTTGATAGGTTTAATTAATCAAGTGCCTTTCCACAAAGAAGGTTCGCTGCAATGGATCTCCAGCACGCTCTCTCTCTCTCTCTCTCTCTTTTTTTTCTTGCTCTCTCTCTCTCTTTTCTTGCTCTCTCTCTCTTTTCTTGCTCTCTCTCTCTCTTTTCTTGCTCTCTCTCTCTCTCTTTTCTTGCTCTCTCTCTCTCTTTTCTTGCTCTCTCTCTTTTCTTGCTCTCTCTCTCTTTTCTTGTTCTCTCTCTCTCGTTTCTTGCTCTCTCTCTCTCTCTCTTTCTCTCTCTCTCTCTCTCTCTCTCTCTCTCTCTCTCTCTCTTTTCTTGCTCTCTCTCTCTCTCTTGCTCTCTCTCTCTCTCTCTCTCTCTTTTCTTGCTCTCTCTCTCTCTTCTTGCTCTCTCTCTCTCTCTCTCTCTCTTATTGTTTTTGTTGTATAGACTCGGACTTTAATTTGTATATCTCTTGATGTTATCCTCCTATTTGTATCATTGTCTACCTCTTGCTCACTTGCCCTCAACCTTTCCTTTGGTACGTTATTTTTTAACGTTCCATTATACACTATAATGGTCGCTACCTCTTAACGAGAATAATAACTCATATTTTTATGTTGGTCTTGTTTCCCAGGGAATTTCAGTCGGTATCAGCCCTCTGTATCTGATGGTATCTGCCGCCATTGCAACATCATTTGCATTTATGTTACCAGTGGCGACGCCTCCTAATGCAATTGTGTTCACGTACGGATACGTACGGGTCATTGATATGGTAAATTGGTATACTTTGATCATTTTTTGCTTACATATTCATCAGGTGGCTGGACGCTCGCCTACCAGCCCGAAACTCTTGAGTTAAAACCCGCATCATGGCTTATTTTTATGATTAATTTGACTTTCAAAATCAACCAGTCTGTAAATGGCTATCATGAAATATCTGGGAAGTAAAGGCGGCTGGTGTGATGTTAAAACCACATCACCTAAAAAAATTGTTATGTGCCATCGCCGCAATGAAGTTTAGCTAAAGTGTACCACTATCGTTCTTTGAGGGACTTTATGCGGTGAGGTCCCTATTTCTTCCACTGTGTGACTCTCGTACCAATGTCTGAAAACCGCGAGAACGTTTTCTTTTAACCGTCCATCCACAGGGGAAACGAGCCTTAATACTCAAGGATAATAAAATTGTTAACCGCATTCACTAAACTCTAAGCCACCGAACAGCTTATCGTATCACTTTTTCAGTCCCAGATAGTCATTACATTTAACAAACGACAACTTCAAAAAACGACAACTATGACAATTAACAATGGAACGAAGCGACCAACAGTAAAAATAACAGTATATTATGTCAGATAGTTATTTAATTTAACAACAGGTACAGCACTAGTGGATCTAGTCAACAGGCAGAGTGCAGAGCATAGTTAAGACACTAACATTCGAAAAATGACAACTGTGATGGAACCGACCAACAGTAAATATCACAATAGGCAGTGAAATATAAGAACAAGTATCATGTTTCTCCTATCTTGGACATGTAATAACAGATGATGACAGAACTGAAATAGAAATCAAAAAGAGAATAGGAATAGCTAAAACTGTCTTCGGTTTGATTTGATTTGATTCAAGAACCGACATCACAGCACTCGGGGTATTCCTAAAAGCTCTATGTCTCCATCTACAGCAGCTAGCGAAGAGTTCCGATACTAATGGTGCCAGTAGCATTCTGATTAAACGTCCGTCTTGCCTTTCCTCTGAGCCTCGAGCTTCTGCCAAAACCCCTCGACACTCACCCCTGCATCAGTCTCACCAGACAGTGGTGATCCATCTGCTCCTCCGAACTGTACACGCTCTTCAACAAGTCACTAACCACGTCTGCGTTATCATGCATCAGTATTCCATCAGTATTCCATCAGTATTGTGCAGAGCCAGCCAGTCTGTCTGCCTGTTCATGTGCACGCACACCGGCGTGTCCCGGTGAAAAAAAATCCAGACAAAACTCCTCACCCGTGTCCTCCGCAGCGAGGCATGCCACTCTGCACGAATCATGCCTGTCCTGATTTTCCTCAGCATGATTTCTGAGTCAGTTACAATCACGATGTGTGTGTGTGTCGTGTTCTTCAACCAGCGGAAAGCTGCAGTGACCGCCTCCACCTTCATTCTTCGGTAAGATGCACAAATTATTGACATCAAAAGAGATAAATAGCACATTAAAATGAGGTAGGTAGGTGTTTTGCTAGAGAGGAGAAAAAGAAAAAGAAATTCACATTCAACCAACATCCATGAAGGAGGAAATTTAGGTTATAACTGGGACTAGGTTGTGTGCGCCATGTAAAATGTCTAAGCGTTGTACGCTACAAATAACCACGTAAAGGATTCCTGCAGTGTTGATGCGATCAAAGGAGACAGCATCAAATACTGTTCCGACGAAGTCATCTACCGGCAAGCCAGCTGGCGACCCGGTCATCGATGACATTAAAATGAGAGTAATTAAGTGTTATTTATACTCAACCCTGATCTATGGTGCAGAAGCTTTGACAATAAAAAGGCAACTAAAGTCTCTGGAAATATAGATATACTAATTAGAAAAGTAGTTTTTCACACTGAAATGTAATAAGTAATTCGCGAGGGCCTGCGAATGGAAAAGAAAGATACTAACAGAAGTACAAAAAATAATTTTAAAAAAAAACAATAGGAGACAATTGATATACTTTGGGCATATTAAAAGACATAACGCTCTTTTAAAGATCATGCTGGATCGAAAAGCAGAGGGCAGGAGAGCTAACGGTAGACAGCGATATAAGTGGTTTACCTCTACAGTCTCTAACAGCGAATGCCAATTTTATGTTTTATAAACAAAACCAACCGTCCCGATAATGACTTGAACCCAGGACTATGAGGCAAAGAAAGAAACGTCTACTCACTGCACTACCATGGATTGCCCAGACATGGCTTCATTTTACCACTTTTAGATTTGCGTTGGACAAGGGTATCTTGAGCCTGGAATTCCTCTGTGAGGGTCCGGGGCACCATTATGAGGGAAAACAAGAGGAGACCCACTGCCTACCCGACAAGCACGTCGTAGGAGTCGACTAAACGAGAGCTTCCTTCAAAGTCGGAATACATCTGCCCTAGCGGCAAGGAACTAGCACCTGCACACAAACAAACCACTAAAATGGATGTACACGCAAATCTCAGGCCTTTGTACAAAACCGAAGTTCAGGACTTTCCGCCAGAGCATGCAGTCGGGGAACCAAGAAAAAGAGCCTGAGGATTTGTGATCGTATGAGTAGTTAAAGAAGAGCTTGAAGAAGAGGCAGAGGAGACAATGGGAAGTTGAAGATATGATCGAGTTGAAGATGGGAATCGTATGAGTAGTTGAAGAAGAGCCTGGAGATCTGTCGAGATATGGTCGTATGGGTAGTTGAAGAGGAGTCTGTGAGATATGATCGTATGGGTAGTTGAAGAGGAGTCTGTGAGATATGGTCGTATGGGTAGTTGAAGAAGACCCTGAGGAGATCTGATCGTATGGGTAGTTGAAGAAGACCCTGAGGAGATCTGATCGTATGGGTAGTTAAAGAAGAGCTTGAGGAGATATGATCGTATGGGTAGTTGAAGAAGAGCCTGGGAGATGATCGTATGGGTAGTTGAAGAAGAGCCTGAGGAGATATGATCGTATGGGTAGTTGAAGAAGAGGCAGAGGAGATATGATCGTATGGGTAGTTGAAGAAGAGCCTGAGGAGATATGATCGTATGGGTAGTTAAAGAAGAGCCTGGGGAGATATGATCGTATGGGTAGTTAAAGAAGAGTTCGAGGAGATATGGTCGTATGGGTAGTTAAAGAAGAGCCTGGGGAGATATGATCGTATGGGTAGTTAAAGAAGAGCTTGGGGAGATATGATCATATGGGTAGTTGAAGAGGAGTCTGTGAGATATGATCGTATGGGTAGTTGAAGAGGAGTCTGTGAGATATGATCATATGGGTAGTTGAAGAGGAGTCTGTGAGATATGATCATATGGGTAGTTGAAGAGGAGTCTGTGAGATATGATCGTATGGGTAGTTGAAGAGGAGTCTGTGAGATATGATCGTATGGGTAGTTGAAGAGGAGTCTGTGGGATATGATCGTATGGGTAGTTGAAGAGGAGTCTGTGAGATATGATCGTATGGGTATTTGAAGAGGAGTCTGTGAGATATGATCGTATGGGTAGTTGAAGAGGAGTCTGTGAGATATGATCGTATGTGTAGTTGAAGAAGAGCCTGAGGGAGTTATCTATGTATGTTTAACTAAGAGCAACATTAAAGTCATAATATGTATAGTTAGTCCCGACAGCACTAGCCAAAAGGACCTATATACGCTCATTCTGAAAGACTTCCGTGCCTACGCTACAGAAGTGGTAAATACAGACAACTGTGGCCTTTTTCCCAGTTGGACAGACAAACGGATTGAACGGGTTGATTTTAGTAAGTCGCTGTATTTTGATGTATATTCCGATATTCTCTGGGTGCCATAATAGTGTGTATTTTTTTTTTTTTTTTTCTTTTCAGGCAACAGTTGGCATTTTTATGAATATCATCGCAGTAGCAGTACTAACTCTTGCCGTCAACACCTGGGGAAAGTCAGTCTACGGCTTCGATGACATAGAGCCCTATTTTCAGAAACCACATATTTTGACCTAAATCTTGTAAACTAGGATTCATTTTGTTTAATACTACGTGGTTTTCACAGTCGACCCCCATTAAAGGGAATAACCATTGAGAAAATTCACGAGTCTATGGCTTTTAAAGACGCTGAATGCACAGTACAAGTTAAAAGTTAAAGTCGAGAGAATCGACTTCATTGCAATTGGTTTCTCCCATACAGCTAGGCCTCTTTTTGCACAATGGCCAGCTGCCTGCCGAGAGCGTCGCACAAAGCACGAACTCTGCAGCTCTGGCGACGATACCAGGGGATCTCCCTAAATGTTTTTCTTGTACATTGAATGACGCAGCCGTGAAACGAAACCACGATCTTCAGAAGGCGAAGCAAACGGGTTGACTACTTCGCTACGGTGACCCCTTCACAGTTCACATAGTCATCAAGGAAGAAGTTAAACACCGAGAGAGCAAGTAGTCACTGAGGTAGCCAGGTATTTTGAGTATGTTCTGACTAAAAGTAATAGTTTGGGAATATATTAAACGAGATGGAATTCACGTGAAAGAGTTCATTACACAAAACATGTTTCTTCAGACCAAAATAATTAATTAAATATTTCAGTATTTAATTAATCACATTTCAGTATTTAATTAATCACATAATCGTATTCTGATAATTTTCATTTGTTTGTTGGTTTGTTTTAGTATCCATATAGTGTCATTTTCATTTTTTCGCAACTCTATGTTTTCCATTGTAAATCAAACTGGGATAAGCATGTATTGAACCCCAAAGGAGTACAGCAATGTCCTTCCGCTAGAGAGCCGGGCGTTTTCCCAGCTTCAAACATAAGCATGTATACCCCAAACAGCAATGTCCTGAAAAAGTAGGCATGGGGTTTATACCACAAATAACAAGACAAAAAAGACCCTTTTGATGCAGGAGTGTTTGTTCGCAAATGCCTAGAGGAAGTATGTGCAGACAGAACAGAACCAGACAGCATCATCACTGTGGAATGCCATGTAAAAATCTGGCACAGGCGGAGGAAACGTAACAATCTTTCTTGTGCTCCACATGTTATCTTCCCTGTCCCCAACACTTCGATGAAGTAATTGGGGGAGGGGGTTTGAAGGGGAAAAAATAATAAATATTGCGGATACTGTGCATAATGAGTGACAGTAACAACTAGGACTGAATGAATTAATAGAAGAATTGGACAAAAGAACCTAAGTAATTAATGTTTTGCAATGCTGTTATTCAGACTGTGTGCAGTTGCACAGAAATCTACTAACGTAGTTTTAGAAAAATGCCAATATCTTTGTTGCTCTTATTGAGAAAGTTTTATCTTGTATTGTACATTAGTGTTCCATTAGGAGCCCAACTTGCTCAGTTGTTTTATCTGTTGTGTTTTTAGTTGAGTTTATAAACACTTTAATACAGTTTAAACTGAAGTATTTTATTGTAAACGAATAACAATGCTGAAGTTTTGCCGAGGCAAATGGGGGCGTAGAATAACTGGGACGCCATAGGGGCGTCATGCATCCCAAACACGGCCCTAATGCCATGAATAAAGTAATCAAAAGTATAGTAAGTTAAACCTAAACATGTTTTTTTTTTAAAAGTATGTTTTCCCCCTGCGGACTGAACCTGATGAATTGACCATCACTAGGACAACAAAAGTTGCCTCCTGGATGACAGTCCAGCAGAGCACAACTCGTATACCTCGTTCAACCTCTGAGTAAAAAATGTAAGGCTCTAGTGATAGCAGAAAGTTGTATGCCCTGAAATTCTGACCAGGAAGGGAAAATGTTAAATTTAAAATAGTAGTCTTCTCGTGTGGGCTCCCTACTGAGCATGGGTGGGGCTTACCATACAATTTGATTAAGTAAGTATGGATTTGATGAAATGCGTAGATATCGCAACCTAGCTATAAATCACATACAACGTGCCAGCCGTCTTTCTAAGGGGTGAAGATGATGAGGAGTAGGAAGAAGAGAAGGAGGAGAAGAAGCAGAAGAAGAGGCGGAAGAAACTTTACATTTAGCCAGCGACAGCTGTATATTCATTGCATATTTTTGTATGTTAATTCATTTGAAATGTGTTTATTATTGCCTTATGTAAATTATTCAAACGTACATTTATTGTTTGTTAATTATTGGAGAATCCAAGTAAATGTAATATATGACAGCATATTCACTTTGTTGAGTCTTTCTCTTTAAAAATAATTTGATACTTGCAATGGTAATTGATAAGCGGCGTCCGTGTCTAAGGCGTTGCGAGTCCGACTCGTAAATTCCAACGTACCGCGATCGAAACCCACTGCTGGCTGCGTGGATTTTTATCATGGCATGGAGCGTCGCCGTTCGACCCAGCCTAAAATGGGTACGAGGATGACTGTCCCGGGAAAGTAAAGATGGCCGGCGTAATGCTGACCACATTACACACCCAGTGCCGATTGGTCTGTAAAAATATGGGACGCTCTTCCCATTTGCCGGATGCGCCTAAGGGCGTAAAAAGGGATCTTTATTTTTTTTAGGCAAATGATGATACGTACAATCAAATAAGAGAAACAGTTATTACTGCAAATGAGCAGTCAATCAGCATTTCTTTCTGTAGAACGTCGCTCCCCTCACGGCACGCCTGAAAGTCTTTTCTTTATCTAGCCATTCTCCACCCCTGGCTGTTTTCATAACCAATGCGTCTCCAATGTCCTCTATCCACATTCATGGAAGTCGGCCTATGCATCGTTTTCTAGAAACTGTACCTTCCAAAACCATTCTCTCCAAACCACCTTGGCGCTAAACATGTCCATGATACTTCATTTTCGAGACAGGATGCTGTTTATGAGCCAATTTTCCTTGATGTTCAGGTCATGCAGGATGGCGTTGTTTCTTTTTTTTTTTTTTCTTCTTCTTCTTCTTCTTCTTGGTCCACAGTATTCTAAGAATTCTTATACTGCATTTCAGTTCAAAAGCTCCGATTATTTCTTCAAAGACTGAAAGTAAGTAGTAAATGTCCCTTTTTTCGTCTACTAGTGCATTGCGGCATAAACTACTAGATTCATATGTTTACAGACCATTCGGCAACTAATGGCTGGGTCGACCTAGTCGCCAGGGTCAATATAAAATTCCCATATCGATGAGGACCCATACTTTTGATTGCTGACAAAGTTTAGCCATAGCTCTACCGTAGCTCAGTTATTACAGAGTTGATTACAATAACAAGGACAAAAGGAGTTAAGAAAAAGATACGGTTCTTTTCCGCTTTTTCAGCCTATTTCGGGGGCTGCGACATTTAGTAAGGAATTCCGTCCGACATTATAGGGGGAGGGGGGGGGGTTTGAGTTAATTTCTTCTTCTTCTTCTTCTTCTTCTTCTTCTTCTTCTTCTTCTTCTTCTTCTTCTTCTTCTTCTTCTTCTTCTTCTTCTTCTTCTTCTTCTTCTTCTTCTTCTTCTTCTTCTTCTTTCTTCTTCTTTCTTCTTCTTCTTCTTCTTCTTCTTCTTCTTCTTCTTCTTCTTCTTCTTCTTCTTCTTCTTCTTCTTCTTTTTCTTCTTCTTCTTCTTCTTCTTTCTTTCTTTCTTTCTTTCTTTTTCTTCTTTCTTTTCCTTCTTCTTCTTCTTCTTCCTCTTCTTTTTCTTCTTCTTCTTCTTCTTCTTCTTCTTCTTCTTCTTCTTCTTCTTCTTTTCATTCACCCGAAATAGATTATCTGTATCTGCACATGACACTAGTAGGAATTTCACTGTTTTGTGTAACAGCTATCCAAAAATTTCGGCTTTAAACGGTGTTTCTCTTGGCCAGACCTTAGGCAGTGGGATGTTTTGAAAAGGGGGATTTTGGTGTGGCTGCGGGGAGAGCCCTGAAAAGGACTGATGGTCTCCATGTAAGAATACTAGTGGGTTAGGATTAAGGGTTAAATGCAGCAATGCTGACAAGTTACGGAAATTCATGGCGAATGCGAAGTCACAAAATAAGAACACCGCTTCCCAACAGGACACAGTGATGGCGATAAACGAAGGAGGGGGAACGAATGAACGAGAGTGACACACGCTGAAAATGATGACGCAATAAATGATAAAAGCGCTAGTGGTGGGGAAGGGGGGGGGGGGGGAGAGACCAACACACGACAACCCTAGCGTATAGAAGTTTGAGTTGTTTACAGTGTTTTAAATTATCACCGACAAACATTAATCTTAACCTCTAACGCCCCCTCCCCCCACCCACCCCCACCCCACCTTACAAAATAGGACTTCCATATATGAACTTTATAGGAATTCCCTACGAAATCTCAGAGCCCCAAGATAGGGTGACAAGAGGAAAAGAGCTCAAAATACAATATGTAAATATTTAACAAACCAATGGTGTGTTTGTGAAAGAGAGAGAGAGAGAGAGAGAGAGAGAGAGAGAGAGAGAGAGAGATAGTGGATAGTGTGTGCGTGTATGCGTGTGTATGTGAGAGAGAAGAGAGAGCGCGACAGACAGACAGACAGACAGACAGACAGACAGACAGACAGACAGACAGACAGACAGACAGACAGACAGACAGACAGACAGACGACAGACAGACAGACAGACAGACAGACAGACAGACAGACAGACAGACAGACAGACAGACAGACAGAAGGGGGAGGGGAGCGTGTGTGTAAGTGTTTAAATACGTAATTTTTAGTGGGATGATGAGGAGATCAGAAAAAAGATGATGATGACAATGGAGAAGGAGGTTGGGGCAAAAGAGAAGAAGGGGTATAACAATTTTAAAACATTTATGCTGACAATAATGATGATGGTAATTCCGAGCCACCTCTTTGTTTACAAATATACAGTGGTTAAACATTGCAAGGCTCGAAGCATCCGATTTCAGCAAACACTAAATTTGTTAGGGTGTCAGCATAAATGTTTTAAAATTGTTATACCCCTTCTTCTCTTTAGGCTACTGGGAATATAGGGCTATAAAACCTTTTATGTGTTCTGGGTAACAAAGGAAGCCATCGTGTTGTAGTGGTTAGACTCTCGCCTTGTGTCCGAAGGTGGTAAGTTCAAACCGCCGGATGTTTTCATAAATTATCTTGGCTTTCAGAGCGATCCAGCCTAAAATGGATATCTGGTGAAGTCCTGGGAAGTGAAGGCAGCCTGCATGCGTTGACCACATAATCCAGCGCGTGCCGATTTGCCTATATAATATAGGTCCATCGCTTTGTGCCCAATACGCCTAAGGGCATGACTCCGTATCCCTGTCTAAACATGGGGGTGACATGGGGGTGCAGGCAGGAGCTGAAAGAAAATTGAAAATTTTTATAGGGGACAAGATCTTTCAATAATCAGCACAGAACAGGCGTCAACAGCCGTTTTAAACTTGTAGAGCTTGTGAGGATGAGACCGGAGCAACTATGAATCTGGTTGAAGTGCTGTCATTATATCCTTATTAATCACTAATAACGCCTAATGGTGTGGAAAGGGGTCCTTTAATTTCTTTGTTTGTTTTGTTTATTAACCGCAAGAATACCCCAGCTAGGGGTAACAGGCTTTCCTATGCCAGTAAGGACTTGGTTGTGAACACGACCTCCATAGCTTTGGAAAGCTGGAGACGGTCGTGGTTGTAAAGACGGGGAAAGTGCCTCCTGAAAAGCTGGATTGACAGTTGACAGGCGACATTTCCGGATTGAGTTGTCACGTAACCTGTGACGTAAACACTACACCAAAACAAGATGGAAGCCGCTATCTGTCAGCTGTTGTTTAGACTTGCGTTTTCCACGACTCTCCTCTTTGCAACAGTTTTCAGTGAATCTTCCGTCCACAGTAACCAGATCGACACTACTAAATATCATCATTATGATGATCTTGTGGCCTTGTTTAGGGACCTCAACGCCATATATCCTTCTCTAACGAGACTTCACAACATTGGGATTAGCGTAGAAAACAGAACTTTGTGGGCGATACAGATCACAGATAATGTTGATATTGTCGAACCAGGAGAACCCATGTTTAAATATGTTGGGAATATGCATGGTAATGAAGCTGTTGGGCGTGAAGTGCTTATAAATCTTGCTCAGTATTTGTTGTTCAAGTATGAAGAAGGAGACACGCGTATTAAAAATATCGTGGATTCTACAAATATATTTATAATGCCGTCAATGAATCCTGATGGCTTTGAAAACTCAAGGATGGGAGATTGTATGGGAGTGAAAGGCAGACACAATGCGAATAACGTAGATTTAAACAGGAATTTTCCAGATCAGTTTGGAGGAAATAAAGGTTCGCTGCAGCCAGAAACAGCAGCTGTGATAAAGTGGATTGAAGGAAATCCATTTGTATTGTCTGCAAATCTCCATGGGGGCAGTCTTGTTGCTTCATATCCGTTTGACGATTCAGCAAGTCACAAATTGGAAGGACAATATAGTGGTGCACCAGATGATGCAGTGTTCAGGCTTCTTGCTCATACTTATGCCAATAACCACAAAACGATGGCAGCAAATGCTGGGCGTGACTGCCATGACAACTTCCCTGAGGGAATCACCAATGGAGCTAACTGGTATGATGTGCCTGGTGAGTAGCCTCTGGATAATGCATTTTAGTTAATGTTCACCCATTGTTTACCCATGTATGGGGGGGGGGGGCTATATTTGGGGTAAAAAGGGTATGGGGTGGGAAGGGAGTATATTTGGGGTGGAAGGGGGGGTGGGGATGGGGTATATTTGGTGTTGAAAGGGTATGGGGTGGGGAGGGGGTATATTGGGGTGGGAAGGGGGTATATTTGTGGTGGAAAGGGTATGGAGGTGGGAAGGGAGTATATTTGGTGTGGAAAGGGTAGGGGGGAGGGGGGATAGATTTGGGGTGGAAAAGGGTATGAACAAGAATCCAGGTGGAGAAGGGAGTATTTATTTGGCATGTGTTTGAAACTATTTAGTATCAGGGCCAAAAACTTTTTGTTTGTTTACAAGTTTTTATGTATACTTATAAAAAAAAGTCCCTTTTCCAGGCCCTTAGGTCTATTTGGAATATAGGGCTAGACCTATAATTTTATAGACCAATCGGCACTTGGCGGGTGATGTGGTCAGCACCACGCCGGCTGCCTTTACTTCCCAGGACTTGCTGGCTGACCTGGGAGTTCTTTTGAAATAGTTCAAGCTAGATGTTTTTAATTTTTATTATGATAATCAAAACTTTAATTTTTCAGAAAATTATTCAGACACTGAATTTACACCAACAGCAGCTGAGCGGTCAGCTGTTAGAGAATCTGATGTCTTGATACAGATAATATTCCTTTGCTACCATGTTTAGAACAGTCACCAGTATTTTGCATCCAAAAGACTGTTTCAAACAGTACCATACTATGGCTGCTAAAAACGTTAGCTGCGTATCCTTTACCGGACGTTGCAAACCAACCCCAGCATGCTTTGGCTGTTATGGTTTTTCTAAGCAAATTTTACCTTCAGTTGCACTGGTCAGCTCTCAGTATCACTGTCAAAACCAAAGCAAGACAGTTCGTCCACAGCTGGGATCGAACCCAGCACCCTGGCATTATAAAGCGAGTTCGTACCACCAAAGCCACAGACACCGACACTATGGCTAAGCTACATTGAAATCATTGCACCTACAGTTTGTGTATGACTGTATAAAGTTAATATTTTGTGTGGATAGGTCAGTTTATCTGCCTATTTGCCCTTCAAATTTTATTCAGCATCCTGTAAGAACCTAAAGCCTCTGAGTGATAAACTAAACTAGAAACATCATAACTTTTGAATTTGCTAGGAAGTTGATTAAAGAAGTTTTATCAGACTCAAACTACCTATTATCTCTTTTGGTCCACCTCTGCCTCTTTTTCTATGCAATTCTTCCTTTGTCAAAATGTGTTCGAGTTTCCCCCCTTCACATGGCATACCTAAAGAGTGTCGATTGTTATTCTGATATGTGAAGTCAGTACTCTTTGTGAATTTTACTTTGTTCAAGATATCTTCAGTGCACATTTTAATATGTCTGTGATTTTATGTTTTAATTCCTCCATAGTGTACTTATCATTTTCTAAAACCACATCTGTGCGGCTTCTACATGATCTATCACTACAGTGCTGCTTTTCCATGATTAACTTCCATATATCAGCTTCAGCACTCTTGACTGAATAAATGAATTAATCAGGAGTTGACATTACTGTACTCAGGGCATTCCCACAGATGCTCTGTCCCCTTGCTCATTAACCAACACAGAGTCCTCAAACTGATGATACTAGCTGCAGCCTGATAGAAAGTCTGGCTGTCTTTTTTTCCCTGCAGGTTAAAAACCACACAGGTCCTCTGTTCACTCCCCACTAGTCAGTCTATCCTTCTCACCTCCATTGACAAACATAGCTTGCATAGAATATTCATCATCCAGTTCTTTTTTCCTCTTTTATCAATTTTTAAAAAAATCTAGTTTTAAAGCTGACTGATTAAGTCATGTCAGATACAGGATTGAATGTAGTCTTGTTAATGGCTGTGAATACACTAGGTGAGAGATTATTGATTACAAGCTGTATGTTTACAATAGGAAATTGTGAGCAGTTTTTTGCAGTAACACATTGCACAGGTACAGACTTGGAAAGGATAAAGATTATGTTGTGGTAGAGCCTAGTGTGGGGTGTGAAGATGTCGCATGTGCCAGGTTGGCAGCTAAATGAGTACGTCAGGCAAAGGTTGTCTCAGAGTTCAGTTGGTTAAGAAGCGACATCATAGCAATTGTGACATTCCCATAAACGCTCCGATCCTCATCTTCAGCAGGCAGTATAAATTTCCGTTTCCGATGGTACCGGTAGCAGACTGATTGTATGTCTGTCTTGTTTGTCTCCTGAATGTTTATTGTCAGCCAGATCCCCTGTTCACTTCCCGCTGCACCATTCTCTTCAGACGGTGATGAACTATTTGTACTCTGCAAACCATTATGGCATTTGATAAAGCCAAAGTGCCCACCAACCACTTTACAGAAACAATACTTTCTTTGAAATAATCCCACTTCACTATTCAGACTGTGAATAAAGTCAGTCTTTCCTATTTCTTGGTCCATGATATTCTAAGAAACTTCTTTAACATTTAAGTTCAAAGTATCTTTTTTTTTAAAGTGATTGTGACATGGTCCATGACTCACATCCATGTGTTACCCTAGGAAAGTTATATGTTCTTAGAAATTTCACTGTCAAGTTTTTTGCTGATGTTTGACCATAGACTCTTAATACTGATTAATGTTTAATGTCTGCATTGCTAAAGTAAGTCTGCTTCTAAGTTTCGGTAAGCAGTCTTCATTGTTATTAATTACTGTGCCAAGGTATTCAACATTTGCAACATACTTCATCGTTAATTATGATTTTTGGTTTATATAAAGTTTTACCCAATTACTGAAGGCTTATTTTTATTAAAATTTAGAAACATATATTGATCTTCCTTGTGCAAATAACATTGGAGCCATCATCTCTCTATTTAATTGTTTCTTTGTCTATGAAAAATGACTTTTCCCTTCTTTTTCTAGTTGTACACTTTCACTCCACTACGGCTTCTGTAAGACTGTAACATCTGAATGTGACTGAAGTATTGAGCTTCTTTTTTCTAATTATTTTTAAAAAAAATTTCTGACAACTCTCCTTTCCTTGAAATCTTTCTTTTCCTTCTCACTGAACTGTGACTAAGAGGCTTAACAGAACGGGAAAGAGGACCAACATGCACAAACAAAGAAAAATTGGATGTTTCGGCATTAGCTTTTGTTGACACAATCCACAATAACAAGGGCCGGGGTAATTGTTGTTGTTGTTGTTCTCCTCTTTGTTAAGCTTCTTAGACACACTTCACTGAGTTAATTTCTTGGTATTAGTTTGACTGCAGTGACCCCTGCTTTCCTCTCTTTTCCTTCCTAGCCTCTGTGCAACCTCTGTATTTAGTTGTGTTTGTTATCCTACAGGTGGCATGGAAGACTACAATTACCTTCACAGCAGCTGCATGGAGATTACCTTAGAGCTATCCTGTTGCAAGTACCCTCCAGCAGAACAGCTGCCAAATGAGTGGGAAAACAATAGGGAGGCTTTGCTAAACTATCTTGAAATGGTAGGCATGTATTTCAGAGTATACTGTGCTCTTGTCAGCTATAGATTGTTGTCTTCTTCTGCCTTTCTTACCCCCAATGGAGCGTAGACCCTCAGCCAACTCATGCCAAGTCATTATATCCTTCACTATGGCTTACAGTGATCATCCCCATCTTTTCCCCATCTCTTTGACTTTACTCTCTAGCTTCCCTGCTCAAATTTTTTTTTTTTTTTTTTTTTTTTTGGGGGGGGGGGGGGGGGATCTTTTTTTTAAATTTCTGTGCCACTGTGGGTTCTAGTGCAAAGACATTCTAGTTATATTGTTCTCAAGTTTTCTCAACGTGTGTCCTATCTAATCCCAACATCTTTTCTTCACCTATTGGTCCACAGAAACTTGTTTTGTTCTCTTCCAAAGCTCTGAATTAGTGATTCTGTCAAACCATTTAATTTCCTCTGTTTTGAACAGGCACCAGTTAATGAATGTTATTGCATACCAGATGCTGCCATTGAGGCATGTAAGTTTTAGTAAGTAAAGTCAGGAGCCTATTTCACACCATGAGATGTGTGGGATTCATGGTGGTAAACAAACTTTTAGACTAATCACCACTGGAAAATTCTGGTTGTTCGTCCCCTTCTGGACTAAAGTCTTGTTCTATAACTTGAAGTTTGCATGCCCATCTGTTTCTTAATCTGGGTTATTTGTACGCAGACTGTTAGTTTCTTGCCTGTCAGGCGGATGCACTCCGACTTCGAAGGAAACACCTCTGATTAATCCTCCATTGCAGCATTCTTGTCAGGGGACAGTGGATTTATTCTTTTTCCCAAACATGAGATCCTGGAACCCACACAGGGATGATATCGCTATCATGCTGGCCACGTTAACTTCCCATAAATTTTCCTGGTGCCCATTTTAGACTAAGAACCATGAATTGTAAAAAAAAAAAATTCACTCCACACACACACACACACACACACACACACACACACACACACGCACGCATGCACACACACACACACACACACACACATCCCTCCCTCTCTCTCTCTCTCTCTCTCTCTCTCTCTCTCTCTCTCTCTCTCTCTCTCTCTCTCTCTCTCTCCTGGTGAAGTATTGGGGTTCCACATATTTTAAACCAGGTTATAATGAAGTGAGGTTTGAATCCCCAGGTGATAGGACTTTTTCTTTTGTCTTGAAGAGAAATATATGCAGTAATGACAGTTTCTTTTTGCCATAAAAAAAAAAGAAAAGGGGGAATCAAATGCTGCCACTAGGTAACTACAGTTTAACATATTCGACTGGGTTATGTGGGCCATATAAAATGGCCTGGCATTGTGTCATTGTGGTGTTGATGTGATCAAATGAGACAGACCCAAATGCTGTCCTAACCGGCGACAAAGTTGTCTACTGGTGAACCAGTGGATAGGCATGTGATCTATCATAATGATCAGTCTTAGTCTCCATCTTAGCGCCAACGCACACAAGGACAAGTTCATTCCATTAACTGTGTAATACTCCCACTGTTATGCGATTAACTGCGGAGAGTACGATCACAACTTGTATCAATACTGTGCCTGCCGCAGCCAGTCTGCTAGCTAATCCAACCAGAAAGCTGGTGATGCTACCACCGGTTGGCGTCTGTGGAAAATGACTACTGTGTTTCCTTGCAAATAACAGTGTTGTCTAATCAAAGCAATGTTTCTCCATTGTAAATTTGAACAAAAAAGACACGAACAATAGATTGCACACTTGTTTGCTTCATTTATTTAATTGTTGCTGTGTTGTGCAGCTGACGAGATACAGAGAAATATGCCAGGCAATAAATTGTGCAGCCTAATAAAGAAAAAATATCTAGTGTATTTATACACCTGGGAATAAGGCCAGGTGCTATAAGTGATAGCTTCTTGCTGTCTCCATTTTATCTCAAATTAAATTTGGTGTCCACATTCTTTAGGTATTACTGATTGTGTCTGTTCTTTAAAAACATACTGTCTGTTCCTGGCACAGAAATCTTATCTTTAGGAACATTTAAAATATTATCCACGTTTAATTTCTAGGCCTTCCGCATGTGGGTTCCTGGGCCCCATTGTGGGGAAAACAAGAACAGACCCACTGCCTCCATAACAAGCATGTCGAAAGAGTCGACTAATTGGGGGCTTGTTTCGAAGTCGGAGTGCATCTGCTTGAAAGGCAAGGAACCAACAATCTGCATACAGTGAAGTCAGATTTGATAAACGGATGTGCATTCAACACTCAGGTTTTGGAGCAAGACCATAGGTGGACAAACAACCAGAACTTTCCTCCGGAGGTTACAGCCGAAGAAAAGGAAGAAGAAGAAGAAGAAGAAGAGAGATTTCTAGGCCCTGGCTTACTAAAATATATTTGGGAGTAATGCGGGCCTAGTGGTTAGTTTAATAACTGCCAGGACAGGGGGCTGTGTTCAAATTTAAGCGGTAGCTGGGTTATTTGTGTTCTGGCCTGTATGCCTGGGGAGAGCCAGGAAAGCACACTGATTAGAATGCTTGCCTTTTAACCCAGATGTTGTGTGTTGAAATTCTTACTAGGGCTGATTTTTTAAAATAGTCCTGGCTCGACTGTAATGAACCTTCTTCTTCTTCTTTTTCTTCCCTAGTCCTGTTTTGCCTTTCAGCATCAGATTGTGTGAGGCATTGGGTGTGTGCATTGGTATGTGCTACATAGATGCTGGCATTTATAGCCTTGGATATTCGTTGTATCCATCACTTGCATGGTCAGCCTCTAGAACTGCTTCCATTATGTCTAAGTAACAGGGCTCTCTGTGTTGCACTGTTGGGTAGTAGTCTTGACACATGTCTGAACCATTTGCTCTGTTGTCTTATAATTGGTACCAGGAAGTATTTATTCTGAGAAGTTATGGCAGTCAGGGTGATATTGACCACATCACCCATTGAGTGCAAATGGGATTATAAGAACATAGAGTGTTAATATCATGTTTGTAATGCTCTGTGCACTGAAAAACTAATCACTAAAGTAGGTTTTTTAGAAGTGCTAGTGGTGCTAGACTGGTTCTATCCACGATGCCCAAGTGATTGTACAGGGTAGAGAGGAACAACTAAGGCAATTAATAATAAACTATAGTCATTAACTGGTGCCTGCACAGAAAAGAGAATGTGAAGTGGTATGATAGAATCAATGTAGAATTTTGGGAGAGAACTAAACAAGTTCCAAAAGATCAAGAGATAAAGAAAAGACACTGGTGTTGGATAGGATACACTTGAGAAAACCTGAGAACAATATAACTAGAATGTCTTTGCACTGGAACCCACAGGGGCATAGAAATAAAGGAAGACCAAAAAACAAATGTAGAAGAAAACAGGGGGAAAACATGGGGAGAACTGCATGTAATAGCGAAGGTAAGAATGATTTAGCATGAGTTGGTTGTGCAACAAGATAATGAGCTGTGTATGGGCTATATAGGTTTGGTTCAAAATCTGTACTTCATTTCACTAGTGCAGGTGTTTTTAAAGATCCCTGGGAGATATTGCTGGAACTGCAGTGTTTATCATTTTGTCCAGTGTCTTCAGAGGGCAAACAGTCGTTCTGCAGAGAGAGTCATATAGGGTAAAATCTAGTGTAATAAATATGATAAAAAGATTTTAAATCAGATGAAAAGTATAACCAGTCAGCTTCACAATATCACAAACGACCAGTGAATGTTGCGGCAAGAGAACCTTCATCAGCACATAACATAAATCAACAATACCACAAATACAAACAAGATTACACAGAATCACTTAACAGATGTATCTCAAATAGAATCACATTTCTATCTGGCCTGTAGAATATCTTAAACATGTGTGGCCTCTGGAAATATGGTAATAAATACTGGCTAGAGACAAGTTCAGTAACTTAAATTGTGTTGGGTGTTAGGTCTTCTGGGTGAATTAGTGCCTGTGAGATTGCCTTTGAACTAATTTTAGTCTTTTTCCCCTTAAATGACAAGGTGCAAGGAGTAAACATGTTTTGCTTTTTCACATATTTACCTGGAGGTACAGAGTATTTTCAACTTTTATAACTGTGGCTTTGATCATGTTTGTGCAGGTTCACATTGGTATCAAAGGGTTTGTCAAGGATTCTGAAACTGGTCAAGGAATTCCATCTGCCACCATTTTGATAGAGGGAATAAACCACAATGTGACTTCTGCTGGATTTGGAGATTTCTGGCGTCTGCTTGTGCCTGGCACCTACACAGTCAGAGTTGTGGCTGATGGGTAATTGTTGTTTTCATTTACTATCTTGTAACTTTCTTCAACCATGACATTTTTGTGTGTGTGCATGTTTAGCTCTTTCAGTACCAGGTAGGTATAATTGATTCTAGCATTTTTGTTACCTGCAGTAATAATTGGTTTTATCCCATAGGGCTCAGTCTCTCCCTGCAGAGTATACATTAATGAACAGATCAAAAATTGACATCCCTTCCCTCAGGATATTCGCATATGTGTCCCTCTCCTTCTTCAGTAGCCAACGAAGAGTCAGTGCAGCCTGTTGCAACCTGATTAAAAGTCAGCCTCTGTTTTTCCCACAGTGTTGAATATCTTCTAGACCAGAGGTTCTCAAACTGGGGTGCCATGAGCATATGCCAGGGGTGCTGCAGCAAAAATCATGATTAGTCAGCTAAAAATTGTGACATTAAAGAAGGCATGAAGATACTTTAGAGTTACAGTTTAAGTTGTCTTTCCTCACCACTGTCGAAAAGAGTTTATTTCTTGTTTTACACTCAACGTGAATCATACTGCATAAAATGTCAACGTGCTAAGAACTGTCCTTGTATTTATCTCGAGGTGCGACCATCCTCTATCTGTAATCGTGAAGGTGCAGTGGATAAGTAAAGTTGTGATTACATTGTCACCTGTAACACCTTGTATCTTTCACATAGGGATGGCAATGCAGGTGTGTGAAAGATACAAGGCCGACAATGTACCTTAAAGTGGCAACGAACAGGAAACACCTTCTACATGAGGCCTTGGGGGACAGCACGGGGCATTAGCTGAAAAGAGGTAGCTCCTGAATGGCACTGGCAGAAGTAATGATCAGAACTGTTTGCGCTACTGACAAGATAGCTGATACTACGCGGTACTGCAGGGCTCCTCACAGCTCCTCAAACCAAGGCAAAAAGCAGTCTGACGTCCATACAGGACCGCTGCAATCCAATTGATGTTCTAGGGACAGAACTGCATGTCCATAAGTGTGTACACTAGAGCGTATGAGTGGCCGTTCACCAAAATACCTGCACTTGCGAATTGAAGGACAGGGTCCGAAAATGAATTTATAACCTTCTAGCCGTGAGATATCAGGAGCAGCTGGCTGACTGGTTAGAATGCTGAGCTGACATGCAAAAGACCTGTTTTCAAATCCTCTGTGAGATGATAGGCATTTTTCTGTTATGTTCAGAAATAAACAACTCAAACTGCACAGTTCAAGGTGACTGCACTAGCCATGCAGCCCTAAATCAAGACCCCCCCCCCCCCCCAATCCCCCCCCCCCCCCCCACATGTCCTTTACTGTTGAAAGTAGTATTGCATGTAGTAAAAACAGTGTTTTGTTTGTTTCAATGACATAACTTTTTCATTTTAGAGGTCCCTTATTCTCTGTTTAAAATGTGGGACAGCAGCTTTTCTTAACTGTACTGTTGTTTGTTGAGATGTTTATCATATAATGTTTTTGAAAGCTTTCATTGTTTCTTTGCCAGATATGAAGAGGGTGTGAAGGAAAACATCTTAGTACCAAAGGGAGATGGAGTTCAAGTTAATTTTACTCTTACCAAGAGGAGTACGAGGTAATATTGGTTTTCTGACTGACAAATTATAATAGTTAATAAGCTTCCTTTATTACTGAATTTGTGGGTGTATTAGACACACGTTTTGGTACTCTAAATAGGCCTCAATATTAGGCTGCATCGTATATAACAAAGGTAAACCTACATGTACAGTTATTTGTCATGGTTGCTTTCACTCGAGTTTTCCCCTTTCATGTTCTTGGAATGCTCCATCATCAAGCGATATCGATGTGACCTATGAATGAGCAGAGAGGAGAATACTTCCACATGGGAAATGCATGACTGTGGAACCCCCTAATTCTTTGTAGTGGACTGTTTGTATGTGAACAAAAACTGGTGGTAGTGATGGGAGTGAATTTAAAGGCTTCAATGTCAACATTGGTTATATGTTTCTTTAAATTTGAGTTTTTTCTGGAAAATTTCTTTCAGTTTTTGGTGCACTTCTTATACAAAGGAGCGTCTTATATACTGACAAATACCATATTTTACATTTAACGTTATTATTGATCATTACCATTCATTCTGAATATTAAATCAACCACATTGATATCTATGAGCTGTGTATCAGTTACCTGTTTATCAAGTTTAATATTTATCCTGGGCATTGAGTTAGAATCTGTTAACAATCAAATACGTGAGATCTGTAGAGAAAGAATGTCTGAGCTAGACCTGATTCCAGCCTATCCATATGTACTGGGCTGAATCATGAGGTTACATGAGAAATGTGGCTTTTCTGCCTACCTCCGGACGTGAACCCGGACCACAAGGAATTTGCCGTGCAGTCAGGTTTAACAACTGAGTTAGTGAGCCGGGCATGTCTTTCTGTAAATTTGAGGATAATGTAATGATCAAGCAGATCCTGTTATTGTGGAGCCATGGTAACAGAGAGGCTAGACACTCTGGGGTCGATCCAGGGGTCTTGATTTTGAATCGGCAACACATTTGGTTTCGTTTTTATTTGTTTTCTAAAATTCACCTTGACTATTCAACCCTACCAGACCTGAGGCCCTGAACCTAACTGTCCCTGTAACCTGAGCTCCTGGGCATTACTGCGAAAAAACCAACATGATATACAAAAATATTAGTTACATGCAAACGAGTGGCTAGAATATGATGAAACTTGGAAACATTGTAGAAAATAGGCTTACTTTTTATCTAGCGCCAATATTCTACCTTTGTGTGCAAATCCACTCATCAGGATCAACTTTGTTTCACAAAGTGAACACCAGATGTTGCCGTTTGAGGGACACACTCCCTTCTCCTACTATCGATCTATTTCAAGATTTATAATTTTCAAGATTTTCCTCATCAGTCGCGCTCTCACTGACAGTGTCACCTCAAGAATGTATTCTTTATGAAATTATCACCCCGCAGAGTCTGAATAAACCAAAGTATCGATCACCTGTTGGACTGTGAAACGCCTAGAACTTGGTTCATCAGCCGCTCGTTTCATTGTGACGGCCAGCTGTCTGGTAGGGTTAAGATGGGTACCAAATGATTTTGACCACCTACCTCCTGAGTGTTCTATAAAACTATGAGTCTAGATGCTTGTTATGCCTCTAGCATTAAAAAAAAAGGCCTTTATTTATAACTGGTTGATTTTCTGACTTGGAGAGAAGAAGGAATCACCTGCAACAGTCTCCACAAAGATGATAATTCTATACTGTGTCTGGAGGCAAGTCTCGAGACCACTCTTACTTCAGTAGGAGCAGTCACCTTGACCACTGGACTGGCAAACAGCATGCTATCCAATGTGTTGCCACAGCTTCCTCTGCTGTCTTTATTTTCCAGGAAATGTCCTTTTTTTTTTTTAATGGACTTAAAAATCAGGTTGTATTGAGTATGCATAATGTGTGTTTTGTAAAATGATCTTTTGTGTATTTGTCTGATAGCCAAGAGAGGCCTGGTGGCCCAGCTCTTGACAAGCTGGATAAACTGATGTCAGAAATTGATGCCCTTCAAGATTTTAGGTAAGAATCTGTCTGCTTGTCTGTCTGTCCACTTTGGTCTACAATTGCTTTCAAGCATTAAAACATGAAGTCTGTCTATATGGGAGCCCTGTTACCTTTTTTTTCTGTCCTCAGCAGTGTAAAATGTTTGGTTGACTAGTGTCTGTGAGTATAAGACAATGTATTATGTATATAATAAACAAACAGACAGTGTATTGATCGGCACTGATAGAAAGAAGTAGAAAGATTAAAGGACACACTAGACAACATAACAATAACAAGCTATTTTTACGGTGTTGGAAATCGTGTGCTTTACAATGAAAACAAGTGTACTAAGATACATGATCAACTAGGCACCCCTAAAACAAAAGGTGTCTAAACTGGCCATGTCTGTCGTACTGCTTGAAATTTAGGCTATGCTTGGTTAATATAAATTTCTGTAACCTATGGTGCCATTTCAATGGTTTGAGATGAATTCTGTCCATATTCCATAGTTGTGGATTTGAAGCTGTACAATACACATGGCCAATAAAGACATCTTTTTGTTTAGGGGTGCCTAGCTGGTCATGATGTTTAGTACACTTGTTTCCATAGCGAGGCACACATCTGGATCTACACACCTGGGTATACAGGAGTGAGTGATAATGAAAGAGCGGATCAGCTGGCAAGTAACGCACCAATGCAAACGGGAAGAAGCATGGACAGAGCTAATATCATTGATGCTATACGGACTAGGCTGGAGGATAATGGTGAATCTCTGACGCTAACATGACTGCGTGACTGAGGAGTTAAGCTTGGTGAAGAAGGTCTATGCCATCTTCGAGTAAAGATAGGAGATACAATAACCAACGCCTCATGGGAACAGTCAGTAAAGGTACCGTGGAGTGGCTGCTGCGTTGAGTACTGAGCACACATGGGAATGCCCAATGTGCAAAGGAGTTGATTATGATAACATAACATCCTATTTTCTAAGTGTGTCATGTGTCAGTTCTTTACAGCAATGGTATCTTTTATTGCATCCTCATTTCCAGTGTGTGTTGCTTTCGTTCATTCCTCACCATCACTCTGCACTGTGTGGAAGCACTGTTCTTACTTTGTGACTTGGCCTTCGCCATGAATTTCCTTGACCTGTTGGTATCCCTTCATCAAACCCTAACCCTAACCTTAAACCTTGAGCAGTCGTTCACAGAAAAGACAGTTGCTGACTTTAGTCTAGGAGAAAAGAAAGCTGCCCACTTTCGTCTGGGAGACAGTGTGTGTTGAACCGGATGAACGAAGCCAAGACACTTTTTGGCACGCTGTATTTACACGGCGAAAGCATGTCATCGAAACACCCCTAGACTATATGACTGTCTCAGGGAATTCCCTACAAAATCTTGCACCTGACCAGATGTGGTAGAAAAGCTGAATAGTACCAGGAACTGAGCACGTATAGGAATGCCCCTTCTTGATTGATTGATTCATTCTTTGAGACGGAATTTTAAAATATATCTAGACTTCCAGATTGATGCAGCCTAAGATGGGTACCAGGAAATGGTTTGGGAAGTAAAGGCAGCTGGTTCATCCATTGAGTACCAGTTAGCTTATAAAAATGTGGAAATAGCTCCATTAACACAATTCACCCCAGGGCTTTAGTTGCAGCAAATGAAGAATATCTTTGTTTCTTTTTCTTCCTGCTGCTGGTTTTTCAGTTGAGAAGGCCACAGGCCTCAATGAAGAATGTTGCATACAGGTGATTTGCATTGGAATGCCACCTGACCAAACCTGGGATCTCTCTACTGCAGCCGTTCTCAGCCTGGGGGTTGCAACCCCTTTTTTGCGGGGGTTGAACGACCCTTTCAAAGGGGTTACTAAAGACCATCACAAAACACACATTCATAGAAATTATGAAGTAGCAATGAAAATAATTGTATATTTGGGAGGTCACCACATTAGGAAGGTTGAGAACCACTGCTCTACTGCATCTAGAGGGCACACGTTCAGTATTTCCTGGTGCCTGTCTACATGGACAGAGTTCTGAATCCCTAATCTTGAATTTCTTTTACTTTTGGCTGCGGAGTATTTTGTGTCCAGTAAATATAATGGTCAGTGTCTTTCATATGAGGAGGTTGATTGGGTCTTGAGGATTGTGTCCTGAATGGGAAGTGTCCCAGTGGGTTCTAATGGCCTCCCAGATCTCAGTTTCATGTTCCTCATAAGTGGATCCTGTATCTGGCTGTTCTGTGTGAATTCCAGTTTTTGCCAGGTAGTCTGCTCTTTCATTTCCTTCATGTTGCAGTAACTTGGGATCCACTGGAGCCCAGTCCCTTTGGTTAGCTGACCCATTGGAATTAGCATAGATCTAAGCTTGCTGGTGATGTAGTTGCTTATCATTTGGTATTGCTTGCAATACTGAGCGAGCAACTGTCAATTTAATTACTTTTGACTCAGAGCTGCTTTTACTGAGCAGTATGGATGCTGCCTCCTCCAGCACTATTACCTTTACTTTGTAAAATGAAGAATATATATATTTGTTTTACATTACAAAGGGAGTCATCGTGGTGTAGCGGCTAGACGCTCGCCTGCGGATCGGAATGTTGTGGGTTCGTGGTCCTGATGGAGCCAGACTTTTTTTCAGAAAGGACCTTGGCTGCCAGGTTGAGCAGCCTTAAGTGGTACCAGTTTCAGTCTTGGAAAGTAAAGGTGGCCGGCGTGTTGCTGATCACATCATCCACCAAGTGCTGATTGGTCTATATAATATAGGTCTAGCCCTATTTCCAAATACTAAAGGTGTGCAAAAAGGGTCCTTTTGAATTGCAAAGTTTACAAGACATATATATATTTCTGTTATAGTCATCATGCTGCCACACACTTTCTGGAACCTTCAGAGTTTAAGCATCACAACTATGACAAGATGACCCTGTTTCTTCAGAGCCTCGCGGAGAGGTTCCCCACAATCACCAAACTGTACTCCATCGGCAAGTCAGTGCAGCAGAGAGAACTCTGGGTCCTGGAAATTTCTGATAATCCAGGCATTCATGAGCCAGGTAATATTTTAAATGTTGAAGGGAACTCTATAAATGTTTTCCCTTTTGCCCCACAAGTGCGTCTTGAACTTGTGGGGATTCCAGGAAAACAATCCTTAAACAACAGCCATTTTACACAGGTCACAAATAAATTTTATAAAAGTTTTTTTTTCAAAAACAAATGTCTATATATATAAATATATAGAATCGGGGTAATCAGTAAACATGAATAGAGTGAAGTATTGAATGTAGCTTCAAGCCAGTGAACAAAGAAGAACAAGAAGAAGAATGGAATACATTCCCCCGAACCTAAAAACAAAATGAGTTGGTTGACTTATGATGTGACTCTGTGACCTCTATCACTGAGGCATGTGGGCAAATTTGACATCAACTTGGCTTTTCAAAAGCTTTTGGAGCCGTTAGGAACACCCACTTCCCCCACACATGCTATTTGAAAGTATATATTTATATCCTGGCCTATTAAACACTTCGCAGACACACTTAGAAGCAGTGACATTTAACTAAGCTTTTCGAGAACAGATCACTGCAGAAATGGCCAGATATTGGTGTTTAGCGGGCTGTTTCACAACTGAAGTAACTAGATTTAGTTTTTTTGGGCATGTCGGGATTAAATCTTTGAGTCCCAGAAGGGCACAGAAAAAATTTAAACCGGTAAAGAACACCTTTGTAGTAATTAGTACGGCATAAAATGATATGGCAACAGCCACCATGTCCCAGCTGAATATGATGTGGAGGAGCAAAATCAGCATTGCAGCAAAGCAAATCACTGGTATTGTCTATTTCCTTGTACGGATGTGAGAGTTGGACTTTCACTGTGGAAATGGAAAGGAGGATTTAGGCTTTCGAATATAAATGCTATAGATAAATTTTACAAACTAGTTATTTGGAAATGTCAGAGAAAAAACAAATTTGCCAGACATCATGAGCCTCTTTTGGCAGTAGTGAAACATCACAAGCTATCTTGCGGCACGAGACATGATTTGATTGCAAAAACTGTACTTCAAGACGGAGAAAGATGGTAGGTTTGATGTGCTGGGGCTTCCACCAGTACACCTCCACCTGCTGAGGGGTCAAGGTTTGTGTTATGAGTTATGTTAAGCCACTAGATCTATATTTGTATAGAATTATAATCAGCGCTTGATGAGTGTTGTGGTCAACATCACACTAGTTACCTTTACTTCCCAGAGATATTCCCTGCTATCCATTGGGAGAGGCGGGGGGGGGGGGGGGGGGGTTGACCTAGGAGATTTAGGTTAGTTAGAAAAATCCACAACTGTACATGTAGAAAATATCAGTTGCAAAATCCATATGTATTTCTTTCACAAAAACCTAAAAGACAAATATTTTTGCTTAAATCTGACAAAGGAAAGCTGCAGTAACGCAAAGGCTAGACGCTTCTTTACCGGCCTGAAGCTTCAGGTTAAAATCTGCTTTTGATGAATTAAAAAAAAATTGACCTTGGAGTCCCAGTGTGCTACTGATGTGTCCCAGTCTGCTACTGATGTGTCCCAGTGTGCCACTGATGTGTCCCAGTGTGCCATTCATGTGTCCCATTGTGCCACTGATGTGTCCCAGTGTGCCACTGGCATGTCCCAGTGTGCATCTGGCATGTCCCAGTGTGCTACTGGCATGACCCAGTGTGCCACTGGCATGTCTCAGTGTGCCACTGGCGTGTCCCACTGTGCCACTGGCGTGTGCCAGTGTGCCACTGACATGTCCCAGTGTGCCACTGACATGTCCCAGTGTGCCACTGACATGTCCCAGTGTGCCACTGACGTGTCCCAGTGTGCCACTGACGTGTCCCAGTGTGCCACTGACAGTGTCCCAGTGTGCCACTGATGTGTCCCAGTGTGCCACTGATGTGTCATGATGTGCTACTGGTGGGAAAAGGGTCTTTTATTCTGACAAAGGTTTGTCTGCTGACCCTAGGTGTAATTTCCTATCAGGGTGAATTTTAAAACTAGACCTAATTTCTCAGATCGACTAAATTTGGAATCACTGCATAATATAGCTGGGTAAGGGTGTTATTTAACTACATCAGTTATTTGTAGCAAAGAACCCTCTCACTTAGACACAGTGTAAGTGCAGCTTCAGGTCATCCATGCTAGCGGTGGATCGACTGAGTATCTGAGGGGTGAATACCAGAATTTATACAGCACACATCAAGGAACATACCAGATGCCTCTTCAAAACCTGGTGCTGAAAGGCAGAACGTGAAGGAAAAGAACAAGAACTATTTGTGTTGGGTGGGGGGGTTCCCTGTGTGTGTTCCATGACCCCATTTTCCAAAAAAACAAGCATGTCCTAAAAGTCCCTTGATTAGGGATGTTTCCTTTGAAGTTGAAGTGCATCTTTCTGAGAGGTGAGGAACTATTAATCTACATACAAATAAGCAAACCTGTGAAGTGGATATACATGCCAAGCTCAGCTTCTGGAACAAGACCAAAGTTCAGAAGTGAACAAACAACCAAAACTTCCTGCCAGAGTTTACAGCAGGTAAACACTAAGAAGAAGAGGGTGAGAAAAAAAAGTTTTATTGGTTAAACCTGTTCCTTGTAGCATTCTTTACGAGGAGCATGCCCGACTGCATTGTACATTTTTGGTTTTTGTTTTAATAAGCTGGGTTTCTGTTGTTCATGAACAGGTGAACCTGAAATGAAGTATATTGGCAATATGCATGGAAATGAGGTGGTGGGCCGGGAGATGCTGCTGCTGCTGTCCCAGCTGCTGTGTGAGAATTATGGCAAGGATGAGCTTCTGACTTTGATGGTTGATGAGACACGCATCCATATAATGCCTAGCATGAACCCAGATGGATATGAGATTTCATATATCAATGGTATGTTGTGGTGTGGTTGTTCCTCGTCTTTGCTTATATGTTTCTGTATATATATGTGTGTGAATGTCTGTGTGTGTGTGTGGGGTGGAGGGGGATCTCTATGTATATGTAAGATAGTTGTAGAGGTGGATAAAATCTGCCTATATATTACCTGAGTTGATTCAACACAGTTGGCATCTGTGGCTTAGGCCTTGCAAATGCTTTGTAATGCAGGGGTGCCGGGTTGAGTCCCAGCTGCAGACAATTTGGCCGCAGACTGCCTTGTGTTGGTTTCGGCAATGGTATCAAGAGCTGATCATTCAGAAACAATGGCAAACTACTGAATGTAAATTTGCCTTAAAAAAACCACAACAGCCAAAATATGCTGGGGTTGGTTTCTTTGTGTCCTGTAAAGGACACACAAACTAACTTTAGACAATATAAAATTTGAGGCAGGAAGTTTCTCCACTGTCCTGGGTTTTGCGGGTCAGCTTAGCCTAGTACGGGGGTCAGATAATTATCAAGTGCCATTTGGTTTATTTTAAAAAATATGGTATAGCACCATATAACCTGGTTTATAAAAGTATGGAAATAGCATCATGTAGCCAGTGCACCTCAAGAAATGAAGAGGTGGGTCTAATACCTCTCACTCTTTGGGTTTATTTGGGTACAAATTCGACATCACAGCATTCATTACATGTCCATATTAGCTCCGTCTCATTCCTCAAAAGACACCAAAGAGTTTCCATATGATGGTACCCATTATCTGGTTAACTACTCACAGAGTGCTGGTCCGTGGGACGCTTCCCTCAAAAGTCTCTTTAGTGGCTTACCCAGAGTCTATCCTCTGTCTCACCCAGAGCCTATAGCTGCTCCTCGCTGCATCATTCTTTCCAGGTACGGGTTTTCAGTAACTTTCATTTCACATGTTTCTTTGTCTCACAGATTAGAGACCGCCTCTGCCTTGTGCAGCTGCATTACACCTCCAGGTGGCGCCAGTCCAGCCAGCATATCTGTCTGCTCATTGCCAAACACACCTGAATACCATGGCAAAATATCCATGTTACTCTCACCACTTGTGACTTCTGGATTAATGCAACCCATTTCATAATCTGTCACAATGGGAACAGTGGTTCTTTGTCTCCTGTTTTTAGAGAGCACCATGTACCCAGCACACCTAGTAATGTGAAGAGGGGAACTTTACCTACTTTTACTATATAGCAGCCATGGGAGTATAAGCATGATGAGCATGTCTGTGCCATGTTCAAGGCCCAGATAAAAGACCTTATAACCAGCTGCTGGTGGGAACAATCAGTAGAGGTACCTTGGACTGGCTGCTGCATGGGAGGATTGAGCACACATGGGAATGCCCAATGTGCAGTGACAATGATTATGATAAAATAGCATAGCTATGTAACACCATATACCCTGGTTTATTAAAAACATTATATAATTATTACACAACTTGATGTTAAGTGGGGTTCTTTTACTTACTTTTACTATATAGCATGATATACTCTATGCACTCAGGATGTTAAGTGGGGGGTTTTATATCTTTCTTTTGCAATATACCATGATGTACTCTATGCACTCAGGATGTTAAGTGGTTTTTTTTTTTTGCTTGCTTCTACTATATAGCATGATATACTCTATGCACTTAGGATGTTAGGAGGGGTTTTTTTACTTACTTTTACTCTTTAGCATGACATAATATATGCACTCAGGATGTTAAGAGGGTTTCTTTTACTTACTTTTACTATATAGCATGATGTACTCTATGCACTCAGGATGTTAAGAGGGGTTCTTTTACTTACTTTTACTATATAGCATGATGTACTCTATGCACTCAGGATGTTAAGAAGGGTTCTTTTACCTACTTTTACTCCATAGCATGATATACTCTGTGCACTTACGATAAAGGTTTTTTTTTTTTTACTTTGGGGTCCTAGTGGCGTAATGTTCATGCCATTTACCTAGTGCTCTGAAGGTCATGGGTTTGTTTCATGACTTTGTTGTTAGGTTAACGAGTGCCACTTTCACAGAGACCCTGAGGATCGTCGCCAGAGCTACAATGTTCATGCTTTATGGGATGCTCTCGGCAGGCAGCTATCCATACTGCAGAGAGAGATGAGCCATATGGGATCAAACCTGGTGCAGTGAAGTCGATCCTCACAACTTTTACCTTTCTTTTTTAAACACCTGAGATGTGAAAAGGGTTCTTTACTGACTTGTTCTTAAATAGCATCATATATCTAATATACCTTGACCCTGTTGCCCTGCGAAGACTATAGTTAATTCTGGTTGTGACACAGTTGCTTAAATGGCAATTTATCAGCATTTCTTTAGTGACCTTTTTTTATTTTTATACTAAAGTTTGGTACATCTGACGTTTTCAAGCCCAGAAAGAGAGTGGCTTCCCTTCTCATTAATAAATTGCCATGTCGCAATGCTTGTGCTATGTTGCGGAGGTGTAAAGCTCAGTGACCGGCCAACAACACACAGCATTTTACTAGTTGTTGTCACCGGCCGGCTATATCGCGTGTTCTATGTTACAAGAAGTGAGCGCTTTTAGCGGTCCCGAAACATGCAGAACTGGCCCAATCTCCCCCCCCCCCCCCCATCCCTTACATCCCATGAGAAAGTGCAGCCTACGTCCATGAGGGAGATACAAGATTCTGCTTCTTGCATTTCTGGTACAAGCTTCTGCTTCTTACATTTCTGGTACAAGATTCTGCTTCTTGCATTTCTGGCCACCTCAGCTATAGACACATCGTGCTATTGTAGAGTTCTCTGATTTTATCTTTCCATCTTGTTCTTGGTCTGCCTTGTGATCTCTGTCTTTATCCTCTTTTCATGTATGCCTTATATAATTTATTAGTTACCTGCGTAAAGTGGTTTTTTAAAGGGCATTTTGGGTGAATTACCTTGTCTTCATGACCCATTTTACCATTCATGGAGCAAAAGAATTAGGACATAAAAAGGTCCTTTACTTGTTTTCTTCATTATCAAATGTTTCTTGACTCCCATTATTTTTCAAAAACAAATTGTAATTTATGTTTTCTCCCTCCTGCAAGATGTTTCAGGAGTCATTGGCAGAGTTAATGCACACAACGTTGACCTGAACCGCAACTTCCCTGGAATTTTCCACAACGGCAGCCAGGTTCCAGAGCCAGAAACTAAGTCAGTTATCAGCTGGTGCCTGACCCACCCATTTGTGTTGTCAGCCAACCTGCACGGAGGATCATTGGTGGCTAATTATCCGTATGATGATGTGTCTTCAGACCTCCACGGCCATGGTGTTTATTCTAAGTCGGCGGATGATGCAGTGTTTATTCAGTTAGCTGAATCTTACTCTCTGGTTAGTGGCTATGTGTTGGTGAATTGTGAGAAATTTGGAGTAATGGGAGACTGCTGAATCTTACTCTCCTGGTTTGTGGCTATATGTTGGTGAATTGTGAGAAATTGGGAGTAATGGGAGACTGCTGAATCTTACACTCCTGGTTAGTGGCTATATGTTGGTGAGTCATGAGAAATTTGGAGTAATGGGAGACTGCTGAATCTTACTCTCTGGTTAGTGGCTATATGTTGGTGAATTGTGAGAAATTTGGAGTAATGGGAGACTGCTGAATCTTACACTCCTGGTTAGTGGCTATATGTTGGTGAATTGTGAGAAATTTGGAGTAATGGGAGACTGCTGAATCTTACACTCCTGGTTAGTGGCTATATGTTGGTGAATTGTGAGAAATTTGGAGTAATGGGAGACTGCTGAATCTTACACTCCTGGTTAGTGGCTATATGTTGGTGAGTCGTGAGAAATTTGGAGTAATGGGAGATTGCTCTGCATCTTACTATCTGGTTATTGTCTGTATGTTGGTAAGTTATATGAAAACTGGAGTAATAGAAGACTGCTGCATCTTACTTTCTGGTTAGTGTCCATATGTGGGTGAGTTGTATGAAAATTGGAGTAATGGGAGACTGCTGAATCTTACTCTCCTGGTTAGTGGCTATATGTTGGTGGATTGTGAGAAATGTTGGAATAATGAGACATACCACTGAATCCCACTCTCTGGTTAGTGTCTGTAGAAAATTCTAAGAAATTACGAGTAATGGTAGACTGCTAAATGTTACTTTCTGTATGGTTGGTAATGGTAAGAAAGTTTGAGTAATGTAAGACCCCTAGTGAATTGTGAGTAAATTTTGATGACTGCTGAATCATACTCTTTGATTAGTCTGGTTAGCAGTCACAGTCAAGAAGGAAAGCAGTGGCAAATTACTTTTTTCATGATAGCAAGAATAGTCATGATGTGACTTAAATGTGAACCATTTTTTTGGGGAGGGGGGAGGTACCTGAGAGCTTGGTTAAGGACTGACAAGAAAATATGAGCAAGAAAAAAGCAGGCAGAGAGATTTTTAAAAAAACCTGATTTGTGATTCTGGTGTTCATATGAGATGTTGAAACATGACTGCCTACACTTATGGTCAGAGCACATAATGATGATGATGATGAACATACCAAGCTGGTTGTACGAGGCAACCAAGAATAATTGAATGACATGAGGCTGGTGAATGTATTGGGTAATGTGGTAAATAGGAGGTGACTGGAGTCATTGAAACTGTTGACAAGAAGTGCTAAATATGGTCTATAATGGGACTAGAAAGCTTCCTTGTATGATCCTTACTTCTGGTTACTTTGTAACCATCAGGTACTCCAGCCTAACCTTACAGTTGAACGGTGCCTACCAAGATTCGTGCATGTGGGATTCTCAACCTTCAGATGTTAATCCTGCAGACTTTAATCCTGGAGGGAACAAGCTGCCTACTTCATGTCCTCCCCATATTTTTCCACCTTATTCTCTAATTCACTTCTCCTTGTGTCAGCCTTCAATTTCTTTAACCCTGAGGGTTCCAGTGCAAGGACATTCTAGCTATATTTGAAGGCTTTATTTACTTTTGACTCACGTAATCACAGTTCCAACTTCATAACAAACAGGTCATCCCCATATTTGCTTTGTTCCTGTGCCAATGAAAACCGCACAGAATGTCTATTACTGTCCCTTTTTGGACACAAACTGCTGTCTCATGAAATCCAGTAGCATATACTTGTCATCAGATATGCCAACATAAACAGTCCGACAACAGAAATGCAGTTCATCATTGATGGAAGCAGCAGTTACAACATATCGGTAGTTGCACATGCAATTCATCATATAAATTACCACCAGTTCTGTGAGAACAGGCACTCAACCATTTTCTGAACCTGGAGTTCACAACGCAAACCACTCTAGGCACAGTCAAAAAGCATTCAAAATAAAATCTGCTCAGTAGATGGGTGATAAAACTATATCTTTTCAGTCTACATATGGAGGAAAAGGCAATGGCTAACTTCTGTCAGAAACAAAGTATTGCCATAAATAAAATAAAAACAAACAACAACAAAACCTCCTATCTTCCATATTGACTGGAAGTCCCATTAGTCCTTTTGACTAATCTGACATCATATTTTTCAAAATACAGGCTCATTCAAAGATGCATGAAGGTCATCCTTGCCCAGCTTTGGATTCAGAATATTTCAGAGATGGTATTGTCAATGGTGCTCAGTGGTACATAGTAGCAGGTGAGTCCGGTTGGTTTTATAACATTCTTTCTCCCTGTAGTGTAGATTCCGGGGCTCAATTTTGGACAACAACAAAATAGACCTAACACTCCCTTTCCCCCCCCCCCCCCCCCCCCCCACCCCCCATTCCCAACAAGCATGTTGTAGAGGCAACTAATAAGGGGTGTTTCTTTCAAAGCAAAGTCGGCTTGCATCTGCCTGAGAAGCACAGAACCAGTGGTCTCCATACAAAAAAAGCAATATCTGTAAAACAAATGTGCACACAAAACTCAAGTTTTCGATCAAGAACAAAGTCCAGAAGTTGACGAAGGACTAGAACTTTCTACCGGAGTTTACAGCCATGTACACTAAGAAGAAGAGGAGGAGGATGAAATTTTTTATGTGTGCCTTTTATTTTTTCTTTCCTTAGTCATTCTATATATTGTATGTGTGAGTGGAAGAGAGGGGGAGAGAGTGAGGGCAACAGTGAAAGTTACTTCTACATATAAATAGGCTAGACCAGTTGGCACTAGATGGATTATGTGAGCAGCATTACGTCGGTTGCCTTTTTTTTTTTTTTTAACATTTTTTTTCAACACCCCCAGGACATTTTCTGGTGCATATTTTAGTATGGGTTGACCTGAGAGTTCAATCTTTAAAAATCTGCCCTGATACAGATATTAGTTTAAGGCTCTCAGGCCAGCAGGCAAGCATCTAGGCATTGCGCTGCTGTCAACAATATTTGTGACTGATTTACTTCACAGGAGATTTCCTGTGCCTATTTTAGGCTGTGTCCACCTGGAAGCCAATTCTTCTTCTTTAGTCAGTATCTGCTTATGCCACTAGGTGTGGCAGTCCAACAGATGATTGGCAGCTGAGCCAGGGCGTGCTCAGTTGCTTGATATGCCGTGATGATATGCAGTCTCAAGGTGTCAGTGACTCCTTCAATCCATGCTCTTATGGGTCTTTCCCTGCCTCTTGATGTTTAAATTTTCAGGTTGTACGTTCTTGCTGCTGGCATCGTTGGTTTCCTTTTCATTAGATGACCAAACAATTTCATTCTTTGTTTCTCAATAAATTTGATGATGGGTATTGTTCCAGCAGTTCTCTATTTAAACAATTACTTTACTATATTTTGCTTAGGGGGAATGCAGGACTGGAACTATGGCTTCACTAACTGTTTTGAGATAACCCTTGAACTGGGATGTACAAAGTTTCCCCCAGAGAAGGATCTTCAAGTTACTGGGCAGCAAACAAAGATTCTCTGCTAGTTTTCATGGGACAGGTAATGTTGTCATTGTCATCACTTCTGTCATTTATATGTCACATAGAAATCACAGTCGATTCCTACATTTTCTTTCAAGATCTTCTTTTTTCTTCTTCTTTCTCCTCCTCCGCCTCCTCATCTTCTTCTTCTTTTTCTTCTTCCTCTTCTTTTTCTACTTTTTCCTCTACTTCTTTCTCTTCTTCTTCTTCTTCCTCCTCCTCCTCTTCTTCCTTTTCCTCATCTTCTTCTTCTTCCTCTTCCAGGTTTTAGAGCTGTGTAGTACATGTTTATAATTTTTAGGTCACATAAATATCAGTTGAACAGAACTCTTGATACTTTTGAGATAGGTTGAGGAATAAATAGAAATATTTAGCGCAGTGAAATAGAAGAAAGAAGTACAGGATGGAGGGGGCATTAAACAACATAAAAATTGAAAGCTGTAGTCACTACCTGGGGTTTTGAATCACCACCTATACAGATCACAATAGTGTCCAGTTGATCAGGTGGTAAAGATACATTTGTTCCTTCAGTGAGTAGCTGTCACCATTTGGAGGCAGCAGTTCAAATCCTTGTTATAGTTTTATATTTGTATGATGTCTAGCATGCCCTCCAGTAGTTGTTTCTTTTCTCTCATTTTATGTGTGCTAATCGTTACCTGCATACTTATTTCACAGTCTACTGATTGTATAACTGTAGTTTCAGTCCATCGAGAATAGACTGCATTTCTCATTGCAGAGGTTTGTGTTAGGGTTTCTTATACCTGACTTTGGCATTTAATATGTTGGAATGCTATTGGCTTTAACGAGACTGCCGTCTCTTTCAATTTATTCAAAAAGGACAGCGATGGGCATTCTGTCTGGTTTTTGCTGACGCAGGAATGGAGCAATTTTGGGGTGACCCCACTTGAACTGTCGTTAACTCTTAACCGAAATCTAGTATGATCATTTGTTATCTCCACTAAATAGTCGAGCACAGCAACAGATTTCCAATATTATATTTTGCTCTATTGGATGAAGCTTATAAAGCTTCTGATAGTCTCATAGCGGTAAGGATTTGCAGTTTATATTTTTTGCTACCATAGCATACTCTGCTGTTGGAGTATGAAGTACTGAGCCTTCTTGTATTCTAGGCCACAACAAATAAGGTGAGGTGGTCAGTTCTAGTTCATTTTAGGCATGTACTGCTGGCTCCATTTTATATATTAGTGAACTCAGTACATGGTGGGGTCAGTATCTTGCCAGCTGCCTTTACTTCCCAGAAAATTTTTTGTAGTCGTTTAGGCTTGGTGAACCTGGAGCTCATGTCAATGGTTGGGGGGGGGGGGGGGGGGGGGGGGGGGTGTGTGTTTGTGCCAGTTTCCAGGGGGTTTAAACATGTGGCCACCAGGCTGGCAGACAAGAATGCTAGCCACTGTCTACTCATGGCTTCCAGAGTTGAGTCAGTCAAAAATGACATCACAGCACTCTAAACATTCCGGTAAACTCTTCAGCAGCCAATGAAGAATTCCAATTCTGTTAGTGCCAGTAACAGTCTGATTATATGTCCGTCTTGCTATCCACCGAGTGTTAATGCCGGTCAGACACCCCCCTCCCCAGTTATTTTCAGCTGTACAGTTCTTTCCAGACCATAGTGTCGTTTCAATTGCTCTCAAAGAGCCTTGACTAAATCTATCCTGTCATGCATCAGCTCACTGCACAGCGGTGCAGAACTGGCCTGTTTGTCTGACTGTTCATTTCTCATAACACCTGCTTGATCTGGAGAAAATATCCATAAGATGCTAAATACCCAGGACCTCTGAAGCAGAGAAAAGTTTAACAAACAAAATGATTATGCTTCCTCTAAGGGTTCCAACCCATTAGTCCAGATCTGTTGTCTGTTTCTGCAGGTACACAAGGGCATCAAGGGCTTTGTGGTTGACAGAAAGTCAGGTTCAGGAATCAGCAATGTCAGCATCAGTGTTCAGGGGATTGATAAAGTGATACATTCTGCAGCTGATGGAGATTACTGGCGGTTACTGGTGCCAGGAACTCACACCGTTACAGCTCATGCTGCAGGGTGAGTAGATTGTATATGGTGCTGTGTGAGTGAGGCTTCACTCTTTGGGTTCCTGACATGTGATACCTTCTACTTCTGATGGTGCTAGAAACTTACACTGTTACAGCTCATGCTGAGGGGTGAGTAGACTGTATATGATGCTGGGTGAGGGTGGGTGAGTGAGGTTTCACTCTTTGTGTACCTAACATGTGATACCTTCTGCTGATGTAGACTACTGGTGCCAAGAACTTAAACTGTTACAGCTCATGCTGCAGGGTGAGTAGATTGTATAGGATGCATGGTGAGGGTGGGTAAGTGAGGCTTCACTCTTTGGGTTCCTAACATGTGATACCTTCTGCTGCTGATGTAGACTACTGGTGCCAAGAACTTACACTGTTACAGTCCTTGCTGAGGGGTGAGTAGGTTGTATATTAGGCAGGGTGAGGTGGGTGTGTGAGGCTTTACTCTTTGGGCACCTAACACGTGATACCTTCTACTGCTTATGTAGACTACTGGTGCCAGGAACTTACACTGTTACAGTCCATGCTGCAGGGTGAGTAGATTGTATATTAGGCAGGGTAAGGGTGGATGAGTGTGCTTTCACTCTTCACAGTTAGAGCTGCAGGGTGGGTCCATTGTATATGAGACAAGCGGGTAAGGCTTAAGGATAGGGATCCACTTTTGACTTGTACACTACTCAGTTCAAATTCAACTGAGGGCTAGGTCAGGATGTCATCATAATATCAAATACATGTCCAGTGAAACATAGATTCATAACCAACACATCAAGCCTTCTTGCTTACATAGATTTATTCATGACTTCTTGGATTTTGTGAAAGCCATCATGGCGATGACAAACTGTTATGAAATTTGAAATATAAAATGTAATCCTTTTATACTTTTTCTTTGACTTGGCATTCACCGGCTCTAAACTCCAGCAGAAAGTTTGGGTAATTCCTCTACTTTTAGACTTATTCTTGCTCTAGAACTTGAATTTTACCTGCACTTCAGTTTTACAGATCTAGCTTAGTTGTATGCAGACTTTTGGTTCCTTGCCGTTCAGGCCGATGTGTTCGGTGACAAAATCCCTAATTAGTCACCTTCTACAACTTGTTTGAAAGGGAGGCAGTGGGGCTGTTCTTTTTCTGTTTGTTCCTTCCAGTGGTGCCCTGGAACCCCCATGGGTAAGTCTTCTTTTTCTGTTTGTTCCTTCCAGTGGTGACCTGGAACCCCCATGGGTAAGTCTTCTTTTTCTGTTTGTTCCTTCCAGTGGTGACCTGGAACCCCCATGGGTAAGTCTTCTTTTTCTGTTTGTTCCTTCCAGTGGTGCCCTGGAACCCCCATGAGTAAGTCACTTATTCTATGGCAGCACTCCTACCTGAATATCAGTGCAGCTACCAAAGCCATAATGGAGATGACAAGCTAATATTAAAAGTCGAATATAAAATGTAAGAGCAACAGGAGAAAGCCACTTTGGCAGTGACAGGCTTACTTATTTTGAAATTTGAATATAGTAGTATCCTGCCACCCTGAATATCAGAGCAACCAGAAGAAGATTTAATGGGATGTAGCCTTTATGGCAGCGGTTCTCAACCTGCCGGTCACGACCCTTTCACAGGGGTCACCTAAGACCATCAGAAAACACATATTCATTGAAGTTATGAAGGAAAATAATTGTTTGGGGGTTGCCACAATATAAGGGAACTGTATTAAAGGGTAGCGGCATTAGGAAGGTTGAGAGTCACTGCGTTATGGAGTTGACAATCTTATTTTAAAAGTTAGACATTAATTAATTTAAATAAACGCACAACTCCTCACTGAATATCAGAGCAGCCGGTAAAAGCTTATGAAAATAACAGAATAGCAAGAGCTGTGTAATACTGTGGTTTTTAAACCCTTCTAGTCCAGCATTGTCCGTTTCAGAATTTCCTCAGAAGGAGAGTAGTCTCATAACTGTCCCAGCTGGCAGAGAGGGAATATCATTTTGCTTTTACCCCAAATTTGGTCACATTTGGTTTCTTGCTGAAGGTTGAAACCTCCACCTTCCACTGGATTATGGAACAAATGAACAAACTTTATTTTCAAAGGGTCCTCAATTTGGCATGCCCTTTCTTATATTTGGCCCTTTCAAACAACGATTCTGTTTTATGTGTAAAATATGTTTTGTTCATATAACAATATACATAATATGAATATGAAATAAAATACATAGCAGCATATAAAATACATATATGCAAAGGTACACATACACACATGCATACATACCTATACACGTATATACGTACGTACATACACACATACACACTCATACATACATGCATGCAGGCATAAACTATCATAGATACGATGAAGAAGGTTTGAGCAAGAGAAGCATTAACAGGCTCCTATTGTAAATTATTACCCCTTTAGAACCCCAGTGACAAACTAATGACAGTTGTGCTTTAAAATTTATCCAGTTATATGAAAGCGTCACTCCGCCTTTAACATCAAAATAGCAGAACAAACCCATCATGTAGACACAGAACTAGTTAATATGGAAAGTTAAATATAACATTCATTTACAACTGTCTTGTCTTTATCTCCTCTGCTTTCAGGTATAAGCCTCAGTCAGTAATAGTAAAGGTGACCCCAGGAGCTGCGGTAATAGTAAATTTCACTTTGGAAGTTAGCGAGCAAGCTCACTGGTCAGAAGACAGGGACTTTGGCATCAAGGAGAATATGCAGGGAAGCATGTATATGTCCCACCACGCCATTGTAGAAAGCTTCGGTTACTTTGCTCGAACCTACACCAGCTTCGTGAAGTATGAAGAGCTGTTGAGCCCAGTGAACGGAGGATATTCTGTACCAGTCTTACATCTGAAAACGGTAGGAGTCAGTAAAGGAAGTCTTCGTTGTTGCTTGAGTGACCTAAATTTTGTTTGTTTGTTTTACAGCATACCTGTGATGTTTACACCTTTCGGCAGACGCATGTCATAATGTAGTGGTCTCCAATCCTTTTTTAGGTGGTGCCCCTCATGAGTATATTGCAACACCCCCCACCCCCCACCCCCCACCCCCCCCCCCCCCCCTCCGAACCAACCAACCTTGACGCAACATAAAGAGATGATTAAAAAGAGGAAGACCAACAAACAAACAAAAAACAAGCACTGTATGAGAAAAACATCCTCATAAAGCAAAGTGTCAAACGACATAAGAAACAGTTACCAAAAATGTGTAATTTTGTGTCCTAATATTAGTGTGATGGTTGGTTGGCACTGTTTTCTTTCTTGGATGAATTTTGCTAAGATTGGTCTGATGTTGGACAAGGCACCAGGGAGATCACTCTCAACATCAGGCAGACTGCTTTTTTGTTTCCATGACTAAAAGAAGAAAGTTTGGATTTTTACAAGTACAGTTGCACTCGGTTTGGTAATTGCTTGACGCCCCCTTTGAAGCTTCCTCATGCCACTTCCTCCCAGGTTGAAGATGGCTGATGTAAGGGTAGTAAAGAACCCTGTTTATGCCAGTGATACATCAAGGATGTGATGCTAGATATATTTATTTAGGCCAGTTTTCACTCGATAGGTGGCTTGGTCAGCATAACATTGGTCACCTCTGCTTGCCAGAGGCAAGTCAGTTGAGACTTGTAGTGACTGAAAATTTGTTCTTCTTCATCTTATCCTCTTGCTCCTAGTCCTTTTCTCCTCCCTGTCTATTTTCCTCCATCTCCTCTTTTCGACTCCTCTTCCTCTGTTCTCCTCCTCCTCCATCTCATATCTATATATGTGGATCCTAGTGGTGCTATGGTTTTATCCTTCTGTTTTCTTCTTTAACTTGTCCTCCTCCTTCTAATCCTTTTCTATTCCCCCCCCCCCCCTTTTCATGTTTTCTTGTCTTTTCTGCTCCCCTCCTCCATCTCATAACCTTCTGTGTCTGATGCAGTCAAAGTTTTCCTTTACCCCCTATCTATAATATTAACCATTCATTATCAGGATCCAGTCAACGTGGACGCATCCAATGTTTACCAACAGAGAAACAAACCTCATGTGCTCTTGATTGGGAATATGAATGGAGATTCCCCTGTTGGTACTGAAGTGCTGATGCGCTTCGCCCGTCATTTAATTACAGGCAAGTAAAATAACTGAGTCCTGTCTAGTCTCTGAATTCCCATAGGCTATACAATTTTTTTTTCTTGATAAGTTGCCTCATGTAAAAAATGTTGCTATTGTGTGTTCCACTGCCCCTTTTTGGTGGGAAAAGAGACGTCTCACTTCCTCCTACCAAGCATATAAAAAGCAACTAGTTAGGAGTTGGACGTGTTGGGCTGAAAGGAATATATATTTCAGCCTAGCTGTAAAGACATCAGGATGTGCTAACCACTCTTTTAAGTGCAGATACAGAAGAACAAGAACAAGCAGAAGAAAGAAGAAGAAGAAGAGGATTTTAAAATGTGTGCAACATAGGTTTTTATTTTGCAGCCAATCATTGGGTAATGAAATGTGTGTAGAACAAACAGAAAAGATAGGGTAAACATAAAGCATGTGTCAGCTTTGCAGAATCAGTTATTTTAAACAAAGGACATTGCTGTGATAAGCCTACATCAGCAGGATGGGAACAAGAAACATAACTCAGAAATTAACTGACTCTTCTTCTTCTTCAAGTCCATGCTGTGTGGCGTTGGTAGCCATGTCTATTACAACCTTCTGTCTCATGTACTTTCAATTTCAATCAAATCTGACACAAATGATCTTCCATGCCATGAAGTCAAACCCTCCAGCATCTTTTCTCTCTGTAACCCTCTGCCTCTCTTCCCCTCCAGCTTTCCTTTTGTCACAATGTACTCCGGTTTTCTAATTCTCATCACATGATCAAAGAATGTAGATGGTCTTTTTCTGATGTGGGCAATCAGTTCTCTTCATGAGCCAGTTTCTTTCAAGATGTCTTCATTACTCTTTTTATCTGTCAAGGGTATTCACCACGTCTCCGCAGCTTCCAAATAAGTTCTCACTATTGTACTTACTTTCCATGATTCACATCCGTATATCAGTATAGGATTTATATAGCTTTTAAGAATTCTTTTTCTCATCTCAGTTGACAAATAAAGATTGCATAAAATATTTTTTTTGTAAAATGTTCCTTTGCTTGAGCTATTTAACATTTAACTTGCTCAATACATTTTCCATCTGATGGTATCAGGGTATGCAGGTACTTAAACAGCAACTTACTTGAGGTTTGTCCCACTCTAAAATAACTATATTCAAATATATGTATTAAAAAAAAGAAAGTAGAAGAGTGTATTTCTTTCTATAGGTTATGCTCATGGAGATCCAGTTGTGACATCACTTATCAACGCCAGTCATGTTCATATTGTACCCCAGTTAAATGTACAAGGGGCATCATTAGCTGTACCAGGTGACTGTACAGGGGAAAAGTACAGTGGATCCAGGTTCAACAAGCTAGTTCAGGATAAGGTAAATTTTTTTTTTCTTTTTACTGCTTTGATAGTTAAGTGTAAACGTGTTTTTAGAAGAAAAAAAAATTAAGTAATAAAATTAATGTAAAGGACCCTTTTCAAGCCAGTGAATGTATAGGGCATTTGTTGCGAGAATCATATTTTGGTAGACCAATCTGTGCTCGGTTGACAAGTGGCCAAAATCAGGCCAGCCGCATGGTCATTGCCTGGTACCTTTTTTAGGATAGGTCAGCCTAGGAAGCAAGGTCCACGAACTCTGTAGCAAAAATGAGGATTCCCAGGGGATCTTGAAAGGGATCTTTGTAAACTTTGCACTTGGGAACTGAACACTGCAGCCTGTGATACTAACCCATGACTTTCATCAGAGCATAAGTCAAATTGATTAAAGTTTTAGCCACGGGAACCCAACCCCCCCCCCCCCCCGGCTAAAGTTTTTTTGAGGTTATTTTGGTTTGTTTTTAGAATGAATAAGTTTGTCAGGTTACAATCCTTTGCATCTGTGGCTTGGGTATTGTGAATGTGTTTCATAATTCTAAGGTACCCAGTTTGATTCCAGATGTGGGCACTTTGGCAGGAGACCGCCTTGCATTTATTTTGACACAAGAATTGAGAGCTGACTATTTGCGAATGTGGAAGTGGGTACTAACCCTCCCCCCCCCCCCCCACCCCTTCCTTTCCCAATCTTCCTTTTAAAAAAAAAGGCAGCATATGATAGTGTTGTTTCTGCTACAGTCTTTTGGCAACTATGGCTTGAGGGATGTGAACACAGCTCAACAATGCAACACATATAATGTTTGACATCAGCTGTTGGTGATTTGACAGCAGACCACTTTGCACTGATTTTGACAATGATTCAAGCATTGTACTATTCAGAAAGCAAAAGTAAAATACATAATCTAAAATGTTCCAGTAAAACCTCACAATGCAATAAATGCTGGGATTGATTTTACAATATCCTGAAAATCATATGCAGTTAATAATCTTGAAGGCAGATTTTGTTTCAGTGACCTGCAATCTCACATCAGCATAATCCAGAATCTTCTTCTGCTTCTTAGGGTTCACCGGCTGAAAGTGTTGGTTGTTTGCCTGCTGAGACTTTGGTCTCATTCTTCTTCTTCTTCGTGTGCGTTCATCCGAAGATGTAATTGCGTTGTGTCCGTTTATAGCATGGCTGCGGTATTGCACCTTTCGGCCAACAAATCCGACTTCTGCGGGCATTTGTTGACCGGGTTAGCCTTCCCAGTGGTCTCATTATAGGACTTGTGGTGTGCTTGCACATTCGTTTTACAGATCTAGCTTATTTTGTATGTAGACTGTTGGTTCTTCACCTCTCCTTAGCAGATGCACTCCCACTTTGAAATATCCATTGATGTTTACTACATGCGTGTTGGGTGGAGGGGGGGGGGGGCAATGTGGGTCTATTCTTTTATCCCCCAGAAATGCTTATTTTGTTTTTAAAGTAATTACAGACATTCATTAACTGGTGCCTGCGCAGAATAGAGGGAATTAAATGGTATGATAGAATAACTAATGTAGACCTTTGGGAGAGAACTAAACAGGCCCCAGTGGACCAAGAGGTGAGGGAAAATGCTGGTGTTGCATAGGACACACACTGAGAAAACAGGAGAACAGCATAACTAAAATGTTTTTGCATTGGAACCCACAGGGGCATAGGAATAAAGGAAGGCCAAAAAACACATGGAGAAGAGAGCTGGAGAATGAAGTTAGAGGGATGGGGAGGACATGGGGAGAGCTCCATGCAATGGCGAAGGATAGAACGACTTGGCGTGAGTTGGTTGAGAGCCTATGGTCCATTGGGGGATAGAAAGGCAGAAGAAGAAGAAGAAGAAGAAGAAGAAGAAGAATCAGATCCAGCCCTTCTAAACACTTTACTGGCCCAAACAGTACCAAAGCCCTTATATAGACTTAGTGGGGACTGGCCAAAACTATAAAGCCACGATATCATTCTTATGGGGATTTGTAACTGGGGCAGGGAAAGAGTTAAATAATGCTTACATCATACACACATGCATGTTACCACTACATGATTTGTGCAGTGTTTGATGTTTGAATGTCCACTTTTTGTTTTAGGATCCTATTGTTCAGTCGCTGACCAGTTTGATTGACCACAGCACCTTTCATCTGATTCTCAATGTGGACGGTGGAGGAAAGTTTATTGTGTATGTTAGCTTTTGTGATCTGTGAAAGTTTAGTAATCTATGGCTTAAAGGTTAGTGAACACACTTCTCAATCCACCATGTACCTAGGTTGATCTCCACTGTGAGCGGTAATTAGAAGAGAAAAAAAAAGACCATTCTTATGGCTTTTAACTCTTTGAGTCCTGGGGGTTTAGCATCAGAGGCTAGAGGGGTTGTCAAGAGAGATGTAAAATCGACGCATCTTGCACTCATCGCGCTTCTGGATTGGAACCTATGGATGTGTGATGCGTTTCTTGGGACTCAAAGAGTTGAGCAGCAGTACAAAAGTAGCACTCAAGAAGAGATTGGAGCAGTTATGTACATATCTACACTACAGCCAGTCTCCATTGTGAAGATGGGAACATTGTCTATTTCTGTTTTGTAGTTTGAAGCTATGCTAGCACAGTGCTTCCCTGCAGAGCATTACCTGGTACCTATTGGGTCAACCTGGGAACCCAGGTTGTTTTGAAAAAACCACCTCCATACAGATTTGAACCTGTAAGATTGCCATGTGAGTGTCTAGCTGTTATGCTCCAGCGGCTTCTGTCCTTTACTTTAATTACTTCAAATTATTGCATAGTCACACATGCCAGCACATTAGACTGCCAGATTAGCTTACATTGACTATCTATCTGCACGAGGCTACCTAAAGTAGAATATTGTAAGCAAATGTAAAAACAAAAAACTAAATGTGTTCTTTGGTCATGTGTGAGACAAAAGACATTGGAGACAGGAAAGATTTGCAGTTGTAGAAACAGGCCAAGAGAAATATATGCTTCTTAGTCTAAGATAGTGGTAAATAATGATATGGATAAAACAGATTCAGAACACCAAGGACCTAGATCTGGGGAGAAACAAGATCTCTATGCCATCGGGCATAATAAAATACTCTTTCTCCTTTTTCTTCTTCTTTTTGAGCATTCGGAGCCCTTTAGGTTGATAGCTGCAGATATCACATGCTTCCAATCATCTTTATGATTCCATTTGGTGACTTCATGTGTCTGTAGGTCTGTCTGTGTGTTATCTCTCCGCTATCTTCTTGGTTTGCCTTATGATCTACATCCATTAATGTGTACTTAGTTTTTATGTGTGTTTTCACCATTCTCTCTTTATGCCTCAAAAATTGCAGTCCGTTAGCCATGATAATGCCAGTTATTCATCGTCATCATCAGGTGCCTTACCGACTGGCGTGGGCGATCATGCCTCTTTATAATCTGCGATCTCCTGCAGCATGTATCAGTTCATGTGCTGATACACCTCCATGCCATGCAACAAGACTGTCAAGAATCTTCTCTTGTTTTCTTACTCTATCCCTCCTTCCACAGATCTTTCCAGTGGTCACAGCATGCTCCTTTTTTCCTCTTCTCATAACATGATTGAAAAATGATGACCAATTTTGAATGATTATATAAACAGAATATGTGTTTTTTTTTTTTCTCTGCATTTTTCCCTGTTTGTATCTTTAATAAATTCTCATACAGAGCATGTTTGTGTTTAATGAACTCTTACTGTTTTTCTAGCCTCCCACGAAATGTGGCAGTGAAGAGTGACAGTAGTGCTGTCACTGAACTTACAGAGGATGAGGACATCTTTCAGGACATTGCATCCTCCTTTGCACGAGCCATGACTGACATTTACCATCAGGAAGCCTGTGACAAGGCACATTACTCTGGAATTATTCACGGGACACAGATGGGTAGTGAAGCTACTGCCCTTGCAGATTCAGTTTATACTCAGTACAGAAGTTTGATGGTATGTACAATGTTCACATTGTAATTTTATTTGTTTGTATATTCATAAGTATTGTATCGTGTAACAATGCTTATGTTTGGTATAGTGCTGTGAATATAACTTCAATGTGGCCAGTCATTGATTAGGAAAGTATTGTGACTGTTAATTATGGTTGTTTAGGAAGATGTATCATCTATTGTGCCATAATAGAACTAACTGAATTATATTTATATATTATTTCTTCTTCTTCTCTTCTTCTCTTCCACCTTTTACCTCATCGAAGTGTCGTGGGGGAGATGTAATGTTCATTGATGAGCTCTGTCAAGAACACTATTAAGACTGATGTTCATTTCTGTAAGGCTGTTCTTAATGCCATCACTCCATCTTTTCTGAGATCTTCCACTCGCTCTATACCCGTTATAACGTTTTAGTGTGGCTCGCTGTGGTAGATTTTACCAGGGCATTCTTGTTAGGTGTCCAAACCACTTTATTTTTTGTTCTTTGATGACCTGTAAGACTAGATTAATTCTTTGAGGACCTGGATGATGAAATTTATAATACATATTTTTTAACTGTGTATTATTCTTGGGTGTAATGTACACATCTGTTTTATAGATCTGCCTTATTTGTATCCTGACTGTTCATTCCTTGCCTTGTCAGGCAGACACACTCTGACTATGAACAAAACACCTCTTTTACAACAAGCTTGTTGGGAGGGTCAGGGGGGCAGTAGGTCTGTTTTTTTTTCTATCCCTAAAATCTGGCCGTGAATCCACAGGGGAAATTTCTTAAACTACAAGCTGTGTAATTCTGTGTTGAAATAAAAGATGATTATAGTTGAGCTGATGTGGATACATAAAGCTCATTGATAGAGCAGGTATGTACGGACTAGACTAGTGTATAACAAGAAATCTATATGCACCTTTGAGACCGAGATAGAAGGCATTAAAACTAGCACGCTATGGAAATAATCAGTAGGTGTGCCTAGGAGTGACCTTGGAGTGGCTAGCTTGGAGAACTTAGCCTGCATGGGAATGCCCAATGTGCAGTGATGTTGATTGTGATAAAATAACGTAATGTAAAATAAATGAAACTCACTGAGGGAAAATAAGAAGATGAGCATGAGTACAAGCAATTTTTTTTTCAACAAAAGTCTTTTCCATAAGGGAAAGACAAGGATAATGATAATAAACCAGGCAAATAATAATATAGTTTCTCCTAATGCTATCTCACCCAAGACTTGGAGTCTTACTTATATTTCGGCAGTAATGTAGATAAAGATGGAAGAACTGACAGAGATATTAAAATCAGAATACAAAAGGCAAGAGGAGCTTTCATAGCACTAGGGAATTTGTGGAGGTCATCAAAAGAAATTAAAAGAAATACTAAACTTAAATTTTTTAAATTCTAATGTCAAATCAGTACTTTTGTATAGAGTGGAGAAAAACTAAGGCAGTTACTAATAAACTACAAATATTCATTAACTGGTGCCTGCGCAGAATAGAGGGAATTAAATGTTATAATGGAGTCACTGATGTAGAGCTTTGGGAGAGAACCAGTGGATCAAGAGGTGAAGAAAAGACGCTGCTGTTGGATAAGACACATGTTGAGAAAACCTAAAAACAATATAACTAGAGTTTCTTTGCACTGGAACCCACAGGGGCATAGAAATAAAGGAAGACAAAAAAAAAAAACATGGAGAAGGGAGCTAAAGAATGAAGTTAAAAAAGATGGGAAGGTCATGAGGAGAGTTGTATGTGGTAGTGAAGGATAGAATGACTTGGTGTGAGTTGGTTGAGGGCCTATGAACCATTGGGGGTTAAAAGGTCAGAAGAAGAAGATAACATAAGGAATTCTATTTTTCCTACATGACACACCCATCTGTGGTTGCAGCTTAGGATTTGAGTCATTTTTCTGGTTGATAAAGACATTGGTCAAGATATTTGATTACATTGTGGTCAAGATGTTTGAGTACATTGTAGTCAAGATGTTTGATTATATTCGGTCAAGATGTTTGATTACATTGTGGTCAAAATATTTGATTACATTGTGGTCATGATGTTTGATTACATTTTGGTCAAGATGTTTGATTACATTGTGGTCAAGATGTTTGATTACATTGTGGTCAAGATGTTTGTTGACATTGTGGTAAAGAAGTTTGATTACATTGTGATCAAGATGTTTGATTACATTGTGTTATGATGTTTGATTACATTGTGGTCAAGATGTTTGTTGACATTGTGGTCAAGATGTTTGATTACATCTGTGAGCATCTTTTCTAAGTTCTACATTGCTCTACCTAGTCATAGTTTGTGCTGAATCATTTATGTCTAGTTTAATGCTAGAGTCTAACTCCATTTGTGCTTGGCTATGCAGTCATGGTAATATTGCTAGAATAGGTAACAAAATGACACCAACTGATTTAAGTCAGAAAGACATTTACGTTACAGCCCTAATAAATTTGTCTTCATGCTTTACCCTTGAAAGGTCACTTCGCACATAGTGTTGTGATTTACAGCTATGTTGTGAAGAATGCACATTTTTATTTTTATTTTTACCCTACATGTCCAATTTAAGCCCATATTAAGTCACCTTCTACAACATGCTTGTTAAAGGACATCAGATCTGTTCTTTTTTCCTCCCAAATTCAGGCCCCTAAACCTCCCCGTGTGGGTTCTGAGGCCCCATTGTGGGGAAAACAAGAACAGACCCACTGCCTTCCCAGCAAGCATGTCGTAGGGGACTTCCTTCAAAGTCGTAGTGCATCTGCCGAAGCTGCAAGGAACAACCAACTGCACACAAATAAACCAGTTAAATGGATGTACACGAAAACCTCAGATTCTGGTACAAAGCCAAAGTCCAAATGGACGAACAGCCAGGACATTCCACAGAGTTTACAGCCAGTGAACAAAGAAGAAGAAGGCCCCAAAACCCACATGGGAAAATATTTTGTACAATTATTCAGTTATGTGGAAAGTCAATTCAGATTGATTTCACTTTTTTAGTACCTGAGGGTTTAACCTCAGAGGACAAAGAAGTTTTAGTGATATTTTGAAACTTCACATGTGCAGCACATTAGTTCTTTTGATACAAGAACACATGAATCACTGATTTCATATCTAATTTAACTGTCCTAACACCAAGATCACATTATATAAAATGCTGATAAGGCCGGTTGTCTTATCTGACCCTGAAACCTGATGAAGTCTTATTACACATTTTCTAAATCAGTCTTGCAATGAATCTTTAGACCCATCAGAGATGCAGACAGGGAAAGGCAGAGTGAGGAGCAGCAATTAAATTTATCATCTATTTGAATCACCATTTGTCACTGGCATCATGAGGGCTTAAGGACTGTAGTGATTGGGGCATTAAGGAAGAATGGCAGTTGAAAAGAAAAATCTACACAAGCTAGTTGAATGTCTGTAGACCACAAGACAGACCAAGAAGAGGGTGGAGAGATAATATCCAGAAGTGCACCTACTATATAGAGCCGGTCAATCACAGAGATGAATGGAGGTGAGTGATATCTAATCACAGAGATGAATGGAGGTGAGTGATATCTAATCACAGAGATGAATGGAGGTGAGTGATATCTAATCACAGAGATGAATGGAGGTGAGTGATATCTAATCACAGAGATGAATGGAGGTGAGTGATATCTAATCACAGAGATGAATGGAGGTGAGTGATATCTAATCACAGAGATGAATGGAGGTGAGTGATATCTAATCACAGAGATGAATGGAGGTGAGTGATATCTAATCACAGAGATGAATGGAGGTGAGTGATATCTAATCACAGAGATGAATGGAGGTGAGTGATATCTAATCACAGAGATAAATGGAGGTGAGTGATATCTAATCACAGAGATGAATGGAGGTGAGTGATATCTAATCACAGAGATGAATGGAGGTGAGTGATATCTAATCACAGAGATAAATGGAGGTGAGTGATATCTAATCACAGAGATGAATGGAGGTGAGTGATATCTAAAGCACTCAACCTAAAGGATTCAAAGTGCTGAATATGAAGATATGGATATAGTAATTTTAGGTAAATATTCCTTAATAATAGGAAAAAACTCCACAGGGGAGCAAGTACAGCAGGGATCTACCAGTCATCAGTAGAAGTTATCCCTCGTCGACAAATGTTTCGGCCCACGACCTCCTAGACGTTTTCAGAGAGTGGGCCCACCTGAGTTCATGAAGCTCAGGGCTGGTTCCCTGCTGCACGGAATTACCAGATGGTGTTTTCTTTTCGGATAGGGACAAGACGACTTGGTGATTTCGCAGATGGTACTGTGAGATAAGAAATCGCCGCGGTAGCTTAATTAGAGCAGTCAGCATACCTAGACGACCGAGCGACAAGCTTACGATTGGTATACCGGACACATGTTGGACTTTTGTTAGCAGGTGGCAGAGGATCACTGACAGACAATTTGGACACGATGGACTTTTAAGGGATGAAAAACTCTTTTCCACTAGACACCCGGACCAGCTCACCGAGGCCCGTCCCCCTACGTTGTTCCGTTGCGTCCAAAGCCAGCTCGAGGCCCTCTCAGCAGCCTCGCCCAGCTGTTTCAGTGTCCGTTTCCGTTCATTACCGCGCAATCCTAGTTCTTTAACCACATTGTAGAGTGAAGTGGAGACGAGACCCCTCGCTGCCACTTCGACGGCAAAGACACGTACTGTGTACGCCTCGTCTCTCCTCAGACCGGCTGCTAAATCACTGTATTTCTCGAGCTTGTACGTGTGATTTTCGTCCATACGCGACTCATACGGGACGGTCAGCTCAATCAGGATGAGCTGCCGTTTCTCCGCAGAGTGGAGAACTATGTCAGGTCGCAGGCCGGTCTTCCGGATTAACTCAGGGTACCTTTCATGGCCCGGCAGATCCACTGCCAGTAACCAGTCCCTCGCAGAATCTAGCACAGATGGAGCGAATGCATTTTTGTTGATTTTACCCTTTTGAATCTGCCCAGCCTTGAGGAAACGTATGGGGACGATGGTAGAACTGGCTCTAGCGTTAGCCCTCATTCTAGCCTGGTCGACAACGGCTGCTAACTCTTTTAGCACCTTGTTGTGTCGCCAGGTATATCGGCCTTGACCTAGGGCTTTCCTGCACGCGGACAGGACATGCTTAAGGGTCTGCTTCGCTTTGCACAGCGGGCAGGTCGGATCGTTGGTCGCAGACCACTTAACCATGTTAACACCGGGCGGTAATACATCGTATGCCGAACGAACGATAAAGCTCAGTCGCAACGGGGTCATTCGCCAGATCTCACCCCATGTGAGTACTCTTGGCAATGCGCTCTCCGGGCTGACCCAATGGCCCTGCTGCAACTGCTGGGCTGCTTTCTGGAAACGAACCTCGTTTTCGTTGTCCCTCACTTGTTGTATAACCATGTCTCGGCGTTCTTTGGCTGAGGCTTTTGACCACCAATTGACCTTCCCGTGACCTAGGCCTTGACGATCGGTTTGAGTGTATCCCATTATCTCCCTCAATTTTAGTGCATTCTGGGCGGATTCAATCGCATCGAGGACTCTCCACTTCTGCCCAGTCTTTAGAACGGGCTGGACAGCGATGACATTTGGGTCTGAAGACTCGCGCAAGAGCATGGCGAGTCTTACTTTGCCAACTTTAAACTCTTCGGTTATCGATTTGAACGGGAGTACCAGCTTAGCCTGCTTACAATACAGAGCCACGTCGGTCAGACAAGGCGGTGCACCAATCCACTTTCTTAAGGCTGTGTTGATTTTCCTCTCCATCGTCTCAACTGCTGTCATCGTCACTTCGTAGACTAACAGCGGCCAGAGGAGCTTTGGAATCAACATGAATTGGAGACACCATACCTTGAACTTCCCAACCAGCCTGCAATGCTCGATCGCGAGCAGGCCTGTAGCCAGTGACTCGTGTATTCGCCGGACTTCCGCTCTATCAGATAACTTCGAATCGTAAACGCAACCGAGGCTTTTCACCGGTTCCTCCAGAACCGTGGGGATCTTGTTCCTTGCCACCGTAAAACTGGTTGCCGCCACTCGACCCTTAAGGATTGACAAGACTCCTCGACTTCTGCGGTTTGAACTGCATACCGCTCCATTGGACCACCGCGTCCAATCTTTCCAGGATCGTGCGGGCAGACTCCTCACTGCCCGTTATAATAGTCCTGTCATCCATAAAGGCACGTAATGGAGGCATCCAGTGTTCCCCTATTTGAAGGCCCAGTCCGTAGCCGGCCGCCCCGTCCAACATGATCTGCATGGCCATGACAAACAGTATTGGTGAGATCGTACACCCCATAGCTATCCCAATTTGTAGCTCAGTCCACCTCGTGGTAAACGTCGAGGTAGAGAAGCGCAAAGCGAACTTAAAGAAATATTGCTCGATCATATCATTGACCTGTGCCGGTGCGTGAAACATGCAAAGGGCTTGCCACAGTAGCCTATGGGGAACTGTCCCGTAGGCGTTGGCTAAGTCTAACCATATCACGTGCAATTCGGTTCTCTCATGCTTGGCTCTCTGAAAAGCCTCCCAGATCATGGTTGCGTGTTCAAGGCACCCAGGAACGCCCGGAATACCACCCTTCTGAACACTCGTATCTATGTACTTGTTAGACATCAGATACTGTGTGAGCCGGCGAGCCATGACCGAGAAGAATATCTTACCCTCGACATTCAACAGCGAGATGGGCCTGAATTGGGAAAGACTCTTCGAGTCCTGCTCTTTGGGAATGTAGACCCCATTCGCTTTTTGCCTCTCTGGACATATGTGTTTACTGCTCCACGCTTGTCTCAACAAGACGTGAAGCATTCGCAGGATTTTCGAACAACGCTTGTAAAGAACGTACGGAACACCGTTCGGGCCTGGGGCAGACTTGCCGCTGGCCCTTTTCACAACTTCCTCAACCTCAGACCAAAGGGGAGGTATCATTTTAAATGGTACCTTCGGCAACTCAGGCTGCTTGAGGCCGCTAAGGATCTCTGGATTGTCATCGAGAGGCTCTTTCCTCTTTTTGTCAGAGTACATCTTGCGTAGATGTGACTCAAGCTCTTCCTGACTGACAACCAGAGTCCCAGACTTCGGTTGCTCGAATAGACCTCGGGAAAACTGATACGGGTCCCTAAAGAATTTCTCTCGCTCCCTTTTGGTTCTTCTCCTGTTGGTACAGAAGCGCTCAGCGCGACAGAGGGCACTGTGTCTGTTCTTTAAATGCAACCAGACTTCATGCAGCCCCTCCCGTTCGCTACCTGTAGCGGCTTTGAACCGTTTTCTGAGGGCATTCTTGTCTGCCTGACACTTCAGAATGTCCCTCTGCCTCCTGCTAGTATTCTGCTTGGCACCCGGCTGTGCCTTCTCCACTGTCCCGAACTGACGGGAGCAGTGTTCATATATAACATCACCAAACTTAGTAAGCTTGTCGCCTAACGACTCCTTTTTTAAATCATGATTAAGTATCTCACACAATGTACTCTCTAGCTTGCACCACACCACCTTATCTCTCGCAGGTGGAAACCTGATTTTGGAACACACTTCCTCTGGAATCATCAAAGGTGCGCCTCCGCAGTCGATGTCATGGGCCTCTCCGGGCGAGTGGGGTTCACCCAGCCCGTCGTTCCCTAACGACTCAGAAACTACCACAGGAGTAGTAGTTTTGCGACGGCGTTTACTGCGTGGAGCACCCTCGCATTTTATCCTTCCGGCATGCGTTCTCAAACCATGCAATCCCGTGAAGCTCTTCCCACGTACAGAGCCAGCCCGGATGTTGGGCGAGTATCTGAGTCCAGGGGCTAGCATTGTCGTCACTGAGAGTATCAATTTGATTGGGCCCTTCATTCTCCCCCTCTTTCGAAGGGCCCTAGGGGCATATTTCTTTATTGGTTTGCGAAATCGGAGGTATTATACTGTGTTAGGGGTGATCAACCCGGTCCACAGTCGACATCTGTCTCCAGATGTCAGTTTATCCCCCCGGCAATACCGGGGAGCCAGTCTTTCCATAGGTGTCACAAGGTCTTTCCCGAGCGTCACCATTCTTTCATGGTAGTCTTGTGGGCTAGCCACGTACAATAGGAACAAACTCCACAGGGGAGCAAGTACAGCAGGGATCTACCAGTCGTCAGTAGAAGTTATCCCTCGTCGACAAACGTTTCGGCCCACGACCTCCTAGACGTTTTCAGAGGGTGGGCCCACCTGAGTTCATGAAGCTCAGGGCTGGTTCCCTGCTGCACGGGATTACCGGATGGTGTTTTCTTTTCGGATAGGGACAAGACGACTTGGTGATTTCGCAGATGGTACTGTGAGATAAGAAATCGCCGCGGTAGCTTAATTAGAGCAGTCAGCATAATAATAGATAAACAGGTTCAAATATTTTTAAAATAGACATATAGGTTCAGGGATATGTTGTTTAAAAATAGTTGGATAGATTCAGTTACATATCTTTTAATAACAGACATATAGATTCAGGTCTATAATCTATAATAATGAATGTATAGATTCGGATAGATAAGTTATATGTGCTTTGTGTCACGTAATCTAATCTATGCACACATGTATTATTTTATCTTGTCGGTGTGACACAAACATTTGTTTTTGACTGTGTAATATTATGTCAGTGTGCTGTTGTCTGGCTTCCACCCTGTCATCCCTTCTAACCATTTTCCAGTTAAGCACTCACATTGCATGCTGCAAGTACCCCCCTGCCTCCGAGTTGCCTGACATTTGGGTGTCATCTCTGCAGCCCCTGCTTAATGTTTTGTTCAAATCTCTGCAAGGTTGGTTATCAGCTATTTTTTAAAATCCATTGCTGTTGTTGTTTTCCTCTTTGATGATGATGAAGGTAACAATGATTATGATGCATCTTTACAGTCGTTACAGATTATATGGGATCAGCGAGGCAGAAATGGGTGTAGCCAGTGAGTGTTCCATAACTTCACTGCTTATGTTGGATTAAAACTAAACATGTCCAGGCATGTCAAACATGTGGCCAGCTGTCTGCTTGTGACCCTTTGCAAGCAGTAATTTTGGATTGAATTACTTCAGTTAGTTATGCGAGATTGTGAACTCATTTCAACAAACAAGACGGGTATAGAGTAGGAACATTATGTCGTAACAACAGAGATGAGAGTAGTCATAGGAGAGTTGCCGGTGTGACAAGAAGAAATAAAATCAAGAATTAAGAAATTAGAAGAAGACTAGGACTGAAACCAGTCCTATAATTCCTGACGAGAATGCCCTGATACCACCTGCCACAAAGAGCCATGCTGAAGAAATATAAGGAACACAGAGCAAGGGGAAGACCATGCCAGAGATGGAGCGACAACTTCAGGAGCAACCTAACAGAAATTAAGACGAACTTGTACAATGCATTGGTAAAATCGCACAAAAGATTGTTACATATCCCCCACCACCTCACTGAGGTCAATGGTGGAAGAGAAGAAGAAGAAGTTAGTTATATGTGGCCCTTATGATAACACAGATGTGACTCGTGTGTCCCTCGGAGGACCCTAAGCCTGACATGTCTGCCGTAGTCCATCTTCAGGTTGTAGTATGGAAACAGGCAATGGGACTGTAGGCTGGCTAGAGCAGTAGGGATTCAAGAGAAAGGTCATTTTGGCTCCAGAAGTGGTGTTCTGACATTGGATTTTATTTCAGTTGTAACATATGCTAGTAAAACACTAAAGTCTAGAGAGTACTAGAGAACCACTAAAGTCATGGAATGAAAGTTCAGTGCATTCAATAAAAATTCCTGCAGAAACTGATGAACATTAAATGGGATGTAAGAGATATGTCTGGCCAGCCAATAGTATCAACACTTTAGACAAAGTAGTCGGCACTAAATTGAGCACATCCTGAGAAGAAAGCAGATAATCACCCAGCAAGCACTGAAATTGGAAACAAATGGATTGATGAAGTTGAGAGTCAAAGAGAAAGCCTAATATGAACATTGATGAGTGGGGAGAAAGGTGTTAGACTGGATTCCATCCATGGTAAAGAATTGCACCAGATTCCGTCCATGGTAAAGGATTGCACTGGATTCCGTCCATGATCAAGGATTGCACTGGATTCTGTCCATGGTGTCGTATGGCAGTTTTGTCGCACACCTCTACTTGAGGATTATTTTCCAAAACCCCTCAGGTGCTCTGAGATAGGGGTCTTCTGAATGGTGGCTCTCGTTTGTCTAGAGGCCTAACCCTCGGTTCAAATTTCCATTCAGCCTATCTCAGGAATGAGGTGACTCGAGCTCTGACTCCACAGGGTTACTATGAACTCTTGGGTACCTCTCGGTCAGACATCCCCATTACTAAATTTGCCCCCAGACTGGTAAACAACGTAACACAGTCAAATATGTAAACAACAGTGAGTAGGACAAGACATGAACACCTTTCTGACTACGACAATTGATTCCTTTAAAAACCAAACTTTTCTAAGAACAAGAAGTCTGATGAACTAGAACTTCAATGTAATAAATGCACTAGAACAAGGCAGAAGAAAAGTAACCCGAAGAATGAAAACGATTGTTCAAGTCTTTGAAGAACTGAGACTAGAGAAAGCGTCCTCCTACATCGCCACATCCATTTCCATAATCATCCTCGCTTGGAGAGCTGAGACAGACTACGAAGGCACATCTGGACTTAGGCCGCTACAGTGATGTTAACTTGGACTTATCTGGTCAAATCCTGCAGCTCCTCAGGGAGCCGGAAGGTAGACTTCTGCCTCGTCTCGTTACTCAAAACATCTCCGTACGAGTTAAGACGACCCCTGGGATTGATCGACTAACAATCAACTTCCCAGAGACTGGTGGGAGTGAACTTCAAAAACAGTTGGACATATCAGGCAATGGCTGGTTAACACAAGTCGGTTGCTTCCCAGGTGCTGGTTGGTGGGAGAACCTGACTACCACACGGATGCATGTTGGATCTTCCAATATCCCATGTCAATGGATAAAGAGACTAAAGAAGCTTGTCTTTTTTAACGGTCAAGTGGCTACAAAACTGAAACACGTCTGCACACTTGAACGGACTAAGAAGAAGTGACGTATAAAATTATAGTCCCTATCTATGACAGTTGGTGCGAGAATATGGCTTAAGTACACTGTGAAGCGGTCACACAATTAATATTGAACGGGCGTAGAAAATGTGTCTTATCATGCAAATTGACACTAGACGCCTAAAAGAAACAATCTAAGAGTAATTTATATAGATTTCTCACAGCTGGACTCCCCATCAACACGCGAACTATATAACTACAGACGGACCATCCGATATCATAGTTACATTAACAAATATGGGGGTGTCCAGTCCGTGGGCTGGCGTATTGTGGTAGGTGTGCTGATTCTGTTATGTGACACATGGTAAAGGATTGCACTGTATTCCATCCATGGTCAAGGATTGCACTGGATTCCGTCCATGGTAAAGGATTGCACTGTATTCCATCAATGGTCAAGGATTGCACTGGATTCCGTCCATGGTAAAGGATTGCACTGGATTCCGTCCATGGTAAATGATTGCACTGGATTCCATCCATGGTAAAAGGATTGCACTGGATTCCATCCATGGTAAAGGATTGCACTGGATTCTGTCCATAGTAAAGGATTGCACGGGATAGAACAGAATGGAAAAATAGACTGCAAGCCCCATCTGACATAATGACATAACAGGATGGTAATGAAAATGATCTGTTCCTTAATCTTTGTCTGTCAACACCTAGAGGACTGAACTGCCAGCACAGTTTTATCTAAAATTCTAAAAGACCGAACTGCCCACACAGTTTTATCTCAAACCCTCCAGTTACAACCCCTGGAATTCACCGGGGATATTTATTCTTCTGTCCCATGTGTCTCATCAGTCTACTGACAAGACATCGACCTGGATGCTTCGAGATATTAAGCAAAGCGATTTTATGTAATTGTGTAGTATTGTTTGATTTATGTATGTGCTGATGAAGGCTTCATAGCCGCAACGTTCACGTTTTGTTTGTGTTTGTTATATTGTAAAATTTGCTGCTATACTTGTCGTTCTGTTTTATATCTTTTCTCCATCTTTGTGTACATTGTAATCTGACTTCACAACTTAAGTTGGGTTTTGCCAGGGAAAGTAGGGTTATTGTTTGCTTGATTATTCTCATCTTCTCAAGTCACCAACTGGGATTTGTTAAATTGACATATAAGTAATTTAAATTAATTACTTCTTAGCTTTAATGTGTGCATGCATACTCATATCTGTGTGAACATGTATGTGTGTGTCTATATATATAAAAAATGTTAACATTTTCAAAACTCCATTGTGAACTATTTATTCTTGTCTGTTATCTCTATACTCTGCATTCGCCCTTAAAAGGGCGGTTGGCACAAATGAGTTTTGGTTTGCTGCTAGGCTGTAATACATGTCCATTTTGGCCCAATATTTTCTATTTGCTACAAATCCTTAATAAGTTGCCTTGTATAACATGATTGTAATGGGAAGTTCCCCCACCTGCCAATCCTCAACCTCACTCTAGGGCTCTGGAAACTACACAGGAATGTTATCTCTCTCTTCCTTTCCAGAGACCCAAATGTCCAGGCTAAACTGTTTAAACACTTCATTCCATAATTGTTGCATCCTTTAACAGTTGTATGTTCTAGTCTATTAGTTTCTCTATTTGTCATGATTAGTTAATTGTTTCTGCATTCATTAGTAGTAATCTAAACAGTTTGCCATGTGGTTTGATGTTTTTTTTTTAACTTCTTTTAATTGCTGTGTTTTAATTTCCCTTTGAAAAGATTTGAATTGATTATGTGGCATGTTATTGTGTTTTAAACAGTTTAAATGTTTTACAATAAATCTGTAAGGGAAATCTTCCTCTCCCATCTTACATTAAATCTGTAATTGAACGTTCCTCTCCCATCTTACATTAAATCTGTAATTTAACGTTCCTCTCTCATCTTACATTAAATCTGTAATTGAATGTTCCTCTCCCATCTTACATTAAATCTGTAAGTGAAATGTTCCTCTCTTATGTTCTGTTAAATCTGTAATTCAATGTTCCTCTCCCGTCTTACATTAAATCTGTAAGTGAATGTTCCTCTACTATGTTCTGTTAAATCTGTAATTAAATGTTTGTATCTCATCTTACATTAAATATGTAAGCAAAATGCTTCTCTCCTATATTCTATTAAATCTGTAATTAAATTTTCCTCTGCCGTCTCACGTTAAATCAGAAATTGAAATGTTCATAAATCTTCTTTATGTGTGCATGCATACACTCCTCTAGAAAGAAACATTTTTTTATTTCATTATTGGTGTTTGCTTGCTTTGTTGTGTGTGTACAGACATTGTATTGCCAAGTTGCATGCCAGTATTGTTGTTGATTTTTTCACAGGTATTCAGATAAAATACAATGGGACATAGGAAACTGTGTGTGCACATCTTTGAGATGCTCCTTACTCTTTTCTGTTACAGCAAAATATAGCAGTTGTCCTCTAAGGACATAAAAACTTCAGTAGTGCAAAGATCTTGCCCAGAGATATTAGGTTTGAATCCATAGCATGGAAAATTAAAAAACAAAATCATAATTGGTCTTTGTTCCCAGGTAAACCCAGATAAAAAATGGACCAGGAAATGTCCTGGAAAGTAAAGGTAGCAGGCAGGATGTTGGACTTTAACCTTTAACCTTTCAGTATTGAAGTAACAACTACCTGAGACTGAAGAGTTGAGCTTCTTCTTGTGTTTCTTAGTTTACTGCTATATTTACTGTTTTAATTGTTAACAAACTTCACAGCCTGCAAATGTTAACATTGCTAAATGAAGCCAGATATTCATATCATCACAAAATATATCTTATCTATGCATGCAGGCATTGAGGGTGTAGTCAAGAATGAGAAAGGACACATAATACGCAAGTACTCAGTGCAGCTGGACAGCAAACCAAAGCAGGACATGACATCACCTTTCTTTCTGTTGGCTACTGCCGGACACCACACAGTAACCATCGAAGCTCCAGGTATGTCACAGAACAGCATGGCTTTGTTTGTCAGAAAACTAAATGATTTAAAACCCAACATAGTTTCAAGTTAGACACATCCTTTTTACACCAGTTAGTCTATGCCTATATGTTTGTGTATACTCTCTTTCTCATCTATAAATATGTTTATTTAAATAGTGCAGACACAAACGATACATTGCACAATTTATTGCGGTGTCTCATCAGGTGCATGCCACAGAGTTAAATGAACATATAATGAAACACAAAAATGAATCTTTCTTTGCTGAAATGCATAAATCACATTGTCAAGTTTCTGTACATCTCTTCACCCGAATTTAATGATCAGTCACCTGATTACCATGATAATTTCAAATTTATCATGTAATCTTTTTTGTTTACAGCATATGAGAGTTCAGTTTTGTTGATATAGCCTCAGTCAGTTTTAGTGAAAATCTATTCATTGTGTGGTAAATAATAATCCTGAAAGTACAATCCTTATCATCAACCCTCCGCCCAGAGCCAAGCACATGACGTCCTGTCAAAGAGTTGGTTTGTCTCTTCTTTATCGGTCTTGAAACAGCCTCTCTGGCCCAGTAAGGAGGACTAGGCATGGCAGAATTTGTAGCTTCACAGTTATTTTTGCTTGTGGCAGTGCTTAGCTAATGCAGTTTCCACATAAGGAAGCATTTCCTTATGAATGTCTTTTGTTTCCCCCCCCCCCCCCCCCAAAAAAAAACGCACAACAGCACGTTGCTCTTTGAGGGTAAACTCTGTAAGAACAGTTGCCATTTTGTTTCTGTGTTGCGAATGCGCATGCAACACCTAGCGCCACCTAATGAACGGAGACACAACGTTTGATGTTGCTGTTACCTAATGACACCTTTAGAAACCACCAACTACATTTTCCTACCATCCCATTACCATTTTTTACTTACTTGTTGACTTCCCCTTCTATTTACTTTACAAAAATTGGGATAGCGGAGGGGGGTGGGGTGTATAGAAATTATGATGTCATAATTTCCCATTAGTCTTAGTGGTTACCCACTGAGCATGTTACAGGGTCAAGTATGAGTTACCATATACACTTTTCGTGGTCACAGACAGGTAAACCAGTTAATTCTCTTCTGCTTTCATCTTTATTCATTTCCTTGTGTGAGTTCTGGGAGAAACAAAACAGAACAGACCCACTGCATCTTTAAGAAGCATATCGTTTGAGATGATTAATTAGGGGAGTTTCCTTCTAAATCAGAGTGCATCTGCCTGAGAGGCAAGGAACCAACAGTCGGCATACAAATAAGCCAGATCTGTGCATGCAAAGATCAAGTGCAGAAATGGATGAACAGCCAGAGCTTTCAGCTGGAGTTTTCTGCCGGTGAATGCAAAGAGAAGAAGTATTTTTTTTTTAAATTATTACTGCTGCCTTTTCTAGTTAGGGAAACATTATATATACAAACACAGGGAAAGTTAATGAACCAACTGAATAAAAAACAGGGCAATAAGAAAAGTATAACATTAAAAAAAAAAGTTTGTTGCATATTCTTTACAGGATGTTACAGAACGAAACCCAGCTGTCGTGTTGGCTGTCGTGGTTTTTTTAGACAAATTTGACGTTCAGTAGTTTGCTATTGCTTTCTGTCAGCTGTCAGTACCACTGTGGACATCAACACAAGACAGTCTGATGGCAAATAACCTGCAGCTGGGATTTAACCTGGCACCCCAGCATTACAAAGTGTGTTTGTAGCGCCTAAGCCACAGGTGCGACATGAAACAACTGATAAATGCACAGTGGGTTACTGGGTACTGAAAAGTTTAGTCAGCTGCTGTCTCCACAATGAATGTGGGCTACAGTGAATGTCTCCAGGTCTCTGTCTCTTGCCCTGATTGTATTTAAATAATGAAGGCACAACTAACTCATTTTAAGTGATTTTCACCTTTCACCTTTACCTTATCAGTCTTAAATTGTGCATCATTGCTCCAATGGGAACCCATAAAGACAAAATTTGGTTCTGTCAGCTAGCTGCTGAGTTGAATGCAGGGTGCGACACTGTGAGCTGTAAATGTCATGGGGAATGTTTATTGTCAGTGCTCCCATATAATTGTGTTGTAAACTGCATATTAAGAAAATTTTGAGATGCAGGTTGCCACAGAATTGCGGTGTCTTATGCAGTAATAAATTAACACCTGCTGGCTTGTCATGACTGCTGTTCCCATCAGCTATAAATATTGATTCTAGTGATAGACTATAAGGCTGGCACCTCTGGTGACTGCCTAATGCATTTGATGCATGTGTGAGCTGATGAATTCTAGACTGCTGTCTGTTCAACTTTCAAATGGGGTTTCACATGGGACAGAGATGGGTTTTTGTATAGTTTTTCACTCGCACAGGAACAAAGCAGTTATAGGGATATGTTTGCAATGAGGTAAGAACCCTGACTGATAGCCTGATAGATAGGTTTCAAACCACAGAAGCAGCATAGATAGGTTTCAAACCACAGAAGCAGCATAGATAGGTTTCAAACCACAGAAGCAGCATAGATAGGTTTCAAACCACAGAAGCAGCATAGATAGGTTTCAAACCACAGAAGCAGCATAGATAGGTTTCAAACCACAGAAGCAGCATAGATAGGTTTCAAACCACAGAAGCAGCATAGATAGGTTTCAAACCACAGAAGCAGCCATTTCTCAACTATTGTGTTTTTCCCCCATTTATTTTTCTCAGGTTATAGTGCAATGACAAGGCCAGTTCTGCTAACAGAAAACACGCCCACTGCTCAAACTTTTGTCCTGAAGCAGGAGAATGCAGGAAATCTGGTGCTCAACTATCATGACCACTCACAAATGACCAGCCTGTTGAAAAATATCTCTGCTTCATGTTCAGGCATTATGTCCTTGACCAGGTAAATGCTATTGGTGCTGTTGTGTTTTCAGGTCAGTGTTGTGTTTTATATTTTTGACAGTATCCTTCAGTGAGCCATTATTTTGTTTTGTTTTAAACTTTCGTGTCAGTGTTTTTGTTTTTCTTTCATGTCAGCTTTTTTTTTTTACTTTTATGTTACTCTCCTGGCACTAGCCATGTGGCCCTAAAGAAAACCTGCATACATCGCAAAAGTGGTAAATAAAGGCAGTAATGGTCATGGGTTTTTTTAAGCAGTTCTTTTTTCATGTCAGTGTTAGTTTTTGTTTTTTTCATGTCATTGTTATAGTATCTTTTATTTTCATGTAATTGTTATAGTTTTCTTTTATTTTCATGTAATTGTTAAAGTTTTCTTTTATTTTCATGTAATTGTTATAGTGTCTTTTATTTTCATGTAATTGTTATAGTTTTCTTTTATTTTCATGTAATTGTTATAGTGTCTTTTATTTTCATATAATTGTTATAGTTTTCTTTTATTTTCATGTAATTGTTATAGTGTTCTTTTATTTTCAAGTTCAATGTCAGTGTTATAGTGTTCTTTTATTTTCATGTCATTGTTATAGTGTTATTTTATTTTCATGTCAGTTTTATAGTGTTCTTTTATTTTCATGTCAGTTTTATAGTGTTCTTTTATTTTCATGTCAGTGTTATGGTGTTTTTTTATTTTCATGTCAGTGTTATAGTGTTCTTTTATTTTCATGTCAGTGTTATAGTGTTAAAACCCACTGCAGGCTGCGTGGATCTGTGTCCTGGTATGGGACGTCGCAGGTCGACCCAGCCTAAAATGGGTACCAGGATGGGCTGTCCTGGGAAAGTAAAGACAGCCGGCGTAATGCTGACCACATTACCCACAGAGTGCTGATGGTCTGTAAAAATATGGGACGCTCTGCCCATATGCCCGATGCGCCGAAAGGCGTGAAAAGGGATCTTTACTTTTTTTTTTAAACTTTTTGTTATAGTGTTATTTTATTTTCATGTCAGTGGTATAGTATTCTTTTATTTTCATGTCAGTGTTATAGTGTTCTTTTATTTTCATGTCAGTGGTATAGTATTCTTTTATTTTCATGTCAGTGTTATAGTGTTCTTTTATTTTCATGTCATCGTCAGCATTGTATGGCATAATTTTATATAAATATATATAGACTTCAAGATGGCGGTGTAAGCAAGACAGGGGTTTTTCCAATGTTTCTGTTTTTCAAAATGTAATAAAAGTTACTGTTTGATAAATTGTGCAGTTAAAACTTATTCTAGGACAGGCTCAGCAAGCCATTAGAGTATTTGATTGTTCAAATGAATATGCTCAATAGAAGAAGAAGAAGAAAAAGAGTTTTTTTTTTTTTCATGTAAGCGTTCTTTTGTGTTCATATCAATGTCAACATTGCATGTCATAATTATATATGCTGTTTGTTTTCTCACTCATTTTGTAAATAGTTTGGGAAAGACGAAGCTGGCCTCCGATATTTGGATGGTACATTTTGGCAAGGAGTCAACAAATCACATTCTTCCCAGAATTCTGTTTGTGGGGAATATCCATGGGGAGGAGATGACCTCACGGGAGATGCTGCTTCAGCTGGCTGTCCACCTGTGTGACCTCTACCACAGGATGACTATTTCCATAAGGTGAGGTTATACTTGGGGGTCAGACTGTTTTATCCCTGTGTGGGTTCTGGGGCTTGGTTTATCCCTGTGTGGGTTCTGGGGCTTGGTTTATCCCTGTGTGGGTTCTGGGGCTTGGTTTATCCCTGTGTGGGTTCCATGGCCTTGGTTTATCTCTGTGTGGGTTCTGGGGCTTGGTTTATCCCTGTGTGGGGTTCCCATGGCCTTGGTTTTATCCTGTGGTGGGTTCCATGGCCTTGGTTTATCCCTGTGTGGGTTCCATGGCCTTGGTTTATCTCTGTGTGGGTTCTGGGGCTTGGTTTATCCCTGTGTGGGTTCTGGGGCTTGGTTTATCCCTGTGTGGGTTCCATGGCCTTGGTTTATCCCTGTGTGGGTTCTGGGGCTTGGTTTATCTCTGTGTGGGTTCCATGGCCTTGGTTTATCCCTGTGTGGGTTCCATGGCCTTGGTTTATCCCTGTGTGGGTTCCATGGCCTTGGTTTATCTCTGTGTGGGTTCTGGGGCTTGGTTTATCCCTGTGTGGGTTCTGGGGCTTGGTTTATCCCTGTGTGGGTTCCATGGCCTTGGTTTATCCCTGTGTGGGTTCCATGGCCTTGGTTTATCCCTGTGTGGGTTCTGGGGCTTGGTTTATCCCTGTGTGGGTTCTGGGGCTTGGTTTATCCCTGTGTGGGTTCTGGGGCTTGGTTTATCCCTGTGTGGGTTCCATGGCCTTGGTTTATCCCTGTGTGGGTTCCATGGCCTTGGTTTATCCCTGTGTGGGTTCTGGGGCTTGGTTTATCCCTGTGTGGGTTCTGGGGCTTGGTTTATCCCTGTGTGGGTTCTGGGGCTTGGTTTATCCCTGTGTGGGTTCTGGGGCTTGGTTTATCCCTGTGTGGGTTCTGGGGCTTGGTTTATCCCTGTGTGGGTTCTGGGGCTTGGTTTATCCCTGTGTGGGTTCTGGGGCTTGGTTTATCCCTGTGGTGGGTTTCTGGGGCTTGGTTACTATCCCTGTGTGGTTTCCATGGGCCTTGGTTTATCTCTGTGTGGGTTCTGGGGCTTGGTTTATCCCTGTGTGGGTTCTGGGGCTTGGTTTATCCCTGTGTGGGTTCCATGGCCATTGGTTATAGCCTGGTGTGGGTTCTGGGGCTTGGGTTATCCCTGTGTGGGTTCCAGGCCTTGGTTTATTATCCCTGTGTGGGTTCTGGGGCTTGGGTTTATCCCTGTGTGGGTTCCAGGGCCTGGTTTATCCCTGTGTGGGTTCCAGGGCCCCTTGGTTTATCCCTGTGTGGGTTCTGGGGCTTGGTTTATTCCCTGTGTGGGTTCAGGGCTTGGTTTATCCCTGTGTGGGGTTTGGGGCTTGGTTTATCCCTGTGTGGTGTTCTGGGGCTTGGTTTTATCCCTGTGTGGGATTATTGGGGCTTGGTTTATCCCTGTGTGGGTTTTTGGGCTTGGGTTTATCCCTGTGTGGTTTCTGGGGCGTGGTTATCCCTGCGTGGGGTTTTGGGGCTTGGTTTATCCCTGTGTGGGTTCTGGGGCTTGGTTTAGCCTGTGTGGGTTCAATGGGCCTTGGTTTATCCCTGTGGTGGGTTCCATAGGCCTTGGTTTTATCGCTGTGGTGGGTTTTCCATGGCCTTGGTTATCTCTGTGGGCGTTCTGGGGCCTGGTTTATCCCGGTGTGGGTTCTGGGGCGAGGTTGGTTTTATCCGGATGTGTGGGTTCTGGGGGAATTGGTTTATCCGGTGTGGGTTCCATGGCCTTGGTTTATCCGCGTGGGGGGTTCCATGGCCTTGGTTTATCCCTGTGTGGGTTCTGGGCTGGTTTTCCTGCGGGGTTCGGGGCGTGGTTGATAATCCCGTGGGGGTTCGGGGCACTTGGTTTTATCCCTGTGTGGGTTCTGGGGCTTGGTTCGATCCCTGTGTGGGTTCCATGGGCCTTGGTTATCCCTGTGTGGGGGTTCTGGGGCTTGGTTATCCCTGTGTGGGTTCTGGGGCTTGGTTTATCCCTGTGTGGGTTCTGGGGCTTGGTTTATCCCTGTGTGGGTTCTGGGGCTTGGTTTATCCCTGTGTGGGTTCTGGGGCTTGGTTTATCCCTGTGTGGGGGGTCTGGGGGCTTGGTTTTATCCTGTGTGGGTTGCGGGGCTTGGTTTATCCCTGTGTGGGTTCTGGGGGGGCTTGGTTTATCCCTGTGTGGGTTTCTGGGGTTGGTTTATCCCTGTGTGGGTTCTGGGGCCTTGGTTTATCACTGTGTGGGTTCTGGGACCTCGGTTTATCTCTGTGTGGGTTCTAGAGTCTTTGTTTATCCCTGTGTGGGTTCCGGGCCTTGGTTTATCACTGTGTGGGGTTGGGGGCTTGGTTTATACCCTGGTGGGTTCCTGGGGTTGGGTTTCCGCTGTGTGGGTTCCATGGCCTTGGTTTATCCCTGTGTGGGTTCCATGGCCTTGGTTTACCCTCTGTAGGTTCTGGAACCTTAGTTTATCGATGTGTAGGTTCTGAATCTAGGTTTATCACTGTGTGGGTTCTGGGGCCATGGTTTATTCCTGTGTAGGTTCTGGGGCCTTGATTTATCCCTGTATGAGTTCCAGGGCCTTGGTTTATTATGTGTAGGTTTTGGAGCCTTGGTTTATCAGTGTATGGGTTCTGGGACCTTGCTTTATCACTGTGTAGGTTCGGAGACCTTGGTTTATCCCTATATGGGTTCCAGGGCCTTAGTTTATCCCTGTATAGGTTCCAGGGCCTTGGTTTATCAGTATGTTAAGTTCCGGGTTTTGGTTTATCGCTGTGTGGGTTCCAGGGCCTTGTTTTATTCCTGTATAGATTCCAGGGCTGTGATAGCCACCTTTACCTCCAAACAGTGCCAGGTTATTTTCAGAGAAACTTAATCCCTCTTTTTCTCTCTTGCTCTCTCCCTCTATTTCTCTCTGCCTCTCTCTCTCTCTCTCTGTCTGCATCTGTTTCTGGCTATCTGCCTGCATATGTTTCTGGCTTTCTGCCTTTCTGCCTTTCTCCTTCTCTCTCTGTGTCCATCTCTCATGCTCTTGTCTCACTCTTGCTTCTCTCTCTCTCTCCCCCTCTCTCTCTCCCTCTCTCTCTCCCTCTCTCTCCTCTCTCTCTCCTCTCTCTCTATCTCCTCCCTCTCTCCTCTCTCTCTCTCTCCTCTCTCTCTCTGTCTCTCTCTCTCCTCTCTCTCCTCTCTCTCTCTCTGTCTCTCTCTGTCTCTCTCTCTGTCTCTCTCTGTCTCTGTCTCTCTCTCTCTCTCTCTTTCTTTCTTTCTTTCTTTCTTTCTTTCTTTCTTTCTTTCTTTCTTTCTTTCTTTCTTTCTTTCTTTCTTTCTTTCTTTCTTTCTTTCTTTCTTTCTTTCTTTCTTTCTTTCTTTCTTTCTTTTCATCAGAGTAATGTGATAGTACCATATTTTTCTGTCCTTTTACCCACTACTGTCTGATTTCTTTATAAGTGATGCTAGTGTTCACATTAGAACTCTGTTGGCAGTTGACAGTTCGAATTATTCATAAGCTGCAAAGTGGTTTTATAGATGAATGAGACATAAAAAAGAGTAATGAAAGTGTCATTTATAAAAGAAGAAAACAAGCTGTTTCATGAAGAGAACTAAACGCCAATGTCAGACGGAGAGAATCTAAATTCTTTGGTCGTGTCATGAAGAAAGATAAAACTTTATTACTTTCTGACGATGGTATAGTTGGAGGGGAAAAGAGGCAGTGGCAGACTAAGAGAGAAGATGGACAGTTTGACATCATGGCACAGACAAAATATCTTTTTTCAGAATTGTTTGAAAGTGCTTGAGACAGAAGGTTGTGGACAGACATGACTATCAGTGCCACTCAGCAAGAACTATAAGAAGAAGAAATGATCACTGTAGTTATGTGGTCTATGAAATTAAATATATATGTATCTCTGTCATGGGCTTATGGGGTGTCTCTTCCCCTATTCCCCCCTCCCCCTTTCTCCAAAAATGGGACCTCAAGACCCACACTGAAGGTCTTCAGAATTATTTAATCATAGGACACATGTAATGTTGCAGACGTATCTCCTGTTCACTCCACCCCATGTTCTAACTTTACATTGATCCCATTCTCAGCTTCTGGAGGAAATGCACATCTACATCCTGCCAGGGGTCAATGACGATGGGTCAAGACTGGCCAAGCCTGGCACATGTGAGGCTGGCAGTGGTCATACAAACACTCAAAATGTGGATATTGATCAAAATTTTGTTGGTACGTCTCAGTCCTCGGGAGTTTTCTAATTATTCTGTCTTAGTCTGTGACAGCAGTGTATGCCAGGGCTGTTCAGCTAAGTTTACTCTGGTACTCAGTGGCCAAAATGTCAAAAATGGGGATCATCATGTGTCAAGGTAGAGAGATCAATAACATGGTACAATTGGCATCAACCTAAAATAGGTATTTAAAAAACCACAGAGATAAATAACACAGTTTGAAAGAAAAAAGCAACTATTGTTTTTGTTAACCATTTTCCCTTTCAACGCTAAACAAAAAAAGCAGGTCATTCCCCAAATACAAATCCTTTAAAAACAAACAATTTTGCTCACATATACATTCAGACACACCCACATTCACTTAAATCTGGTAATCTGGTAATCTGGTAATTTTAATTTCAGCTTCATAGCAAACGGGTCACCCCATCCTTGCTCCGCTCCTGTGCCAGCGAAAAACACATGTTTATCACAGTCCCTTGTGGAAAGACTGACAAACTGCTCTCTCAGCAAATCTAGCATACACTCGCATTAAAAGCATATGGTTAGCCATCCGAAGTGCTAAACCTGAAAACAGTCCAACGTTTATAATGAAATGCAGTTCATCATTGATGGTAGCAGAAGTCATTTTAAAAGACCAGCAGTTGCACACGCGATCAAAGATAAACAAATACATGGCCCCCACCAATATTGCAGACAACCGGCATGGCAGGCGCCATTTCTGAATCTACAAATCACAACCACCACGTTGGTCAGTT